GGGCGGGCCGCGGCACGGTCGCGGTGACCACTGGGGCCACTGGGTGAGCTCGGAACCGGGTCGGCCAGCGACGCGCCAGTGGTCTGCCTCCAAACAGCGCTCCGCCGCTCTGTCTCTCTCGCACCCCTGCCCGCGCCGCGAGTGCGACAGAGACAGAGCGACACGAACTCGGTTCGGGGGCCGGCTGCGCGCGGTGCACACGCGAGGCGGATGCGATGACCACCTGCAGACTGATTCCGAGAGTCGTTTTCGTCGCTCTGTCTCGCTCACATTTATAAGGGGCGCCCCATGAGTGCGAGAGAGGCAGGGCGACGAAAACGACTCTGAATCGTCTGCTGCCCAACCGGCGACCGCATGTCAGACCCGTCAGGCCGGCAGACGCAGCGCCATTTCGCCACTGGCCGTGCCGTACCGCGACCACCACACCGCACCACACCGCCACTGGAAGCACATTATTTTCACTCTCTTGGTTCATCGCTCCGCCTCGCTCCGCCCCGCCCCTCCAATGACAGAGTAACCTTGTCGCGGCGTGCTGCCGGCGCGGGCCTTGTTCGCACACATTCACACCATTTCTTCGAATCAAGTGAATGAGCCTTTATGGAAACAATAGGTCAATAGCTGCTTCAAAAAAAAATTGTACCTTTGTTTTATTGTTTGTTTTTTTTTTACTCTTTACTTGTTTTGTTTTTTGTTGTTGTTTTTTTTTGAGCGCAGTTTGTTTACTGGAAACACGATGTAGCCACCGTGCCCGCCGCGCAGCGCCGCGGCCGCTTCCTGCCCGATTGGCCGATACGCCTTGCAGCACTGCAGTGTGCAGGCTGCCGCCGCGCGCCCCTCCCTCTGGAGGCTCTGGAGGCTCCAGGGCCTCTGCGTCGCTCTGTCCCTCTCGCACTCAGGGGGGGAGAGAGAGAGAGAGAGAGAGAGAAAGAGAGAGAGAGAGAGAGAGAGAGAGAGAGAGAGAGAGAGAGAGAGAGAGAGGGCCAGGGCCTCGTTACCCAACGGCGGCGGCAAGTTCCACGATGACACCCCAACGCAACCTGCAGCGCGCAACGCCGGCGAGGCGATGACCCCCTGGCCCTGTGGCTGCGCTGACTGCGCTGGCTGCGGCGCTGAGGCGCTGCCGCGGTGGCCCTGGCTGCACGGCGCGAGGAAGGGAAGGGAAGGGGGCCTCCACAGGTGTCTCCGCCACCTTTGGCAGCGAGCTGCAGCAGCCACGCCGCCGTCCGAATCGCAATGAGCATCAATTATTTTTAATTTTGAGGGCTCGGCGGACGGAGGGCGGAGGACGCCTGACAAAGGCTCCCAGGGCCCAGGGCCGTGACGCGCGTGGGCTGGCCCAGAGGCTGGCCCGGCCGGCCGGCTGGTCGAGGGATTCCGGATTTTGAGTCGTTTGAGGCGTTTTCTCCCGCAGCCACCAGACTCCGGGCTTCGTCGCTCCGTCTCTCTCGCACTCGGGGCGTCCCCTAGGGGTGCAAGCGAGACGGAGCGATCTGGCGGCTGGCGTGCCACTTGGGGCGGGGCGTCCCCGCCGGCAGGAAAATTTGCGTTCGACTCGCTCACCTTCGGGCACCTTCGGGCACCTTCGGGCACCTTCGGGCACCTTCGGGGCGGTGGAGCGGTGAGCGGCCCGACTGGGGTCAGCCAACTCGGCTCTGTCAGCGTTCGCCCCCATGCGACGCCGCGGCCGCGGCCCGTCAGTCTCCCTGCACTCTGAGGATAACTGTTGCCAGTCGAAAGTTTGACGGTGCGGCTAGCGCCTGCAGCGTAGGCAACACCCGGCATAGCATGCACCGGTGTGCTGCGTGGCTGCCTACCCCGGAGTTCGCAGGCGCCTTGTGCTGTGCTCCTGTTTGGCTGTATGGTTGACGTAACTGGATTGCATATCAGCGGTTTTTTTTCCACGCGGCAACTTTCGCGGTCCCCAGTGTATCGGCCGTTGTTTTTCTGGACGCTAGCCGATAAAGGGCCTTTGCGTACACTTACGGTGCGCGACCACCGTGAACACGCCGACGCACTTCGCCTTTTTTTTCTGGGAAGGAAACGGTTTCTGACTCATCGACTCGCGAGGGCCCCTTTCACTGCATTTCCGCGAGCAAATTGGTGCCTCTGTGGTCTGCCTGTCTGTCTGTCTGTCTGTCTGTCTGCCTGTCCGTCTCTCTGTGTTTACAGGCGGCGGTCCTTGCCTGGTGTGACCGGGACAAGGACACTGGAACTCCACGGCAGGAATATTAAGTACCAAGCGTTCAAAGCCCTCGTCCCCCTCCCCTTCCGCAACCAGCTTCAGGCGCGGAAACGAACGCAGATAAATACGTCGTAATTATTATTTGTATTCCGACAAATTTCCTCTCTCTGGAAGCGGGAATGAGCGGCCACAGGGTTTCTCTGCGGTCGCGCCGTCGCGTCGTCGCCGCAGAACAAGTAGTCGGTTGGGAAAGGGAATGGAGGGCCGGAGGGGGAGGGGGAGGGGGCAAGTGGGGTACCCAAACAAAACTACGCCGCTTCATTGCGTCATCGGCGTGCCGCCTCCACTGCCTGCAGGCTGATTCCGGGCAGTGCTATGGTCGCGCTGTCTCTCTCGCACACTCAGGGCGTGATGCGAGGTGCGAGAGAGACAGACAGAGGCCAGGGAGGCCGAAGGCGTTTCGGCAAGAACAACAAAAGAGTCAATGGCTCCACCGCGCCAACGTGCCGTCAGTCCGTCACCGAGTTCCTGTTTGGCTCGGAACAATGTCGCTAATGGAGGCGGTGATTAACTACACTGCTAATCCGGCCCGCGGAGACTCGGGGAGGGAGAGGGAGAGAGAGAGAGAGAGAGAGAGAGAGAGAGAGAGAGAGAGAGAGAGAGAGAGAGAGAGAGAGAGAGAGAGAGAGAGAGAGAGAGAGAGAGAGAGAAAGAGAGAGAGACTAAAGTTTGGCGCGATTGACGTTTGACTGGCACGACGCGCTCGGCGAGAAAGTGCGCTAATTGGCGCGCTTGGCGTTTTCTTTGAACTTGGAAGGCCGAGGCCGCCGTGCCGTGCCGTGCCGTGCCGTGCCGTGCCGTGCCGCCGTCGTTGCGTGGCCGCGTGGCCGCGGCCGGCACCGGGTCAAGGCTCGGCCTCGCGGTCCTCTGCTCGCCGGCCGGCCTGTGCCGTGCCGGGCCCCCGCGGCCCCCGCGGCCCCCACCTGCTCCAGGCCGCTGCAGCCTGCGGGAGGCTGCGGCCCGCGGGACGCTGTTGGGAGGCTCGTCACCGGGCCGACCTATCACGTGTTGTCCATTCAAGCGGCGCGGCCACCACGCGTCTTCCGGGAGTGCGGGGGCCGCGGGGGCCGCGGGGTCCGCGGGGGCCGCCACTGGCCGGCATTGGCCCTCGTCCAGCCCGGTCGCTCGAGGCGTATGCAACAGGTCCGGGACACTGGAAGAAAAAGAGAACACCAAACAAGAAAAACAGAGAACAAAAGCGATGTTGTGAAAAGGGGCGCACTGCCACCAGAGGTACTACTGACCTCTCACCGCGACGCGTCGCGGAGTGGATTAGCTCGGCGGACACCTCAGCGTGGCATGACTGCGCTCTCCGCCCAGAGCATTCACTCACGCGGTACTCTCGGCGCGAACGTACTTGAGAGTGTGTAACCGGGTCAGTTTCAATTCCGTCGCCGCATCAGGCATCGGCCCTCAGCCATCGGCCCAGCCGGCAGTCGATATCTGTGTCCTGCGTCCCGGGCAGTGGCGGTGCGAGCGGCACGGCGCGGCTCGGCAGGCCATTACAACAATACGAATTAGCTGATTGCACCGATATCGAGCCGCTTTCGAGCCGCCACGCCGTCACGCCGCCCTCTGTCGCGGTCTGCTCCCACAGTGGCGGTGCGGCACCGGCCGAACCTCGCTTCCGTCGCTCTGTCTCTCTCGCACTCTCGGCGGGGTGCCCTGTCCCGTCGGGGTGCGAGAGAGACGGAGTGGCGAAAGCACTTCTGTTCGGAATCGCTGTGCGGCTCTGCGTGGGTTTTCGCCTTCTTTTCCCCCGCCCCACCCCTCTCACGCCGCCAGTAGGTCATCTGCCCTTTAACACGGCCCTTCGCGCTTCGCCTTCGCCTCCACGGAGTCTTTGTTGTCCTGTTGGCCGCTGCTGTCTAACGCATGTCTGGACGTCTGTCTGTCTGCCTGCCTCTGCCTGCCTCTGTCTGGCGGCTCCGATGATGCCACCGCCTTGCGCTGCTTTGCTTTGCGCGCCGCCCCAGAGAGGCCCGCGCTCTCGGCCGCACGCTGCACTTTCGGCCGAACCGAAACGACAACCAAAACGAAATTCCGTGGCTTTGGCAGCGTTATCGTCGAAGAGAACGGGGAGACTGTTGTTGAGGCTGAAATGCAAGGAGCTGAAAGTGCGGGCTTAAAAGGGCGCGCAAACTTGTTGTGTCGATTCACCTCAGGTCTAGGAATAGATTGGAGATATTGGACGTTGATGTATCTCCGTGGATTACGGCTCCTTTCGTTCAAGGTTCAGGACGTGATTTCGTGACAACAAGGTGTCGGCATCTCGTTGACTCTGCAACGCACGGTGCAAGGTGCACGCTCGCTCGGCCCGCGAAACGAGGATGAGAGTGAGTCGGTGGCGGGGCAGCGCTGGGCGTGATGGACCCCGGAAGTGTCCGGAAGTGGTAGGAGACTTCCTCGCCGATATGCCACGGCCCGACGCCCGGCCGGTGACGAGTGCCGCTTCTCTGGTGCTCATCGCGCATCGAAGGTGTCCGCGACCCGCCTAGGCCGCCACCAAGGCCGTCATGGCTACCGCGGGCTGCATGCGTGTGTGCGTGTGTGTGTGTGTGTGTGCGTGTGTGTGTGTGTGTGTGTGTGCATGCCGGTGCGCTGATCGCGCCCCCCACCCCCCGGCTGCCCCTTCCACCACCCCGTCTCCCTCCTCGCCGGCGTGCCGTCGTCGCGAAAAAGACCGGCGGTGTCGTCTGCTCGGTTCCCGCGGCGCGGAGCGCGGATCGCAGCGTGTATCGTGGATCGCGGCGCAGCGTGGCTGCAGACACTGCGGACACTGCGGACAGACGGCCGCGACACCTCCGCCGCCGTACGTCGCGTTGCCGTTCTGCCGCCCTGCCGCCCTGCCGCGACGAGCAGACCACTCCGCCGGGACAGCACGCACAGCACGCAGAGCACGCAGCACAGGTGTGTTGCATTTGCATGGGGGCCGTGATTCGGGGCCGGTGTCCCGGGGGCCCCGCGATCTTGATTTCCACCCCCACCCCCACCCCCTGCGGTCTCTAGTGCAGCGGTTCTCGGCCGAAACACGGCAGCTGAAAATTATCGTGACCCCGCACACAAAATTTAGCGAGCCCCTCCATAATCCGCACACTTGAAATAATTTTTAAACTTTTGAATGAAATCAGTAAACTTGTCAAAATGGATGCGAGGCGGTGCTTTTTGGTCCTGCCCCCCAGCTTGCCACCTGGAGGCGTCCCACAGTGGGCCAGAAGACCGGCGGAGGCGGCCAAAACTCTAGACGCGTTTTGAGCTCCAGAGTCGCTTAACAGGCCTCGAACCGAACGTGTGACCCCACCAATGGATTCCTCGTCCGAAAAGCAATCCATTGGTGGGGTCACACGGTCGGTTAGAGTCCCATTTAGCGACTCTGGAGCTCAAAACGCGTCTGGAGTTTTGGCCGCCTCCACCGGTCTTCTGGCCCACTGTGCGTCCTTCCAGATCACGGGGCCTATGCGACGTTTGCCACGCGCAGCACATCGAGCCGTACTGCTGACCCCTCCCCTCACCCCCCTGAGTAGTCGTGCCTGTCCAGTGGAGTGTCTGACTGAATGCGTCGCTGATGCTGGATGCCGGACCCTCCGGGGCGGGGCGCGTCGCGGCCGTGTCCGCAAAGACGCGTACCAGCGCGTTCTCGACGCGGCCTGGCAATAATTGCACCGCGACGCGCGATGCCGAGTTGGGATGCATTTAAACGAGTCAGCCTGGAAAGGCGTGCCGCCGCCGCTGCTCCGCGGCCTCTACTGTTTCAAAGCTTTCAAAGCGACGCGGTGCGACGCGGTGCGACGCGGCGCGACGCGGCGCCGGAGCAGCCAGCACTTCTCTCTGTGCGGCGCGGCCTGCAGACTGATTCCGAGAGTCTTCTCGTCGCTCTGTCTCTCTCGCACTCATGGGGCGTATCCTGCAGATGCGAGGGAGACAGAGCGACGAAAACGACTCTTGGAATCAGTGTGCTGGCGCGGTGCGGAGCGGGTGACCTCCAAGTCGGTGCCGGTGTGCCTGCCGGTGTGCCGGGATGGCGTGGCCTCCGACAAAGCTGCTTCCAGCTTCCACTTCCAGACAGAGGGGCGCCTCTTTCTACCTTCCCACTCCTTGGAGAGGCTCCGGTGGCGGCAATGGCATCCCCGTGGTGCCCCCCTACCCCTCCCCCTCCCACAGCGTGCAGGCGGCTTCGATTACAACCCTGGCAGTGCCGTGGCGGTGCCGTGGCGGTGCCACTTCTCAGGCCCATGCCGCCCAGGCCCGCGCCGCCGCCGCCGCGGGGACTCGAGTCCCATGCCGCCGCGCCAGGTGTAACTGTGCCGCGCCGATCTCGACAGTGTGGTGGTAGAGTCCTATAGTGGGAGAGAAGCGTGAATGAACTGAATTTGTCATACTCTGATCGCCAGCCTCCCTCGAAATGCTCTTTGTTATTTCGCATACTTTGGCCAAAACGGGAAAAAAGTTGCGCGTAGGTTTTCATACAGTGGCCAGACCGATGACGCGGGCTGCCCGCAAACCGAAATTGAGTTTTCTCAAGAAAACTGTTGTCACTAGCATATAGCATTGTTCCATGAAAAGTCCTGGTCAATACATCAGTTTCATGAAATAACAGAACTAATAGGGGTGAAAAATGAGCCTACTTAACATGTTCCCTTTAAAGTTCAAATAAACTGTGGCAAAAAGAGCTCTGTCAAGTTATCTATCTCTTTACTAAAAATAAAATGGTGTCTAATTTTCTTAATAAGAAGTGCTGTCAGAGAGTTTGCATATCTAAATAAATTAGCTTGCCAATAGGATAATTCAGATCAGCAGTTGGAACTCTCAACTCCAACTCATTCTTGAGTATTAAACTGTTTACGCTAAAAATTTAGAACTTCCGCAAACCTTTAATACTTAGAAACGAATGAGAGTTCAGGGTTCAAACTACTGGGCTGAGTTCTTCTAATAGTAAGCTATTCATATGAACAAAAGCAAAGTTTGTTCTCAAAAAAGGTAGAGATGGCCAACCTTCAGGTTCCGGCTTTGACCTTAGACTAAAGGAAAAGATAGCGTTGCCACATTTGGAAATTTCAGCCCAGTATTGGCTGTAAAATCTATTGAACAAGGCTTGTTTCTTATTTTTCTATAACTTCGAGAGAAACTTTGACACATTTTGGTCTTCATTTCTGTTTTTCTAAAAAAAACTACTCAGACATTTAAAAAAAAGCTACGGTTTCTTCCTTCTGTAATTCCTTTTATAATTATCAGAATATGAAAGCTGGGTACCTTTCCCTTTGACGTGAAGAGAATTTGGGAGAAACGACTAAAAGTTAACATAAACATTCATAAATCAGACACCAAAAAGAGGTAGGTCCCCTTCCTCCGGGTATAAGTTTAAGTAATTGAAAGGAACATTTGCTTATAAATTAAGACTTCTGCCTCAAGTATTTTTTTAAAAAAAGTTAAATATGCATTTTTTTAAAACTTCACAATACCTTTAAATAGATTTCGACGACTTGTCTCATTTTGAGTGAGGTTTGCCACTTGACCTATTATTGATGATTGGTAAATTACTTGCAGTCATAACATTTTAGGACATATTTTTTGCATTTCCTGAAATGTGGGCGGATTTCAATGAACACATTTCCGCTTCACAGCCCATGTCATGGAAGAATCAAAGAAGTGTCGACCAACATTACTGGGCTTAAATTCAAACCCTGCCCCGCGTCAAGACCACAACGGAAAATTGAGTTCGTATGACAAACTACGCGCAACTCTTTTCCCGTTTTGGCCAAAGTATGAGAATTTCGCCGCTCGGCAGAGCCCCACCCGACGAGGACAGGGTTCACGCTTCTCTCCCACTATAGGACTCTATGTGGTGGCTGCATTGGTTCCGTGTCCGAGCCGTGCTGTTTCGTCGCTCTGACTCTTTCTCTCTGTCTCTGGCCCTCCCAGGAGGCCCGTGCGGGTGCGAGAGAGACAGAGCGACGAAACCACGCCTGTCCGACACCGGCCTGCTGCACTGCGGCTCGTGCTGGCGAGGTTCGAACAATGTCCGATTTCAAATTGAGTGTGCTGCGGCGGCGGCGCTCCCTGGAGGACGCCGCGACCCCCTCCGGGACCTCTCCGGGCGAGGGACGCGACGGGACGCCGATGACACATTATTTGGCGGGCCCAGCCGGGGCGGCGGGGCCCTGGCGAGGCCGGCGGGGCGCGGCGCGGAGCTGGTGATGGAGTGCTGGTAGTTGAAGGGGATTGCGGCGGCGCCCCGTGAGTGCCGCCTTGTGCACTGCGGACACTGGGAGGGGGAGGGGGAGGGGGCGACCACACTGCGGTGCGGGGCGAGCGGCGCGGCCGGGGGCGCTAACTACTCCGGCAGGCCTGCCGCCCCAAACTAGCCTCACCCGCGTTGCGCTCCAACTGCACCCGCGCCGGGGCTGTCCATGAGTGTGACGGAGACAGAGCGACAGTCCGCTGGCACGAGACCCGAGGGCTGGGACGCCTCGTCATCCACCGTCACTCGCAGAGTCTCAGTGATAAAAGCGAGACTCCGCGAAGCGCGGCTGACGCGGGCAGGCCTGCACGTGCTCCGCGGTGCTCCACGGCGCGACACTCGCAGCAAAAAGGGAAAGGGGGAGGGGGCGCGGAGCGTCACGGCGGCTGGCTGCATCAGTCGCTATGCACGCGTAATAATCCCGCCATTTATTGGACACGTTCATTCCATGCAAATTTCCGTCGCGTGCCGTTCCCCTGTTGGGGGTAGGAGCGTGTCGCGCCAGCCTGGAACGATGTGCGTGCACAACGAATCATGTCCGAGATTACCAGGGAAGCGGGTTGGTTGAATGGTTGCCGGTTTGGTTGAGCCCAGCCAAGGGGTTCCTCCCCCTGTCCCTGCGACCGTTTGGTGGGGCCTCTGTAGCTTGATTCCGAGCAGTAAACACCGTCGATCTTTCTCTCTCGCACTTGTACGTGAGTGCGAGAGAGACAGAGTGACGAAGGCGCTGGTCGGAAGCAAGGTTGACGCACGTGAGGCCGCGACCTGCCTTACCCGAAGTGCGTCGTCATGGAGATATGTCGCGTCGCCACGGCCGCGCGCTTTGTCGCGTCGCCTCCAAGTCGAGCCTCGCCCTGTTTGGCGCTTTGCGTCGCTCGCGTCGCTTTGCGCGGCCCGCGCCTTTTCATCGGGGCGCTCCGACTCTCTGACGTGCACTAATCTGATAAGCCGACAGGAATTAGCGCGGTGCGGCCTGGATGCCCTCGTGGATGCCGCGGCCCGACGAGTTTTATTGCCAGCGAGCAGTTGCGTCGGCCGTACAATTATGCATAGGCCGGGGGACGGGGAGGGGGTCCCACTGCGGGGTGGACAACTCCACAGCGCTCTGGACAAGAATAGGAATCTGGTTTTACAATGGAACGCTGCGGGAAAGGTGCCCGTCCACGACGACGAAAATAACTGTGGCCAGCAACGCGACTCTGTCTTGGAGTCGTGCTGAATGCCCCCGCGAGGAGCAGTCTTCTTCTCAATATTTCCAAGGCTGACCGTTAAGTACCGTCATCCGACCACACGGCACACGGGCCGGCGGGTCGGCCCCGCCTCGGCCACCAATCAGTTACAGCACAGCGGCGACCGTTCTGCTCGGTTGCACTCGGGTACAGCCGAGGGTACCGCGGCGTGGAGCTCGCCGCCATGCTCGCCGCGGCGGCGCTGCCCCAAAGCACGCTCAGCCGGAGGAAAAGAAAAAGGGTTTTCCTTTCCCGGTTCCCGCACCCGAAACGAGAACACGCAAGAGCGGAGCCACGAAGCCAGGGCCCAGTGGTAGTGTTCCTGTCATTCCAGAGTGTGCGACGGAGAAAGAGAAGGTCCACTGTCAAATAATCATGTACCAGTTTTTTTGTTTTTTTTTTCGCTGTTGGTTTGTTGTTGTTGCTGCTATTTTGGCGAGTACGCGACGAAAGGGAATGCCGCCAGCGCGGCACGGCCGCGGCGTCCCTGGAGGCGCACTGTACAATGTACTCTGTGTGACCTAACGTCCCTCTCTCTCTCGCTCTGTTGCAGTACCGCCGCCAGCATGGAGAAGAAGAGGAAGGAGTCGGGGCCGGTGCCCACGGCGCCCTCGCTGACCACGCTCAACATGTCCTCCATGTAAGCCCCCAATTCCCCGCGCATCGCTCTGCGAACATGATCGACAAATTAGAAAGTTACAGTGCGGTGTTGCGTTTTCATCAGGGTTATGCCATTTTTTTTTTTCGAGTGCGCTGGTCGCTGGTCCGGCGACCGGCGAGCTCGCCCCCTGTGGCTGCGTGCCCATGCCGCTCTGCGTTCTGTTCCAGGGTCACCTTGGCGGAAAAGAACCCCGACGGCGACTTCGGCGAGTACGACCCCTTCGCCCACAGGGAGACCACACACCAATACTCGTAAGTAGAGCCGAATCCGGAAACGGCCCGAACAGAAATATGGAGGGGTGACTCACTGTAAAATTTTGTGTACAATGATTGTGTGAATGTGCAAGAATGTGCAAGATTTCTTGCTTTTTTGCGACACATGTTGCCTACTTACAGGCGTTTTTGCCTCCTGAATGTGGAATGTGGTCAAATTTTGTACAACGAATGTGGAAAGCTGTTCCCCCCTCGAGAAATATGGTGTTATAGGACGCTTCAAGGCACGTCCGTCTGTCCGTTCGTCTGTCCGTCCGTCTGTCAGCGCTGACGTCCGACCACACGTGTGAAAGGTTTTGGCAGTGAGTGGGAAGGGAAGACAATGGGACAAGGACCCTGCCGCCCACATCCGGTTTTGAAGCAGTTTTGCGGTGGCCTTCCGCCGAAAAGTACGGAACTCGCCTTGCAGCGTGCAGCGAGCCGGCGCGGGCGGCCCACTGCATTTCAAACTACAATTCGGTGTTTGGTCCCGGTTATCTCTGTTCCTCCGGTCCGCCGGAGCCTGGCGTCCTGGCGCCGGGCCAAGCCTGGCCAAGGATGGCCAAGGCACCCCGAGGCCCTGCTGCTCATGAACCCCGTCTGCTCGCTCTGCTCGCAGGAACATGGGCGCGCTGGCGCACCTGCTCAAGGGCAGCCTGGGCTCCGGCATCCTGGCCATGCCGCTGGCCTTCAAGAACGGCGGCCTCGTGTTCGGCGCCATCGGCACGGTCCTCATCGGCATCGTGTGCACCCACTGCGTCCAGCTGCTGGTGCAGTCGGCGCAGAAGCTGTGCGTCCGGCGGCGCGTCCCCGCCCTGGACATGTCCACCACGGCCGAGGCCGCCTTCCTCACCGGGCCGGCCCTGCTGCGGCCCTACGCCACCGTCGCCAGGTGAGTCCGCGACGCCCACGACGTCCACGACGTCCACGAGGCCCACGACCCAATGAACATCAACGTCGAGTGGCGCGCGCCCCGTCGGCCCGGAGTCTTTCGGGACCACTTCGCCGCGGCACTCAAATTAACACTCCGGCGGCCCTTGACTTTCCTTATCAACGTCGCGCCGCGTCGCGCCAATTCGCAACATCTTGTGTCTCTTTTCCGGCGAGCGTTCCAAGCCGGTGGCTTCAGTGGCTTTATTAGCTTCGGAATTGAGTGGCTCTGGCGATCTTTCCGTCCCTTCCGCCACGATCGCGACGCGGCATCCTCCACGGCAGCATCCACAGTTCCGTTCGGCCTGCGATTGTCTTGCGGAATGCCAGGCCAGCCCGCTGGCGATACCCGCTTTTTTGCGACGCCACGTTCGTCGAGCTTTTTTCCGAGAGTTCTTTTTTGCGGTGTGCCACAATAAGCACCGATTGCCCCACTTGGTGCATTCGCGCATTAACGCGGTCTGGGCTCAATTCAGGATCACGTGACGAAGAGATGGTGTGCGTCGATGTGCCGATGATGCAACACGCGCCCTGCGTTGCCTGGGCCCTGGGTCTTGCCGGGCCCGGGGCCGTGCCTTGGCGCCGCGCCGATGCCCTATCCCTGCAGTGTCGCGCTGTCTCCCTCGCACTCGCGGGGCGTCCCGTTGGGCCCCTAGGGGTGCGAGAGAGACGAGCGCTGCTCGGAGGCAGCCCGCTGTGAAGTGGCCGGCCGCGCTGTCGCCGGGGACTACGGGCGTCCCCAGGCGTCCTGCGAGCTGTTGGTGCTGGCCGACTGACCGGGGCGGGGCGAGTAATCATCAGTCGCGGCAAACGTGACTCCGATCCTCCGTGCTTACGCGCCCGAGTGTGTATGCTTGTCGGCCGACGGCTGCCGACGACCCCCACCTACCGCGGCCTCCCGCCCCTCCCCGCCCCTCCCCGGCGGGCGCGAGCAAAACGTAACCCTCCACGCGACGCGTCCTGGCGGAGGGGCGAAGCGAAAGGTATACATCTTCTCCGGGGGACTTTTCCGGCCGCGATGTTTCCGCTCCGAGTTTGCCCCTGTCAGCGGGGCGGGGCCGTGGTGCGGGGCAGTGCGCGGGGCCGTGGGGCCGCCGCGCGAGAGCGAAAACACTACTCAGCGCCGAACGGAACGCCACCACCCTCCCCTCCCCTCCGCCCCGCCCCGCCCGCTGACCTGGCGTTTGTCCCTGTGACTGGAGCAGCGGCGGCGCCGCCTGGAATGCACGCCGCTCCTGGAGCTTTGCTGCAGCAGGCCGCCGTCGCCCCCTTGCCCGTCCTCTTCCCCGTCCTCTTCCCCGTGCCGTGTGCCGTGTTGACGGTGTACCGTGTTGCGGCCAGGGGCGAGGAGGGGAGGGGGAATCCGCGTGGCTCTGCGTCGCTCTGCGTTCACGGATCAGTGTCAAGGCCTCGACCGCTTCCCCCTCCCTGCTCCCTCCCTCTCTCCCTCTCACTCACCTGCGGCCCGCTATCTATCTTTCTATCCAGCCGGCTACCTATCTATTAACGCATAGCGCGGGAGCATTATGGTGCGCGCGGTGGCCATCATTTGCATTCCGAGGAGCGGCCCCACCCCCATTCTCTCCCTCTCCCTTTGACTGCCTCCCACTTCCCCCACTGCCTCCCACTTCCTTCCCCTCCCCCGGCAACCTTGCACGCCTTGCACCCGCGCGTTCGTCTCGTTTCATTTTCCGGGAACGCCCGTCCGTGTTGTTGCGCGCGCACGCGCTCGCATTGCAACTTTTGTTTTTATTCGTGTGAATCGTTGGAATCGGCGAGGCGGCGGATTGGCGGCGAGGCGGCTCAGGATTCAGTGACCTGTTCGTCTGTTGTCTCACTCGCACTCGCGGCGAGGGCGGCGGGGCGGGCCATGCCGCTGAATCCCGGATGGAGCAGGATTTTCCTCGCCTGCAGAGTCTGCAGAGGGGCTGAGGCCGGCTGGGCCGGCTGAGGCCGAAGGTGACCCCACTCCCCTCGGGCGGGAGGACGGAAGCAGCCTGGTTGCGCGCTTCTTTAAATCGTCGTCCCGCTTTTTCGAGATTCAGCGTTACGGCCCGGGGGGCGTGCGGCGTTGTTTATTCGACCGGGCGGGGGCGGCGCGGCGGCGCGGAACCAGCCTGCGGGGCCGCACAACAGACTACGCAAAATCCTTGCCCCTGCGGAAAGATGAGTTCTCGAACCAAGCACAAATGTTTAGTTATGTATTGCCGCCAGGAAACGTAGTGCTTGTTTCAAGAACTTTAATCACGGAGCTCCTCGGACGCCGTGGGATCCCGCGGTATGTACACTCCGCCGCCCGCCCGGCCCTCCCCGGCGAGTCAATGCCGCAGTCCGGTGGGTAGGCAGTCTCGAGGCACAGCCCCGCTCGGCGGGACAGCGTAAACGGTGGTTGATACACAGCACTCCCCCCCCCCCCCCAATCTGTGACAGGGCACAGAGGGAGAGGGTCGGTGCACAGTGGGCCAGAAGACCGGTGGAGGCGGACAAAACTCCTAGACGCGTTTTGAGCTCCGGAGTCGCTACATGGGGCTCTAACCGAACGTGTTACCCCACCAATAGATTCCTCGTTCGGAGAGCAATCCATTGGCAGGGTCACACGTTCGGTTCGAGGCCCATTTAGCGACTCTGGAGCTCAAAACGCGTCTAGAGTTTTGTCCGCCTCCACCGGTCTTCTGGCCCACTGTGCGGTGGGCGCGCTGCCTTCGCTTTCGTTCTCGACGGCCGACCGGCAGGAGGAATCTCTTCTTCCATCGGCCGGCGCGTTTGTCCATTATTGCGTGGCTGTATTGGACCCACTGTGCAGCACAGCACTGGCAGCAGCAGCTCTGGCGGCGGTGTGGCGGTCGGACTTGGTCGGACTGGCATTCTTGGCCACAGCCCGGCCCAGCCCCACGGCGCAAATCCACAATCCACCCCCGTCCTCGGCGGCCCGCAGCGCCGCCATGACCTAGAAGGTCAAGTCGAAGCCTTAAGCTTTTGGCTTTCAGCGCGCTGGCCAGCGCATCGTGTTGGAAACGGACAGCCTTTTTTGGCGGATCCCCGCTGCGGATATCAACTTCGGCTCTTTGGGCAGCCGAGCCGCAGACGGACTGGTGCTCGCTCGGACCACTCGGACCGCCAGAAAGCTTCCGGTGCACGGCGTCGGACTGCAGACATGGGCGCCATACCTGTCAGTCTGGAATTTCGTTGATTAATAATTAGTTGGTGGTTGGATGAATTCCTCCAACCGAATCCTTATTTTTCTTTTCAACTATTTTTTTAAGCTTTATGTTTTTGTTTGGTTCTTGTTGGCGAGGCAGGCTCGATCGGAATCTCCGAGGGGCTCAGATTTTGCTGGCCTCAGCTAGACGGCCGCTGAACGCGAGACCCCCCCCCCTCCCCTCCCCTCTTCCAAAGCGTATAATATTCGCCTGCCCCGATGCCACCAGGGGCCACCGGGGGGAGGGGAGGATTCCTCGAGAATTCGGCCAAAAATAAAATCCGTTTTACGTTTCATTTTGCAGGCGGTTTGTGACGACGGCGCTGTTCTGCACCTACTACTTCGGGCTGACGGCGTACGTCGTGTTCATGGCCGAGTCCATCAAACAGGTGAGGCGGGTCGCGCGGGTCGCGCTGCGAAAGCGAAACGCCATGTACTTGGTTCGCGGCCCCGTCCTAGTCAGTGCCGCCGGGACCGCCAGTACCTGCGAGGACTGAGACACTTTACCGACCACCATGTTGTTGTTCTTTTTACGCGGGAAAAATACAGACGTAAATTGCTTTAACTTTACGGGGGCCATCACGAGTCGGGCTTTACGGCCGCGTGTATTTTTATTTTCATTTTTACGGCGTGGCAGCGCCTTGCCTTTACTTTTCCAGTCGATCGAAAAGTCGGAAAGAAGTTTTTCTGCTTGTCGATAGGGGCGCGGGCGCAAAGAATCACTTTCCGAAACGAGGCTCAGCGAAAGTACGCGTGAGGCGGTGGCAGAATCTGGCGGGGGCGGCGAAGCACACCGCCAGCGCCTCTTGGCGGGTTCGCTGTTCGGTTCGCTCGTCAGCGCGCGAGGTGCAGAAGGCGGCAGAAGGACAGCCACCCTTTGGTATGACACTGTACAACCCCCTCCTGCCCCCGCAGGTCGTGGACCACTACGCCGGCAAGCCCGACATCGACGAGCTGTCCTACACTCGGATCTACATCGCCCTGCTCGTCCTCATCCTCATCCCGCTGTCCATGATCCGCAAGCTGAAGCACCTGGTGCCCTTCTCCATGGTGGCCAACCTGTGCATCGTGGTGGGCTTCTCCATCACGCTGTACTACCTGTTCGACCAGGTCAACGACCCCGCCACCCGCAGCTACGGCACCAGCCTCAAGGGGCTGCCCATCTTCTTCGCCACCGTGCTCTTCGCCATGGAGGGCATCGGCACGGTAAGGAGACAGACCAAGGCCGCCGTCGGGTACACAACAAGGGAAAGGTTGGCGTGGATTTTATCGCGGTTTTAATTGCTTTCCAGGTCCTGCCAGTGGAGAACACGATGCGTGAGCCCAAGAGACTCATCGGCTGGAACGGCGTGTTGACCATCGCCATGGTGGTCGTGGTGGTGCTGTTCGCCGGCATGGGCTTCTTCGGCTACCTCCGCTACGGCGAGGACGTCAAGGGCAGCATCACTCTCAACCTCCCCGCTGAAGAAATGTAAGCCAGAAAGCCACTTGTTGCAAACACAGATAATGCTTTGGTCTCCTGCCGCAAAGCCGCGCGGCTCGGCGGGTACCCCAACCCGCCCCCGCGACCTTGCACGGAGGCCGCGTCGGCTGTTCTAATGACGACTTGCCTGCAGCCCCGCCCAGGCCGTGAAGCTGCTGCTGGCGGTGGCCATCCTCTTCACGTACCCGCTGCAGATGTACGTGGCCATCGGCATCGTCTGGGACCAGCTGCTGCCGCACCTGCGCACCTCCCTGCACGAGGTGGCGCAGATCACCATGCGCGTCGTCATGGTGCTGGGCACCATCGTGACGGCACTGGCCGTGCCCAAGCTGGGCCCCGTCATCTCCCTCATCGGGGCCCTCTTCTTCTCCATCCTGGGGCTCTTCATCCCCGCCGTGGTGGACACGGCCACGGAGTGGGTGCAGGACGGCGGCGCCTGCCGCAAGAACGTGTACCTGTTCGTCAAGAACGGCATCCTGGTGGTGGTGTCGCTGCTGTCCGTCGTGGCAGGCTCCTACTCCTCCGTGCTGGACATCATCAGCGCGTACGGCGAGGGTGCCAACCCCGCCAACCCCAGCAGCTAAGCATGCGGCGCGGCGCGACCCGGCGGAGATACTCCCTGCGCCCCTCGCGCGCGCTGGCGCGTGGAGTATCTGCGACGGGGAATGCCCCTCCCCTCTTTCCCCTGCCTTGCCGCCTTGCCGATCGGACCGCCGCAGACACGCTGGCGCCGGCTAGGCGCTCCTGGCCTGGCGCGCTGCCCGGTTTCGCACCGGCACGCGGCGCGCGGGTCATGGAGTCATGCCACCGCTCCAGACAGAACATCGTTGATTTCTGCACGCAGGCAGCGACCTTCCCACCCACGATTGTTTCGTGTTTTAATGTGTTTTAGTTTTTAGTTTTCTTGTTCGGAAGACGTTTTACCGACGTCTTTTTGATCTCAAGGAACTTGCCGATGCCATGCGGAAGTATAACGCCGTGTGGAAAAGGTCTCCGCGTGGCGGGTAGAGATCGAGACCGCGAGTGCGAGGAGTGCGATGAGCGCGGGGTGTTTCAAATCCATTCACTTTAGCAGCGGTGCTTCAAAAGGAGGCACACAAAACGTTTTCGCATTAGTTCCCCTTCAAACGAGCTAAACATGTTTTGAAACACCCTGCAGGAAGGTGAATGAGCTTAACAAACGGAGTTTTTAATTTCTAGAATTGAATGTGTTGCTTATAGCTGTAACATGAAAATTATTATAAGAGACGTTACCTATCCAGTGAGGTTGAAATGTATGGCACTCTGTGATAGCCTACCAAGCACATGTTTTTAAATGCATTCCGGTAGAGAAATGTGCAAGCTTTAAACACACCTTTGACTTTATTCTGTGAATAATAGAAACTTATTTACTAAAGAAGAGAGAACTACATTCTACATCTCATGTTGCCAAGATGGTCATCTTCTTTCTAGCTTAAATCTTGTGATATTTCGTAAAAGTGTACAGCTTTGTGTAATATAGTGTATATTTTGTGTCATATCATTAATAATTTTTTATCTAATTAAATTAAGACTTTGAGGCGGTAGTCTCAACATAAGAGTTCCTCTGAATACGGTCTACAAACAGTTCTTTATTAAGGCAATAAATCGCACAAAACTTGATTCCTCAAGCGGTGAGACAGTAACATTGCCTCTGTGGAGAGCATGCTGGCAATATTTTTATTTTGAGTTGTTATTTTATTACCAATACGAGTTTTCAGTTTTGATTGTTGACAGAAGCTCAAAACTAAAGACTGTAGGTTGTAGTTTTGCTCTCCCATGACATGTTATTCCATGGTAATTTCCTTTATTTCTTAGTTTGCTGAATGTTAATTGTAAAATCTAAAACCTACTGTGATCAGAATATTTTATGACCGGTTCGGCGTAAGAAATTTTCTCTGTGACTTAAAGCTAAATTTGTGTGTATTTATATATATGTGGAACAAGCAATAAATTTTGCTTTAATCATTAAGGACCATAAATAATCAACTGCTCAATTTAATTTCCTCTCTAATCTTTAATAAAAATAGAATGAAAGACAAAGAACGTATAACACAAAATACACTAATGGCTTGGAAATAAATAAATTCCAAAACTTCACATTTGACAGCACAAATTATTTCATTCACTGCTTGTCTCTGGATTCTAATTCTTTTGGAGCTTGCTTTGGCCACCAGCTAGGTCTCATTGTCTTAACATTAGTACTACATAAAGTTAAGCTTTTTGCAGAGAGTACCTCTGATATACGTAGAACTCCGAGAGCTGACAAACCTTCAACACCTCGTACCTTGCCCACAGCTTTGTTGTTTTCGTTTAAGACCTCTTGCTTTAAAGCATTGGACTCAGTAATTGAACCATCAAGGAGAAGAGGCATAAGCCGTTTGCGAACCACTCCAGTGTGGTACACCCTAGCAGTTAGTTCTTGTCCAATATAACAGCCTTTATGGAAACTAACACCATGTAAATAGTCACAATTGGCTTCTAGAGGGAAACATTGATCAGGAGGCAAGTCTAAAACCCCCTCACCAACTCCCAGGCAATACCTCAGAAAACGATAAGAAGAACCTCGTCCCACTCCAAGAGATTTTGTGAGATCTTCTGAAGATGGACAAACAACTCGCAAGCCTAGCTCAGAAATCCTAGGATCTCTAAAAATTAGAACATTATTCTTGGAAGAAATAGAATTAATGCTAAAGCCATCCTTTCTTTCCTTTTTACTAAGTTCTAACTCTTCACAAGGAAGAACTTTCCCTAGGAGATGGTCCCTCATGTCATCTACCAAATTTATAGGATGTTGGTTTTGATTAATTGATGGCTCATACACAGACCACACCTTATAGCTATCTTCAACATCTATGCTGACTTTTTTTCTCAAACGATATACCTTTAGGTGTTTAGATAGTGATGAAGTAACAGAGCTATCACATTCAATGTATAACACTCCAGGCTCAGCACTCTGGTAAATTATAGTATCATAGATAACACGACCTCTTGTATTCAAAAACATGCTGTACATAGATGAAATGCCTGACTGGACATGAGATATGTCATTTGTCATAAGACCTTGGAGAAATCCATAAACCTCTTCTCCCGCGACCCTTACGAGACCCCGCTGCTCCAACGGCTCTGCCACAACAGACTCGCATGATGACACTGATGACACGCAGCGGAATACTTCTGGTTTTCTGATGAAGTGGAATCTTCTTAACACGTTCATAACTCTGCTCCTGGCGATGACTTACTGAAAAGAACAAGAAAAAGTGATAAGATGTCAATACGACTTAACACAAAACGGTAATGGATGACAAATATATTGTAATATCTAAAAGGGTCAACAATCGCAAAAATAGAAATAAGCAGTCAAAACTTCAATTGTCACAAAGTGGCACCCCTAACAGAGAAATTTTGATTTATTTCAAACTTTACACTTTGATTGAGGTTAAGCTTCATGTTGTACTCATATCATGGCACCAATACATCTCTACACTGAACGGAGCATAAAAATTTATGAACATAGGTGGCTGAAGTGTTTAGGAAACTTACATCAGCAGAACCAATAATCCAGAAGAAATGTTGCAGTGGTTGTTCGACTGACGGCGTCGTCTGCTGCAGCAGTATTCGCAGTGCACTGGAGCTAGAAGGGAATACCAACTTCCACCAGCTAAAGCTAATAGCAAGGGTTGTAAATAAAACCAGTTAATTCACTTATATTCCTAATTTATTTATAACTAAGGAACAAGAACATTCGTCTTAACTTTAAAATCTTATAAAAATAAATTACACTTTCATAAATACTGAAATACTGCGAGACTTTGACTCGAGATCTTACGACAAGTCGACATCAGAGATAGATACATTTCAAACTCAACTACACTGGGATCAAGCCTTTTTAATTTTATTTATAATAAGAGGGGGGAAGTATCCCAAGTTTTTACGAACACAAGAAATGCAAAACCTTTTAACATAGAAAAGACTGCAATCGCTAGAGCAGCACACCGCTTTATTACACATGGAACAGTCTCCTGCAATCATCAGGCACTGCCCCTTTCCAGGCGGAGAGAATGGGTCCTTCATGATATATGCGTCCTCTAAAAACACATATGATTTGGCGAACGGAGGCTTCTTCCCTTTGTAGTCATATCGTTCTTCGAAGCTGCACTTAGAGCAAGACACAACACCGCCTGGATCTTCTTCAGTTTCACCACTTTTCGTCTGATGTGTCGACTTCTCCATGTTTCTTTGAGGTTGTTGCATCAGTTCAAATGATTGTATTTTGAAATCAAATTCATTTCTGTCCATTTAAAGTAAAAATACACTGACGTTCTGTGGCTTCTCTCGATGTAAACAAAACAATTTTAGGTTGGCGTCTTCTGTCTTCTGCTGCTGTGCGAATAGTAAATCGAGTAGCCAACACTGCCAAAAAAAAAACTGTTGGCACGTCAACTTATTTTACAACTCAGAAATGACATAAATGCGCAAAGTCAAAGGGTTGATGGATCTCATGTAAAATCTTCAGTCTCCCCGTTCGTGGGTCACTGGAGAATATTTTGAGTGCGGAGAGATTGGTGCAACTGCCACTAACAGTCCGCCATTGCTATTGCCGCGCCTTCGTTTGAAGCTCAGCTCGTTGCTGTTCTCGAAAAGGCACAACGGTTAAGTCTGTCGTTGGAGGCCGCAAGTTGCAAATGTCTTTCCCAATTCAATCGGTGCTGTGAATGATGTTTGAAACGTTGAACCTGACTGAAAACAAGAAGCGAATGGGTGCAGAGAGCAGCGAGAGGCAGCTAGCAACAGCTGCGTGGTTTGATCAATAATAATAACATGTAGAATCTAGGTTACAAGGTACGTTGCCCCAGCCCCGGCAAGATGCGACTCTTCCAGCAGTTCCCATGAGCCAGAGTAATAACTGAGTCCAATCAATTCCAGAAGTGGCAGCAAAGCTGGGCTCCTGAAAGGAGCACTACGCACATAACCCTCGTCGTACCTCTGGCACGTGAGTACACAATTGCACTGCCTCTAGGGCTCTGGCGGCACTGACCCAAGCACGCTCTCGCTAAAGTCCCCAACCCGCGCAGCAGTGCCGCACCATGTCGAACCAGTTCAATGAGGAGGGCACGGCGTCCGACCTGGACCGGGACCTCGGGCCCCGGGTCATGATGGTCCGGGAGCTCGAGGCGAACCAGGACTCCAGTCTGGATGACGAGTCGGAGGAGGACGAAGACGACCGCTGGCGGGAGCTGGTCAGGGGCCAGGACGTGCCGTCGGACTATTGGCACATCCAGAAGCTCATCAAGTACATGAAGGTGCGCTCCTCTCTCCACGGTGGCTGTACAGGTGACCTCGTTGACGTCAACCCTCAAGAGTGAGAACTGCTGGGTTCCAGGTGGGCAACCAGACGGCGACCACGGTGGCCCTGGCCTGCCTCAAGGACCAGGACCTCGCCTCCGACATCAACCAGATGGCCATCCGCGACTGCGGTGGCATGGAGGTCCTCGTCAACCTGCTGGAGGCCCAGGAGCTCAAGTGCAAGGTGGTTCACTCGGGCGAAGGGCATTGACGTGGTGCTGTCGGTGGGCGTGCTCTCATTGGGCGGGATGCGCGTTGCTTCCAGCTTGGCACGCTGGCCGTGCTGCAGGTCATCTCCCTCAACATCGACTGCCGGCGCGCCATCACCGACCTGGGCGGCGTGCAGCAGCTCGTGGAGATCCTGGACGACCCCGCGCGCGACCTGCAGATCCTGGCCGCGGGCACCATCGCCAACGTGTGCAAGATCAGGAAGGCCCGCAAGATCGTGCGCAAGTCCGGGGGCATCCCCAAGCTGGTGAGGGCCCTCACGCCACCAGGCCAACCTGGGCCGCGGGGTGAGCGGCGGAAATTTACGTTTTAGAATTTCTAGAAAAGTTATTTCCGGTCGGTTGTGCAGGTGGACCTGCTCGACGCAGACCCACACCTCGTGGACACGCCCACGGCCGAGATGACCCCCGAGGAGGCGGAGGCCGTGAAGGTGGTGGTGGCGGGGGCGCGCGCGCTGTGGGCACTGTCCACGTCGCAGAAGAACAAGGAGGCCATGCGCAAGACGGGCGTGGTACGGCTGCTGGCGCGGCTACTGCGCCTCGGCCACAACGACATCATCGTCCCCATCATGGGCACCGTGCAGCAGTGCGCCACCGAGGTGACCATCTCTTTGACACGCGTAACCTAGTGCCGCGCCATACACTGTCAACACTGCTCCCATTTTTCTCGCAGAGCAACTTCCAGCTGGCGATCCAGACGGAGGGGATGATCCCAGACCTGGTGGAGTACCTCAGGAATGACAACACCGAAATCCAGAAGCACTGCGCCTCGGCCATCTTCAAAGTAAGTTCCCTGATTCCACGATCTCTTTTTCCAAACTTTTCGATGGCTTGAAAATCGACGGTGTGCATCATTTTGAGCCCAGTGCGCCGAGGACCCCGTGACGCGTGACATCGTGCGCGAGCACAACGGCCTGGAGCCGCTGGTGAACCTGGTGAAGGACGAGCGCCTGCAGGACGACAAGCCCCTGGTGGCCGCGGCAACGGGGGCCATCTGGAAGTGCGCCATCAGCCTGGAGAACGTCAAGAAGCTCAACACGCTCGGCATCATCCCCGCCATGGCGCGCCTGCTGCAGGACCAGGACAAGGAGGTCATCACCAACGTGGTGGGCGCGCTCGCCGAGTGCTGCAAGGTCAGTCTCCCGGGGCCCTGCTGACTCGCGGGGTGCAGCCAGGACGGGAAGAAAATGAAGACTTTTCGGAGTTTCGGAGCGCTAGAGTTGATGCTAGAGTGGTGGGGTGCGAGCGGTTCCCCAGCCGGAGCGCCTGGGGTGTCTCGTTTTGCAGTGCAGGCGAGCATGTGTCGGGCCCGAAATGGCATACGATCATGTGTGGTCTAGCCCTTAATGGTAATGGTAATGGAGGGCTCGGGGCAGGCATGCCCGCAGCGCACGGCTGTTCGACGGGCGGGCCCTCGTCCCCCGGAACGCCTGCAGGGCCCAGGGTAGGCAGGCCCGCAGCACACGCCTGTTCGACGGGCGGGCCCACCTCACAGGCGTTCCTCGCGGCTCGAACGGGGGTCACCCTCTGCAGAAGTTTTTTCCTTCCAAAGCCCTTATTTCTAGGTGACGTCCAACCGCGCCGAGGTCCGCGCGCACGGCGCCATCAAGCCCCTGGTGCTGCACCTCAACGGCACGCACCAGCCCCTGCTGCGGAACGTGGCGCGCGCCCTCAACGAGTGCGCCAAGGTGACGTTCTGGTCTGGAGTGAAACTGAAATCCGAGTCTCAACACGGTTAGCAATTTGGTGCAAACCGGTGGTAAATGTATACGTTTTTTTTCTTTTTCCCAAGGACAAGGAGTGCATGCTGGAGATCGAGGAGCTGGACGGCGTGCGCCTCATCTGGTCGCTGCTGAAGAACGACAGCCCCGAGGTGCAGGCCGAGGCCGCGTGGGCGCTGTGCCCGTGCATCATCAACGCCACGGTGATGACGCGCTCGGCGCTGCAAGGGTTCAAGTTGCCGCCGCCGAAGCCGATCTGAGCGTGCCTTTGTTGTCTTTGCAGGACTCTGGCGAAATGGTGCGCAGCTTCGTGGGGGGCTTGGAGCTGATCGTGTCGCTGCTCAAGTCCCCCCACACCAACGTGCTGGCGTCCGTGTGCGCGGCCCTGGCCCGCGTCGCCCTGGACAGGGAGAACCTGGCCGTCATCACGGACCACGGCGTGGTGCCCATGCTGGCGCAGCTGGTGCTCACGGTACGGCGGGACGGGCTGACCTTGACCTTGACCTTCACGTGTCATTCCTATTTCAACTGGCTAACTTTTGACCTGTCTGTGAGTGAACATTGCATGGAAATCGAAAACGTAGCTGGAACTTGCATGGGCGGTCCGTCCGACGGACGCCGTGCGCGTCGTTTTGCCACGTTTTGGCAGCACTCTTGCAGTGGAAAATGGGCATGCCCTTCAAAAATATTACGGAAATTGGGCGGTGTCGGTCACAATCGGTGCCAAGTGCACACCAGAGTGACAATGACTCAGTGCCCACTTTCGGCTGCACGCGTGCGCGGTGGCGCCACAGTGCGGCACGGGGTGATAAACCAGGCCAAGCCAGGCCAAGCCAGGGTCGGGGTGACGACTCGGTGACGACTCGGTGACGACGCTCCTGCACTGTACTGTACAGCGCGTGGCGCCGCACGGCGTCGCATGGCGCGCTGCAGCAGCTGCAGTCTATGGTTCTTCGCAATGCCTGGCCATGCCTTGCACACTTGTGTTGTGGCACGCAGCTCGACGCGAGGGACAGGGAGCGGTCGAAGGCGCGGCGCAGGGGCGGCAAGGAGGTCAAGAAGCGCGACGACAAGTACACCGAGGTGACCTGCGGCACGCCGCGCGGCACGCCAGCCTCAGGACTCTCTCTTTCTCTCTCTAACTGGCCACACGCTCTTCTCTTCTCTGTACCGTGCTGTCCTTAATTTCATTTGTTTCCATTCACTCTTCATGAACTGCATTTCTGTCTTGGGGGCTTTCTTCTATAGATTCTATGCATTGCCACGAGTCTGGTCTCTCTTCTTTTGTCACTATTAGACCACAATTTTGGCAGTGTCCACCGTGAAAACTGTGTTCGTGATCTAGGTACTGATGTTTCTCAATTGATTTAGAAATATTTGAAGCAATGCTCTCTTATTGTCTAGTGACGTCACGAGCATGGTTTTCCTGGTGCAATGCACTTATGGAGTGGACGATCCTATGCAGAGCTAGAAACTTAAGGAGGGGAGGGGAGGTTCATGCGGTTCCGTCATTCTGCTTTCTACACGCGCATAATAAGAATTTAACTTTTGCTGTAGAACTAAGCTTCAATAGACTTATTTTTATTTTATTTCAACTTTTGACTTTTTCTGTGATTCTCTCTTGTAGCCTTTCAAATTTTCTTAGCACTCGTTTAATTTTGTGGTCACTTTTTTTCCGCAGACTCATGCACAGTACTCCTACCCAGAAATGTCTGTGGCGGTAGGTACTTTTGACTTTTGTCTAGCCAACTACCTTTTTTTTTAAATTAGAAACCTACTTGGATTTTTTTTGTCTTTCTTTTTCTCTTTTTGAAATTTTTGATTGTTTTGAAGTTTTTTTAACCATTTGTGTTTGTTTGTTTATGTGGCCCCTTTTTTCCACATTTCAGGTTCATTAAAATTTTTATCGCGGTCTGAAACGAATTTTCGGGTATTTGTAAAAGGGCGTCTTTGGAACGAACCATCCCACTCGTATCGCCGTCACCACAAAGAATTCCTCCTTTTTGTCCGTGCATTTGCCCACGTCATGGTTTAGGGGTCACGGGGCGGTCGCGATAACGCACTTCCACAAACGCGGCAGCGTCCGAAACGTCCATTTGAAATATTCAAAATAGCGGGGGGTCGTCGAGTCACTTTGCTCACCTTCCCCGTCCAGCCACTTTCCCTCCAGCCTGTTTTTTTCCAGCAGCAGCGCTCTTTTCTTTTTCTCGCTCTGTCTTTTTCCCCCGCCGCCTTCTCCGGGTGCTCTCTCTCCCTCACGCCCCCGCCCTCCCTGTCCAGGAGAACGAGCTGCTCCGCGAGCACCTGGCCTCGGCCATCGCCAACTGCTGCAGCTGGAACAACAACTGCCACCAGTTCGGCGCGCTGCACGCCGTGCGGCCCCTCGTCACCTACCTGGAGTCCAACAACAAGGCCGTGCACCGCACCACGGCGCTGGCCCTGCACCAGCTCTCCACCGACCCCTACAACTGCATCACCATGCACCAGGCGGGGGTCGTCTCGGTGAGGACCAACAGTGTCGCGTGTTACGCGGGAAATCGAAGCAGGGAAACCACAACGCCATCTGAGAACCGCACACTGAAGAGACGTCTGACGATGCCCTGTAGTGACTCCGTCTCTCTCTCTCCTCCTCTTGCAGTATCTCCTGGAAACCATCGGATCGTCGGACGAGGTCCTCCAGGAGGCGTCCGCAGGCTGCCTGAGCAACATCCGGAAACTTGCGCTGTCCGCAGAGAAATTCAAATACGAGAACTGAAAGATGTGCCACCTCCCCATTTTTGTATTAGTCTTATCCTTTTTTCTACGTACAGGGTATTTATTGTTAGTTACCTTCAAAACTACGAAATAAATTGGCGGTTCACTCGTTGTCGTTAAACTTGAGGACTAGAGTTTGTACATCTAAAACTCTCATACCGAAGCCCAGTTCGTTGTTGGCGCTTCCTAGAAGGCGGTTATGCCGCCAAAACAACATGGATCCACCCCTGGCCTAACCACAATCTTTTTCAAAATCCCGCCATGTACTTGACGCAGTTCCACTATGAACACGATTCTCCCGACGGCTGCCCTCCCCACTACACCCACTGCCGGCCGCGCCGTTCGGCCGTTTAAACGGAAAGTTGAACGGCCGCAGGACAAATTACCATCTTGAATTCGTGACGCGAGCAAAGGCAGGTAAAGACAGGTGAGGCGGCCAGTGCGCCTGGTCTGGTCGTCCTGCTCAGACCGTCAGCCCAAACGAGGGCATTTCATCGAGACAGTCCTTCTTTGCCTCCAGAGGCTCCAGCGCCATGGAGTCGCTGTGCCCGCTGTTCGTCTTCAAGGTGCTGCTGGAGCGCGTGCTGCTGGTGGACGACACGGCCATGCTGGTCGGGGTGCCGCTGAGCGCGCGCGTCCAGTTCCTGGACATGCCGCTGGAGGCCGTGGCGACGGCGGCGGGCGGCGACGCGGCGCAACCCAAGGCGAGCGTGTCCTTCGGGGGCTTCCCCGAGCGCAAGACCGCGCCCTTCTACTCGGACGCCACGGCCCTGCTGCGCAGCCTGCAGCGGCAACCGCTGGCCGTGACGCTGTACCAGCAGCACCCCGCCGCGCCGCTGCCCGTCGTCGTGGGCGTGGCCAGCGTCCCCGTCGCCGACGCCTTCGCCACCCTGCTCACCAGGCAAGGGCAGGAGTCCTCCGAGACCGCCGACCGCCCGCTCGGGGGAATATAATTAAAGCCTCGCCCAACTTCTTCCGAATCGATGCGGTCGAGTGCCAGATAAGCGAGGAGCATCCGTCGGCATCCGCCCACTTTGGCCTCCGCGGAACAACAACTCGAGCCTCAAAGTACAGCTAATCAGCTGGCGACGGTGGCACCCCAAAGGCCGTCGTTGCAGGGGAAGGGATTTTTTGAGGGGAGGGTGCCCAGCTACATAGATCGCTGTTCGGCATTCGGTCCAAAACAGACAACCCCTATTTAAAACCACCGCTGTCACCAGGGCCAACAAGTGCGCGCCGCGGCACCCGCTGGCGGCCGTGGTCCGCGACGAGTACGCCGTGCTGGACGCGGGCAAGGTGGGCGTGCAGGTGGGCACGGTGGCGCTGTCGGCGCGCCTCGTGTGCTTCGACGGCCAGGCCCTGGAGCAGATGCGAGCCGACAAAGTCCGCGCCGCCACGGCCACCGCCTCCGCCACGGCCGCCATGGGGTCGCTGACGCCGCGACGCACCAGCCACCCCGTGTGCGCCGACGACAAGATGGTGTCGCCGGCCACGGACACGTGCTCCAAGTGCATGCTGCCGAAGCGGCCGCCGAGCACCATCCGCCACGCGCACCACCGCGAGCCCAGCCAGGCCACCATCCTGGAGGAGAACAACAACAACGGCAGGGTGGGTTGCAGCGCGTGCTGGCGCCTTCCGGTGCGCGCCGACTGGCGAGGTAAATGCCGTGCTTCTCTAGGGCCTCGCCGTTGCTGCCGCAGGACGGCGTCCCGAGCGGCCGGCCGGTCTTCTCAGCGGCCCGGCCCCTGGCCCCCATGCCCCCAATGCCGCCACCGCCGTCCCAGCGGCAGCAAACTGAGGGTCTGTCTGAGGCCCGCGGCGGTGACGACCAGCACCCAGCGGTGACCACCCCCAGGATCGCTGCCCAGGACGCGTCTGGTGACGCCACTTCCACCACCGCCGCCAACGAGAAGGTTATACCACCAGCCCCAGCAAGTGTTGCCACCGCCGCCGTCAAGGAGGTTCAACGGCCAGCCCCTGCGAAGGTCGCCGTCAAGGACACGCGGCGGGCCGCGTTGGCCTCCACGGTGTGCGCCGCCCTGCCCGTGAGCAGCGCGTCGACGTGGTCCTCTGCGGCGTCTGCAGATGCGGGCCAAAGGAGGGAGTCCGCTGGAGGAGTAGGGGTGGCTGGCCAACATGGGGACAGCAGCGGACTGGGCCAGCGGGTGGCGGGTCGCGGCGTTGACGGTGAACGCGGCCGAGAGGTCGACGGCGACCGAGAGCAAGGGTTGGCAACAGGTTCGAGGGTCGACGGCGAACGGGGCCAAGGGGTGGCGGGCGCGAGGGTTGACGGCGGCGACGCCCAAGCATCCAGCAGCCGCGGGGAAGCTGAAACTTCAAGGCACACCCGACGCGAAGGTGATGCGGCCATAGACGGCGGCACCGGCGGCACTGCCTCCACTGGGACTGCCCGCCCCCCGAAGGACCCGAAGGCTGTTCAAATGGCGGCCACAACAAGACAGGCCGCGGCCGGCCAGAAGGCTGCCCAGGCGGGCACCGGGGCCGCGGCTGACGACAAGCTGGCCGCCAGCGAGGAGGGCCAGCCCTGGGCGGCGGGCGGCGCGCGCGCCAAGCGCGAGATGTGCGTGTGGGTGGGCGAGACGCACTTGGTGGCGGCCAAGCGGCCCGGCCCCGCCACCGCCACCGACAGGCAATTCAAGCTGCCCGACTTCGCGGCCAGAGACGGGGACAGGTAAGGCCCTCCACGCGACTCTGTCTCTCTCGCACTGATGGGGTGTGTCGTAGGGGTGCGAGAGGGACAGCGGCGCGAGCTTTGCGCGGAATCGGCGTGTGGACTCGCCACGTGCGTCCATACTATGTAGTTGTCGCCGACTGCCCCCCTTTCGGGGAATAAATGCTAGGAGCAGCGAGATAAGGGAGTTAGCGGTGTTCCCTCGCGGGTCACGCAAACGCCGCCGGCGCCCTATCACTTAATCTCGTCGCGCGTTACGGAAAAATATAATCCTCGGATCGCCTGCACTGATAAAAAAATAAACACAGCATCGCCGCAAACTTCCGGCGGATGCGCGAGGCGCCCCCGCGCGCCGTCGACGTCGACCTGGAGATGAACCTGAGCGCGCCGCTCCGCCGGTACGGTCACACGGACTGCGCGGCGCCTCCCAAGCTGGTGCCCGCCAATCAGGGGTGGCTGTGGTGCCCCGAGCCGTCCGCCGACCACCAGGTGAGGGGCCTCGCCCTGTCTCTCTCGCACTCATGGGGCGTTCGGCAGGGGCGAGAGAGAGACAGGGCAGTGATGGTGCTCCCTTCCCTCGGCCACAGCCCCGGCGCGGCTGGTACCCCGGCGCCATCCCCCGAGGCCTCCGGCTGCGCCCCACGCAGTCCGAGGGCGTCGAGGCCGCCGCGGGGAGACACCACTCGCCAGAGTGAAAGGAAATGCCGACAGATACTCGATCTCGTTTTATTATAAACAAAAACAGTACTGAAAAGGGTGTTTTACATTTTACATTTACACTTTGGTCTGTGGCTTTGCCGGCTTTGCCCATCGGCGTCCATCCTTGCTCTGGTGCGCGTGCTCGGCGCACTCGCGAGTCATGCCTTCGGCAGCAGCCTGCCGAGGTCCGCGACGGAGTCGATGTAGTAGTCGGGGATGAGATTCGGGTCGCACGTCTCCAGGTCCTCGATGGCCGTCATCCCCGTGAGGACGAGCAGCTTCTTCATGCCGCAGTTGTTGGCAATGCCCATGTCCTGCTCCAGGCTGAAGCAAAAGGTTTTTCTATTTCCTCTCGTGTTCTTTCGGAAGCAATGTCTTAAAATAATGACGGAAAATGTGTCGTTCTGTCGCCTTGATACTTACGAGTCCCCGACGAAAATGCTTCTCGCCATGTCGAGCTGGTGCGCGTCCTTGAGGAACTCGGTGACCATCATCGGGGCAGGCTTGCCCACCCACTGGGCCTTCCTCCCGGACGCCCTCTCAACGATCTCCGTCCAGTACCCCGGGCCTGCGACCGTGTCCAGGAGTCATTTTAGATACTCTCCACTCGGTGGTCGACGAGACCCACAGAGCACGCTCGACGATTCATGAATCATAAAAGTGTAACTTACCTAGGCATATTTTCCCGCCCACGGGAATGTTGCATTCAGTGGCGCAAGCGAAAAAGAGGCACTCGGGGTCCTCGCGCAGGTAGTTGGCGGCCTTGACCAGGTCCAGGCCCGTCAGATACAGATCGAAGTCCACGATCACGGCCTTCACTTTCCCCGCATCTTTCCCGACCAAGCGCAAGAATTCGATAATTTTCTCAGGATGATCCTCCGCCGTCTAGAAAATAAAACCGATTTTTCATCAAGCTATAGCGAAAGCGTCCGCTGAATTTAAACACCTTTTCTCTCTCTTGTCGTCTGCTCACCCTCTGCACGACGTCGATCCCCTGGTCTTGAAGGGTCCTCTTGAACGTCTCGGAGGCCAGGACCAGGGCTTGGCCTTCAAAGCCCCTTTTCTTCAGGTACCTTGCGATGACTGTGGATGGAACGACAACCTCGTCCTGAGACCGGAAGGGCAAGAGAATTACTCTGAGGTCCATATTTAATAAGTTTCTTTAAGAGCAAAGTCTTGTTCAAAGAAGCAAATACGAATACTTCTAAAGAATTTGAAGCTGCTCTGCAGAAATATGCTTCTTTACACTGTTTGTCTTACCTCCGAGACTGGGTAGCCCATCAGCTTAAACTTTTCTTGCGGCGGGTGGAATGAGTTGTTGGAAACGAACATAACTTTCTTTCCCGCTCCCCTCAACCGGTCCAGGGCTTCTTCAGCTTTCGGATACATTCCAGTCGCCAACGGCGTCCAAATCACACCTGCGGACGGGATCACATTCATTATCCCCCTATGACTACTACACCCTCACAGAGGACTTCCCGCGCAAAACGCCGATAGGCAAACCAGAGCACCGGTACGATAAGACTGGATTTCTTTTCAAAACAAACACAACCTAGTATAGGTAAAATCCGTCCTGTGGCCACCACTAGAGCTAGGTACTCACCGTCGCAGTCCAGCACGAAGGCGTCCACCTGCGCCATCAAGTCCGAGACATTGTCTTTGGTGATTTTGACAGGCTTGCGCCTGGGTGCCGCGCCTGCTGCGTCCGCCATGGTCTGCGCTGAAGTGTCAGTCTGTCAGTCCGCGGCGCGGCGGCCCCACTGGGCGGGCCCCACACTGGGTGGCCTGGCCCTGTACTGTACCTTATCTCCTAGTCGCTAGATAAAAAGCACCACGGTCACGGACGTGTTCCAACATTGTGTTTCCCTTTGCAATTCTAAATCAAACGTGAATTTTTTTATTCTTTTTTTTTTAGTGTTTGTGTTGAAACGATTTCGAATGGGAGTGTGGTGTGGGTGGAATGCCATCAATTAATTAATCGGTCTAAGCGAGCAGTCAAATAAACAAGAATGACAGTGACAAGCGAGGTGACAAGTCAATGGGAATTCTGGAGCGTGACGTCACGTTCATACACGTGAATCGTCTCACATTCCTTGCAGTGGTGTGTCACTAATCGTTCCAATCGGCTAGGGCAGTGCCCGGCAGTGCCGCACGAGGCACGGTTCGCGTAAAAGCGAGTAATGTGACAAGGGTATTCAAAGCCGGTGAAGCAGTCATGTATGAATGTTTATTATTGCCCATGAGCACACTCGCGACTTGTCTTTTCTCTGCTGAGCTGTTTATTCTGTTTATTCGCACGTCTGTCTTCTCTCTCCTCTTGAAGCGAGTGCACGCGCCGCCGGGATGCGTAACGATTGGTGCGCTCAGTCTTTTCTTTGCGGGCCTTGCGGGCCTTGCGGGCCTCCAGGGTGCGCTTCGAGGAGCCGAGCGAAGGCCGCGATGGAGTCCATGACGAAGTCGGGCAGGAGCTCCGCGGGACAGGAGTCGAGGTCCCGGGGCCGTGTGACGCCCGTGAAGACGAGCAGCTTCTGCATGCCGCAGGCGTTGGCCATCCCCATGTCCTGCTTCAACCTGACAGGGCAGGGAAACGACAGTGAGCGATCGAGGCTGCTGATTGCAAACAGTGTTTTCGTCGCTCTGTCTCTGTCGCACTCTGTCGCCGCTGTTGTGCAACGGGCGCTGCGCGAAATCAGATTACCAGTGTGTACGTGGTTTACTTACGCGTCGCCCACGAAAACGGTCCGGCTCAAGTCGAATCGGTGCGTGGCCTGGAGGAAGTCGGTCACCATGGCGGGGCTCGGCTTGCCGAACACCTCGGCCCTGCGGCCCGTGATGTCTTCCAGCAGCTTCAGGAAAGGGCCCGGAGCTGGAACGTGCAAGGATCGTGTTTCTATGGCTTTTCTTTGCACACGGGGCCCTCTTTTTCCCATCACGGGGAGGGCCACCTGCCGTAACCAGAACCCTGCTTATCTACCGATGTACTATCAGTATGGGGAAGTCAGCCCACCAGGAAGGGCCGCGGGTAATTTGGCACGCCACTCGTCGCAGTGCTGACTGAGTGATTGGCCATCATGGGTACTACTTTCACATCATTACAACTTACAACCCATTTTCATGAGTGGTGTCAATTATTGTCGCATGGCATGCTTTTCCCCCTTTTTTGTGCATTTTTAATTCTTTCGTTGTCTTACCCATGGCGATCTTCTCGCTGGGGAGAGGGAAAAGAGTGTCCGTGGCCCCGACGAGGAACAAGCACTGCGGCCTGCTCTTGAGGATGCTGGCGGCGCTGCACAGGTCTATGTAGCGGATGTTGACGTCCACGTCGAGGACCACGGCTCCGACTTCCGGGTCGAGGTCGATTTGTTCCACGCAGCGGCTTATGTTTTCGTCCACCAGTGCCGCTGTCTGGAGAGACGGGACCGTTGCTTATGGTAGTTCATTTACCATGGAGTACGCGGGATGCAGACGGCTTAGATATTGGATTCTATGGGCGGCAGGCTGGGCCGTGGTTCGGAGCGAAGATAATGCTAGAGTCCCAGAGCTCTAGGTGTGCAGTGCAGGGTGCTCCACTTGCATACACTGTGGCGAAAAGGTACAGAAAATTCTGTGAACAGCTTGTGGTAATTCTCCGTAGCCCCCTTATCAATATTCTCCGTAGGCTCTTACAATATTCTCCGTAGGACCGTACAGTATTCTCCGTAGGGCCCTACGGTGTTCTCCATAGGACCGTACAGTATTCTCCGTAGGGCCCTACGGTGTTCTCCATAGGACTATACAGTCGTCCAGGTCCTACGGAGAAGACTGTGCGGTCCTACGGAGAATACTGTACGGCCCTACGGAGAATACTGTAAGAGCCTACGGAGAATACTAATAAGAGGGCTACGGAGAATCCTGGCAAAAAAATTAACAGAATTTTCCGTAGCTTTTTGCCACAGTGTACAACCGCGAGGTTTGGTGGGGCAGCCTACCCTGGCCGTCTGCAGGCGCAGCAAATTCCAAAGGCCAGGGCGGGCCAGCCCGCCTCACTCATGTTTCTATATCTCGAGTGGGACTTCCCTGTAGGTCACTCAACCGCCAGGCCGCGGCGGTTATCGCCCTGGGACTGGCAGCCCATGACCGACTGAATTCAGTGCACCTCGTATTGGTGGCTGGGAAGGTTGAAACAAGAACTCTCGACCTTTGCCCAGTCCCGATTCGGTTTCATCGCTTGCAAGTACGCACCCTCTCCTCCGGCACCACGTGGATGCCGCTCCTGCGAAGCACGTTTTTAAAGAACTCGACGCCGAACACGAAGGCCTTCTTCGTGAAGCCCGCCTGCTGCAAGTGGCGCGCGATGACGGTGGCGGGGACGGCGATTTCATCCTGCAAGAGTACGCCGCCCAGTCAACGAGGAGCCCGCGAAGCCAAATTCGCCGGCAACGACAACACGCACCTCTTCCACTGGAAAGCCCTCGGCCTTCAACTTGTCCAAGATCGAGAGTGTCGAGTTGTTGGAGACGAAGTAAACCTTCTTCCCGCACGCCCGCAGCGCCCTCAGCGCCGCCATGGCGTTTTCGATCGGACCCTGAGGCGTCCATAAAACGCCTGTAAAAACATGACTTACATTTTTTTCGCCCCCTTGCGTGATGCGGAGCACGCTGTCGCTGCTCACCATCGCAGTCGCACACAAACGCGTCGACGCCCTGCAGGAACTGGGCGACGTTGGCCTCCGTGACGGGCACGGGCTGCGGCGGCTGCGACGGCTGCGACGGCTGCGACATGGTCGGACGGCCGCGACCACTCGAATGCCATCAGGGGGCGCGCCGGGATGCCGGGAACGGGTTCGCCCGCAGACTGGATTCCGAACAGTGCCTTCGTCGCTCCGTCTCCCTCGCACGCATGGCGCCCCGTGGGGTTACGAGAAAGGCAGAGCGGCGAAAGCACCGTTCAGACGGCAGAGAGTCACCCGCGGGGTTCAGTCACCTCCAGCCTTATCAGCGAGGCACCTCCAAGGGAGCTCCAAGGGAGCACGCCACAGCTACCGTGACCGGCGTGACCGCACCGGCGGCAGGTCTGCGCTGCGTCTCGGAGGTCATCGATTTCGCTTTCGCAGCAACCTGCCCCTCCGTCCCGCGGCCCGGCCCGGCCCGGCCTCGCACGCGCCGGCAGACTCTAGAGGTCGGATGTGAGGGCGCCCCGCGTCCCAGCGCATCGCGCCAAAACCAGTCGCGAGCTCAAACTACAAGGCAGATAACGCGCGGCTTTTTACTTTTTTAGAGCACGTTTGCACGGGGTTCACGCGCCCCGGCCGCGCCCTGGCGGGCCTGGCGGGCCCGGTGCAAAAAGCCTCGTGTCGCAACGTGTCGTCGGCGTCGAAAGGGTTGCCTACCGCCGCCCGCCCGACCCACGCACTTTCCCAGCTGGTGTCTCTGAGATGAGGGGTAGGCAACTCTACGTTCACCTGTCCCTTGCAGTCCCCTGCCGCCGGCACGCGCTGCTAGTAGGCAACCCAAAGTACCCCTCGTGCTGCGCTGAAGAGCGGTACGGCATTTGCAATTTTTCAAGTGAAACTCAGCACGTAATCTCCTTGGAGTCTCGAGGACGAGAAGGAGAAGGAAGCGTTCTCGGAATGAATGGAAAGGGTCCCACTCGAGCGGGCTTGAGTTCACCACTGTCTCGCAAATCACTAAGCTGCTGTCGTTTGTCTCTCTCGCCCTCATCGGGCCGTTCGTGAGGGATGCGAGAGAGACAGAGCGACGTCGCGCCCCGCCGCCCTTCCCGTGTGGGTGAGTGCCGGGCCGGTCTCCGTGGAAGACAAACTCGCTGCGAATCGCCGAGTCACTCCAGGCGGGTGAGGGGAGGGGCCGCCCCGGCAGTCGGCTCGCTCGGCTCCGCTCTGGGACACTGGGATCGATCCCAACGACACGTGCAGGTGGCAGGAGGTCAAGCAGAGTGCTCACGGTGCAATATTTTTTTTAATGTCATTTTCTTTGTACTTTGATCAAATACACATAGGAAATGAAATAATAAGGCTCCAATATCAGGCGTAGCTGGACATTTCTGTTCTGTGAGTGGAGTAGGGAAAAGATATTTGGTATCGGGCAGTTGTCTGTTTGCCGGTCTCCTGGGGGCACGCCGGCACACCGCTAATCCTTCTTGAGTAGTTCGACAAAATCGCCGACCGAGTCGATGATGTAGTCCGGAATCAACTCCGGCGGGCACGTGTTCAAGTCACGCAGCTTCGTCATGCCGGTGAGGACCAGCAGCTTCACCATCCCACACGTGTTTGCGACGCCCATGTCCTGCACCAGGCTGTAAGAAATGTGTCATTTGATGCTGGTTTTCCGTACATTCTGAGTGAAATGCCCGCTAACTGGAGCCGGCGGGACTGCCAGAACCAGTGTTGCCACACCACATTGGTAATCAAATAGGTATCCCACGATACACCAGTGTTTGGGGGAGTGGGAGAGGGTGGGGGGCTGGCAACGCAACCAGCCTGCCTGCTAGGCAACTGCTCGAGAGGGAAAGCCCAGATATTGCCTAATGAACATGCGAGGTTGGCAACCCTACCGGGTGCATCGTGGGACATTTTGCATACTTATGCGGCAAAACTGGCCAGGGCTACCCTGAGGACGCAGCTGCGTCCGGGACTGCCTTTATACGGAACTTTAGGAATCCATTTATACCCGAGGTCGAGGGGGAAATCACTCTTAAAACCTGCGACCCGACTATTACGCCTATAACGCTCTATTACGCCTCAAAATACAGCGATTTAGCGGAAAACAGACCAAAAAACCCCTAAAATAGATCAAATTTTGAGAATTTCATCTATTACGCTACTATTACGCGCACTATTACGCGTGCTATTACGGACAGAGTGACCCGACTATTACGCGAGTGCTTTCCCCCTCGCCCGAGGTACTTACGTGTCGCCCACAAACACCGTCCGATGCAAGTTAAGGTTGTGTTCATCCTTGAGGAAGTGTGTCACCATCAAGGGTCCGGGCTTGCCAAACATTTCGGCTTTCTTACCGGTAATATCTTCTAGAATTTGCAAAAAGGGACCAGGGCCTGAAAACGACGCATTCAAAACGCATGTGTTCTCTGATGACAAAAGACAATCAATTTTGCGGATCGTACCAACAACCACCCTGCCCCCATCGAATGTGACCGCTGTGTCGGTTGCCCCTGCGTAAAGACGGCAGTCTGGTTTGAGCAGGTAGTTGGCAGCCTTGTTGAGATCCGTGTAGCTCAAATTAATATCCAAGTCCACCACGACGGCACCAACATCAGGGTCGGGGTCAATGTTTTCTAAAATACTTTCCAAGGTTTCCTCTACAAGCGTACCGGTCTGAATGTATGTAAAGGCGGTTAAACAAAATAAATGTTAAGGTGTCGATCGATTGACGTCCATACTGCTTACTTTAGTGTCCGGTAGTACGCGGATGCCACCCCGACGCATTTCATCCTTGAAGCGCTCCACGGCCAGGACAAACACCTTTTTCTGGAAGTTGATTTTCTTCAAGTAGCTCGTGAGTGCCATGGACGGGTGGACTACTTCATTCTGAAATTAGGCGTCAATGAGACAATTGCGTGTGGCAACAAAATTGTTACTTTAAAAAAAAAAAAACTTTAAAAAAATAATAAACTTGCTGGTTTGACGTCGTAACCAAATCTTCTGAACTTTTCCAACGGTCCTAATACAGAGTTGTTGGTGGCATAAAGAACTTTCTTTCCGGCGGCTTTAAGGCAATCCATGGCTTCCCTCGAATTGGGAACCGCAGTCTTCCCAATAGACCAGATGACGCCTTCCAAGCAGCGGGCAAATTAAAAATGAAAATCTGTTACCAATGTGACGACAGACATTGTATCGTATTGTAGCCTCACCGTCACAGTCGGACACTACTGCATCTATCTGGTTCATGAAGGACTGAATGTTGTCCTTCGTGAGCTTGATGGGCCTCTTCCTCCGCCTCTTGGCGCCGACGACGCCGACCATGGCCACCATGCCGACCGCCACCGCCGCGGCCGCCACCACGGCCGTGTTCGTGGTGGACGTCAACATGGCCACTGTCCAGGAGAATGGGGCTCGGACTCCACTGCTCGCCGGCCCACTGCCTGCCGCAGTCGCCGTCGAAGTGCAGTCCGGGGAGTCCGGAGCCGCTTCGAGGGGCGTAGAGAGACTGGCACGGGCATAGGGCACCACCACTACTGCTGCACCCGTCCGTCCCGTCACTGCCGTGCCGCCGTGCCGTCACGCGGCCGCTACCCCCTCCCTCCCTGCCGCCCGACAAAATCTATACATGTTGCACTTATGCGCATATTTATCGGGCCGGGCCGGTGGTGACGCGGCCCGGCCGACCCGACCCCAGGTGCGGGGCGCTCGCCTCTCTCGTCTCCACGTGGCTGCCAGGCTGCCAGGGGCCCTCGGCGACGAGCGTCCACACTCTCGGCGCGGTCCTAGGAGCGCAGGATCCCAATGAGCGCGGTCCAAAGGACTCCTCTCTTACTTGGCCGCTTATGCATAAAACATTCTAAACCGTTCCTAGTTCCCCTCCCCCCACCCGGTCACCAAGACGTCCTTTTGAGCTGCAACGAGGAGGTGATGATTAGCATCAGCTTGTGGATGAGAGGGAGTCTCTGTGCTACTCTCTCAAGGCCACGCTTGCTTCAATTTCCTAAGGAACCAGGGGAGAAGAAACAAAGCCGGTTCAATAAAATGGTACCACCACTTTAATTTTACATGAGGGTAGAACCAATATCCAAAGGGACTTATAACACATTTTACGACAAATGGAAAGGTACACAGAATGTCAACTGGAGATACTGTCAAGAGTGATTTGTCAAATGGAAAAGTTAACAAAAATACATTTAAGTATAAAATCTAACATTTGTTATAAATTAATACAAAAAATAGACATTACCCGACACAATCACACAAGTAACAGAGTAAACCTCCACAATATGAGGGTACCAGAATAACAATGACGACAAAACTATTTATAATTAGTGGTGCAAATTCCTACGTCAAAAAGTCCAGGCTTGCCTTGGCCTTCTCTAGTTCGTGCAGGAACGAGTAGAACTGAGACAGAGACATTTCAAGGTAAACGTTCTTCAACTCCTTTTCCTCACCCTCCACTGTGATTTTCAAGTGGAGGTAAGACGTTCCCACTTTGTCTGCTTGGTCCGTGGACGCTGTCACCCCAAACTTCCAGTCAACGTCAACCACTTTGTCCATTTTCACCGGCGATGTCGATGCCATGCCCGCGGTCTCGAGGTCCGGAGATTCAACGGAGGCAGCCCGGCAGGAAAACCCGCGCTGACAATCGCTATTTTGTGAGGGTTGAGTAAATTTGGCCGCGGTTTGACAGATTAACCGTGAACCGAAGTCTTCTGTGCGGTGTCAGGAAAGAAAACACAAAATCTGCGAATAATGAAACAACTGTGACCATGTTTCCACCAGGCGGTGGTCGCACTATTCGCAGTAGCGCGCCGTGCCGTGCCGAGCCGGCTCGGCTAGCGGTTGACACAACAGACAGACGATCAGACGAGGCTAGGAGTTGGTCCATTTGGTCGGCTTTCCCTCGAATATCCGACGCGGAAGGCCCAACTAAGCCGCCACCATGACGGCCAACGAGTGCTACCGCCCGCCCGTCGACGCGCAACTCCGCTACACCGTCCAGTGGTTCCACGAGTGGAGCGAGATGCAGCGCGGCGACTTCCTGCCCGTCCTGGCCCAGAAGCTGGCCCCCGGTAGCTATGTCAACGGGCTGCTGGCCGGCGTGGAAACCTTGTCCTGCAACGAGAACGGCCGGCCGCCCAGCCTTTTCCAGTGTCGTGTCAAGCTGTTCCGCGACTGGTTCGAGACGTGGAGCCCGGCGGAGCGCGAGCAGCTCCTGGGCCACATCAAGAGCATGGACCCAGCCTTCCACACCAAGATCCAGGAGGAGCTGGAGGCTTTGGCCACGGGCTGCAGGCCCAAGCCAGAGAGGGACCAGGACGCCGACGAGGACGCCCCCGTCCTGGGAGGCGTCAACCACAACCACCAGGCTGCTGTGCAACCCGTTGAAGTGGAGGCAGAAGCTGAGGCGGAGGCCGTGGAAGAGATCGAGGGCCCTGTCAAGGATCCCATCGAGGATCCTGTTGAGGACGCAGTTGAGAATCCTGTTGAAGTGACGGAGACAGTAGACGCAGAGCAGCAGGAAGAGGCCTCGCCTTCAGAATAGACTGAGCTCTTTCAGAGGTTGTCGCTACAACCAGTTGAAGGTTTGTATTTTTGTTGACTCGCATGACATTAAATTTGATGGCGCTTTCTTTACATCTCTAGGCTGCTGTGTCATGATGATTTACAAATGGGACACCTTTTAATGCAAGGGAATCTTTTCTCATTTCAGATGTGCCACGTTTCTTCAGACAAGATGGGTAGTGCTGAAGCTTCCAAGAGCTTATGCAAACACTTTTATCTGAATGAACAAACAGTCTCTGTGAGATAGAGGACGGTGCCTTTTTTACTTGTGAACTTTCCAAGCTAAAGTTTGTGGTATTTTATAACTTATATGAAGTTTATATTTATTATTTTCAGTGGAAATATGCTGTTGACTGACAACCTTTTATTGCACTGTTCGTTCTCATATATTTTTCCCATTTAGGTGTTAGCAATCAATTTTAAGCTTTCTTTTTGTTTCTTTTTCAATGTTGTTGAAGACAGTTGATTTATGAAAGGCAGATTGAAGGGATTTGAAGACATTTATTTATTTATTCTGTATTGGTCAGTCAGTCATACTTTACTCATTTTTATAAGTATTATAATTTGAATTAGCAAATGGAGGAATTAGTTGTTCTCTTCATTAGTAGCTTTTTAAAACTGGCAGCTATTGGGGAAAGAAAAGACTTAAGTTTGTTTGTTGCGTAGTTACTGAAAATGACAGGAGTTGACGTTAGTCTTTATTGCATCACATTAATGTTAGATAAATGTCAACCTCAACCTTTTGTGCATGGAAAATTGTTCATGTTTTTTGTGGATAATTTGTCTATTCCTGTTTTCCTTTCTTCTTGTTTTGTCTTTTCTTGACCTTTAGAGACACAATAGTTTTCCAGCTTACTGGAAAATTTATTTGTTTGTCTTTGAATGGTTGTATATGTGGCATACATTCCATATTCTACAAATAGATTGTATATTATTATTCTCAAGAATTATTCTTAGGTTTTCTGTTGGAGCTGTGGCTCGGAACTGCAGACAGTGAATTCACAATTACTGTTTACATTGATTCATTACCATAGTATCATTCTGATGCCAACTTTCAAACCATTGATCTGGAGGCTTTTTCTTTCATGCTTTTCTTTGTTAAAAAAAATTCCATTTAACTAGTCATGAATCTAATACTGCAGGTGAGAATTTTCCAAGGATGACAAAGAGATTTTCTTGCCTAGATCTGACAATGTGTGTGATATATACTTCCCTGTACTTGGACTTTCTCTTCAGTGTTATTTTAAGCTTTGATCGAAAATGTATTTTTGTAACCTTGATATCTTGACTCTCAGTATTTGAGCTGATAAAAAGTGATGAGTGCAGGTATTGTACTATGAACTTTCCCTTGATAGTTATTTTTCAGCTATGTAGAGTTGGTTCAGTAGTATGGTAGATAAGATGCATCATAAATACTTGTGGTAACAGTATGTGATACACTGCATTCCTTTCAAGTGTCCATCACACTTTTGTTATGTTACTGAAACATTTTTCCAGTAATTACTAATACAAATGTTAGTCATTAATTCCGTTGGGTTGGGCTTGTTGCATGATTGGATTCCATTATTTAACTAAAATTTCCATGTTTTTACTAAAAGAAGGGACAAATACTCACCTTGTTTCTTGGTGATACTTACCTAGCCAATAAATTATTCTTATCAAACAAACAATATTTTTTGATATATGTTTTTGCCACTTTTGCCTTGGCTTTTGATTTCAGCCCATATCATGACTTCAAATGCTGGGGTGTGTTGTGCACTCCCATTTGCTCTCCTGGTAGGTAGGCAACCCATTAACTTCTGCCAGATCTGACTGGGGATGAGGAGAAATGGCATCCGATGGGTTGTTAGAATCTCCTGAGCAGTATTGGCTCTGCATGTTGATTAAAACTAGGTAAATCTCTGGTTCTTGTCTGACCCCAAGATCCATTGTGTAATGATTTCCATTTAGAAGGGACGTTTGGGATTTCGCGGCCTTAAAGGCAAATTCTGGCCTTCTCATTCCACTTCTCATTCTCACTCCTAGTCCTCTTTGGCTAGCCGGCAAAGGTGTCATGTTACAGATAATCATCATTCGCACCCGGGAGACCACAAGCCATCCTAGCGGAATTCGAGAGCTTCTTAGGCAAGATCAAGTGAAGGGAGCAGCCTCACAATCAGTCGGTGGAAATAGTTTGTGCAGTCCGCGAAGTTGCCAGGGAAACGAAAGCAAAAAGGATGAGAGGTTTTTTTAAAAGCTACAACACAAAATTAAAGAAAAAGCTTCTTTATTTGGGACACTTTGAGATCCCATTTTATCATATTTACAATAGCTTTTCAGTTTAAATGCACACATTACAGCAAATTGACACTATTAACCTATTATAATTGATTTTCTGACACTACTAAGATGCGTCCTTCCCTATTTAATGTAGTTACGTTAATTGTAAAACGAGGTTTATTAACACAAAATCTACTTTACAAAATCTAATTAATTCCAATCCACCATTTCGATTTAGGCAGGGTATCACAGAGGGACATATCAAATGGGGAAATGCAATACAGTTAAGAATAATCATCTATTTACACATACAAAACACACAAAAAAAAAAAAGAATTTACTACCACTATTCAAAAGGACAATAATAGAAAAAGTTTGGAATGCACACATGTGTGGCCCCAATAGTTCAGATACCATGGCACATACACGTAATTGAAGCCAAGCATAATTTATAACAGTATAATTTAATGTGATACATATACACATAAACATAATATGAGATGAAGCCTGACATACAAAATCTCAGAACCTCAAAACATCGACAGGCATGTTCCTCATCACAACCCACACATATCAGCCAATCATCAATAAAGAGAAGGGAACTTTAGTGTGTCATAGGTTAGATTTACTTTCAGACATATAGTATAGATGGTAGACACACAAAGAGAAAAATAACTAAGTAAGAAGTCCTTCTTTTATCGCCAAGGCTTCACCTTTTTCAGAATAAACTATTGGATAGGAAACTAGAGAATCACAGGAAATAAAAATGTTAATGAAATCACAATAAATGGATGCTCAAAGTTAGTTTGAATGCAGGTTACAGAAATGTACTTATTCGGCAACCTATGTATGCACATCTGAAATCTGAGACTCCACAGTAATTGAGATTTGGCACGTAAGATGCAACCCCTAATCTACAGTGAAATTTGAAAATCAAGAAATTACAAGTTTTAAAAGTAAGTTGGAAACCACCAAAGTTGCTTCATTGGAATAAGGCTGTACAAGTACAATGTATGAATGATAATGAATGACGAGGTGAAGATTCAAAGATAAAATGTTGCCTATTAAGTTAAACCATGACAAGGAAATCTGAATCAGCACCAAGTAGACACTTCATATCAGGATGCAACAGTCTCATTAGTAATGAGAAACAAGCGCTTGGACCAAAGCAGTCAAAAATCCATAATTACTATTTTAAAAGAAGGATAAACCATGGCAAACCCATGGCAAGTACTAAAAAAAAGAAACCATAGTAAAACCAAAGTTAGTACTCAATTCAGTTTAAAGTGGCAAGAAACACACTCGCGTCACGAAGAACCACATTTAAACCCCATGTCAACTTTATGTCACTGAAAATAATAAATTCTTCCCTCACTCTAACTTGATTTGTGATATGAGAAGTTTGAGAGACAAGATAATTGTGGGACAAAGTTCATGTGTCCACCTACATACTACAAAGCACCAAAGAAAAGAAGGTCTACCTATGTTTAACAAGTTATGCTTGCCATTCATACATGCAAACGTAAAGAATACAAACAAGTTAACATTCCAAGTTTTTTCCCAAGTTAAATGATATGTACACAATTTTATAAAACTAATCCAATAAAATAGACTTTGAAATTCATCACAGAGGTCTGTAGATGGTTTATACAGGACACCAGGTAATGTTTTGTTTTCCAATATACAATATTAAATTAAATATAGATAGAAACCAGGTATGCTGTATACACAATCTGCAGCAAACTCTAAATTCAATCACAAACACTTGACTTTAAGTCCACTGAACAAACAATATTAGAGGTAAGTTAGATATCATAATTATGAATTTGATAAGCCCCTCAAGGCATAATGAAGATGTAAAATTTGTAGTAAACGCAGAAATTACCTTACACTTAAGATGCATCATAACATTTCCACAAGAGAGGCAAACTAGGTAGGCTTGGTTCAGTTTCAGCCTCATTTCACAAGCCTTTTTAATGAAAGTGCTACCATTCTCTTTTTAAATATAAGGCAACTAAGACAGAAATACACAAAGCCAAACTTGATTCAGAAGGGGATGAAAATTGCCGTTTACAAGTTAAAACAGAATCAATGTTTCAGATCACAATTAAAAACACAACAACAAGACAAGGAAACAGAGTGTCAATGAATGCTAGAGATGCACTAAATGCACTTCTCATTGGATCTTTGAACACTTCATGAAATGACAACATTTGAGCATCACCACAAGAGAAATTCACAACATGAGTACAGAAGTATCCCAATGAGAGAGTTCATTTTATAAACATACACACACACGAAGATACAACAAAAGAGAAAAATAAGGTGCATGGTGTTTCCTATGCTTGAAGCAAAAACTCAGTAAACTTGTCACAAGTTGAATCTCGGCAGAAATACTGCCACAAATACAAGATGGGACCCTGGAAAGTCTGGTGAGCACACTTGTTCAGACTGACAGCAGGAAAGAAAAACAAAAAACAACAACGTTTTAGCACTTTCCAAGTTCTTTGGTTTGATAGATGTGAGAAACCAACATCAAAATATAGAAGTTAGATTCTTGTAAAGACAAATAACAAGTTATTCAATTACACACAAATGTCACCTTAGTTTTTCCAACAACACATTGAGGAACATTTAAGAAATCCTCCAGTAATGCAAGCACCTAGCGGTTTTCTTTTAAGAACATGGGATAATATGTCACAGCAAGAAAGTACCCAAGCCTCAGTAATTGCTTTGAAAGGAAACAATATAAACTGAGGCTTGAGACATAAACATCAAAACTCATTTACTCTTTATGTTCTACAAAATCTCTTTAACAAATGAAAACCACTTACTCTGAACTGCACTAAACTAACAGTTACATCACAACTTTCCTAGTGACCCTTTTTTACATTGTGTTCTTTCTTACAGAGGGCTATTTACAAAGCAGACACAAATATAGTTTGTATGAGAACAGCAAGTTACAAATTATGAACAAAGGATTGAAACAAATTTAACGAGCAACAATAACTAGAATGGTAATGAAAATGACAATTAAAACAAAACACTCACAGTGACTTAAAGGTCTTTCCTTGTTTCACACCAGTATTAGCTATCGGTGTTTGTTAAATTATAGAACACATAGAAGCCTCTAAAGACCAGCAACTTTCGTACAAGACAAGACTCAACTTTTTACTTCCAACATGTCTAGAATATCCCGCACAGTCTTTTCAAGTTGATCCAGCCAAAACAATGGTGACTTGTCCTTCAACCCTTCCAGGCCATTGCATGGACCACCGACAGGACCGCTGTTAGGTCCACTGCAGGAGCCGTTAGGACCGTTACCGGCATTACAACTGGGACCACAGCTACTGACGTTCGTGGCAACGTTGCAGCCAGTTGTGAGACCAACGGAGGAGCCACTAGTAGAGCCAGCGGAAGGGCCGACGGGGCTACTGGCGGTGGCGCCCGCGACAGGGCTGGCTCCTCTTGCTGCGTTTTCGTTCTCTTTCTCTTTCTCGCTCGGGCCGGCTCCGGCGTTCTCCTTGTCCGTGGCTCCGGCGTTCGCTTTGTCGCTCGGTGTGACGCTCTCTTTGGCGAGAGTGCCGCCCGAGCCGCCGTTCTCCTCGGCGTTGCTTGCAGGGCCGCTAAGGCCGTCGCTGTCCTTGGCGGTGGTGCCAGCGATCTGTTTGTCCCCCGAGACAGCCTTTCCTTTGTCTACCGGCTCTGTGGACTCTTTGTCGCTGTTGCTGCTGCAGTCATTTTGACAGCTTGTTGTTAGTTCCTTATCGGGCGCAGATTCTGCACCAACATCATTTTGGGAACCCTCCAATTTTGCAGATGGCTCTTCTCCACTGCTGATCTTTCTTCTTTTAGGTGGAGGATCTGTTAAGAAAAAAAAAGGGTCATGTAATATGAGCTCAAACAGTAGAATTAAAATGGGTTCCTTGACGAAGAGCTACTACACATACCCGAAGGCCTGTTGTCATCAGAAAGATGATTGCTCCTTGCAGTCAGAATTTTCTTCAGCAAAAGAGAAAGCGTTGTAGAGAGGGGAACCGCCTGAGAAGTGCTTGCATTTGGTTGTGGGGGAACAGCTCGCTGCACCAGCAACAATGCACGAAGGTCGCCATTCAATCTAGCTGCATCAGATATAACATCCATATTGCCCACCAATTCCGACAACTGGCCTGGAATGCTTTGAAGAACTCGAAGTGTCTGATCCGTCAACACTTGCTTGCAAACCTGAGCAACAGATACAAATGAACTAAATATACTGAAGACCAATTTTGAAGTCAGCAGTTTCATATCTAAATAACTAATACCTTGGGAAAATATGTAGATAAAAAGTTATAGATAACAGGGATGTTGAGTGAGCTACGTTCATCTAAAAGTACAGCTTCAACATAGTCGACAAAGTAATTGGAGTTGACAAGCTTTACAATATATTTTCTATCTATGTGCTGTAAAGGAAACAAAAGGTGATTTATACCATATAATATTACTCAAAACTCTTAACTAGCATACAGGCAACATAATTTACCTGAGAATGGAAAATATCCAGCCACAATTTTGGAAAGCGAGTGAAGTGCAGTGGAACTGCTTCAAAACCCACCATGGCACTCAGAACCACTAGTTGATCAGTCATATAGCCTGTTGCTATAGCTATTCGACACAACGTGTCAAGAAAATTGTGATATGGTCCAAAATAGTCCTCTAAGGCTTGGTCATAGACCGGGTCCACTCCCTAAAATTAATAAGTAATGTTACTCAAAACTAACACAGCAAACTAATAGGGAGAAATATTGTTATTTCTAAAAATTACCCTTGCCGGTTCCAGCTGGTTATGTGGCACAGACATCTGCACCATTGGCCTCACTGGTCTAGAGGATGCCTTCATTACTAACGTTGCCTGTTTGCCACCACTTCGAGGAAAAAAGGGCCCCATTGGGACAGGATTGTGATTTTCTTGCACTGCTGAGTGGCAATGAAGGAGAAGTGGACCTACAACTTGTGTGACTTCATTAGGAATTAAGATTGCCATTTGAGCAAGTAAATCTGCAAAGAGATTGATACCAGTGAGAAATTGTACAGAATATAGAATAAAAAGTTAGCCCCACTTATCAAACAAACGAACAAACCTAAACTCAATTTTCGCATTTCATCTGAATTGTAAGAGTTCAAGAGTGTAGCAAGTTTTCGCAACACATCCATCCACTCTTTACAACCTAAAATTAACTGAACAGGATTAGGTGGTTCCATTTCTTGACCTCCCCTTTGGTCTCGAGACAGTTGAAGACATTTAAGGAGTTCAAGAAGAGCCGTCATCAATTCCAAAAGATCACCTGACACATGGCAAGCTGTCGCCTCATGGTACATCACATGCAATGTGTGGAATGCCTGAAAAAGTTATTAAATTCTGTAGCACATTTCAAGAAGCCACCATAGAGTGCGTCATAAAAGCTAACCTACCTCAAAGAACATCTGAAGTCCATTATTGTGGTGTAATATAGTTAATCGATCCTCATCATTTTCAACTAGTATCTTATAGGCTTGAATTAATGTTGCCCACATTGAGCGCCCATCTAGAATCTGCATCAGAAGAAAACCAATTATCATGTGTAAAACAGAAACATTGACTCATGCAAAGTGTAAAAACTGCTGCAATGCTAACCTGCAAGTAGAGTTGGATGGTATGTTTACGGAATGTATTAATTTCATGAATATCTTGCTCTGTACTGTCTGAATGCTTCATCACAAACAGCTCCATTAATTTGAATAATTCTTCAACCGCCTATAATTTTTAAGAAGATTATCAAAACATATTAAAAAACAAGATAAAAATTCATATTGCTTAATATTATTTAAGGAAGTGTTAAGTTTCAAACACTACATACCAAGGTATATTGTGTGGGATGAGGGGTAATATTCTTTAACGCCCAGTTGACATTTTGATGTGCTGCCAACTGGCGTGTGAAAGAGCGAGATTGTAGGCAGCAGAGCTTCAATAGGCCATAGTAAGCTGGCAACATGGTCCGATTGAACAGAACCACTTCTTGATCCTCATGGTCCGCTCTGGAGATAGAATAAGTATGCTTGTAATATAAAACTTGGCACACAATTCAGATTTTATATTTTAAATTCAGTTGACTTACAGTATATAGTTGAAGGCTATATTTTTTAAGATTGAAGCATTGTTTAAGATGGACTCAACATTTTTAGGGCAACCTTCAGAAACATGATGCCAGAAAAGCAACAAAGCCTGTTTGTTGTGGTGAATGGGGACAGCAGGTTCTGATAATTTGGGATGGAAAAGGTTCCACAGATCCATGAAATATGGTTGCAGCTGGAAAAGTAACAATCATCATGGTAAAAGCTTTTAGGACTTTGTAACTATAATTTGGCAAATTAAAACCATACTTACCATAAGCTTTTCATCATTTGAAACACAACAATAGGAGAACAGAGTGAAATATGCAGTCAATTTGTTTGTTCCATGGGTTTGACAGTCAGCATAGTGCCGAGCAGGTTTGAGAAGACGGAACAGAACTCCCAATACTTTATGTAGTACCGACAAAGCTTCAGGGGAATTCAGTATCTCTTTGTATTGACTTGGCATGGGGCGAGCCGTGCGGAAGCCTTGTCGGAATGTTTGATTAGGCACCAATGATGCCAACAAATATGCAGCGGCTAAAGGGTAAAATTTAGAGGGAATTAGAATCAAAGGCAAATTCAGCTCACGGACAAAGAAAAAAAAGCATCAACATAAATGTTAACTTGCCAGAGCGAACTCGTTGGTTGTTGTGCCCAATTAGAAAATGTTCCACCCAAGTATCTAATCCTTGAAGGACCCAATTGTGAACAAGTTTGTTACGAGGTACTTGTGCAGATAACCACTCTAAAGTTGCCTGAGGGCAATATTCGGCAACATCCCAAATGCGTGCCAGCACTAGCTGAGAGAAGCAAGGGAGGCCAGTAGGAGTGCCATTAGTTTCCACTAACAAAGTTAAAATTTTGAAGAACGGCTGGCATATCTGAAACAAAAGTAAAAATTACAGAATATGTAGTTGATCACAAAGCATGGAAAAATGAAGAAGAAAATACCTCTGAATGCTTCATGATGGCTTGGAAGATCATTCCCACTATGTGTTGAGCAAGACGTTCATTCCATCGGCATAATGAATGGATAAGATTGCGTGTTTGTTGAAGGTTTATACAATCTTTGATTTGCTGATATAAGAATGGAAATCCTTTTCCTCCAGCAAAAGCATTGAAGTCAAGAGTTGACAACTGCAGATTCCGGTCTAAGCCACGAGACTTTTCAACTAGTGTAGCAACAAGAGTTATCATCTTTTCTAAAGATGCAGGTTTATATTTGTCGGTAGGCAAGGGAGTTACATCCTCATCATCTTCTTCTTCACTTACAACCTCCACCTAGTTGGGGAAAAAATTAATTTGAACTCAGCATTAATTAAACATAATTGATTATTGTTAAAACTGGATTAATTTAAAAATGCAATAGTAATAATAATACTCAGTAATAACATGAAGAACTCACATATTCATGACTTTTCTGTCCAAGATAAAAATTGACCATAGTAGAAATTGCATGAACAGATATTAAAAACTGGCATTCTTCTTCACCCATTTTACTGAACTCCAAAAATAAGGCAAAGTACTCAGTCAAGTGCTTCAGATGCGTCTTGGCACCATGTTCCATTAGCGACAGCAACATACGAATGAATTTAGTGACACAAGACAAATACCCAATTTTGTCTGGGTCCATTTCTTCAGACCCATCATCATCAGAATCCATTTTCAAGTACAGAGGAGCATGACTCGACCTGGAGATACATTTAGAAAATGATTCACTGGTTAAATAATAGAGAAACATAACACAATATCTTCCTATATATTAACCATACATACCTAAGCTGTGAAATAACATGTATACTAAGCCTCTGAAACATTTGACGAACCATTTGGTTGGGACACTTTATGAGAATCTGAACTGGCCACCAATCATTATGAGCTACATGCTCCAAAAACCACTCGCAAGCTGCTTGGGATGCATTGAACTGCTTGGTTAAAAGTTCTACCCACTGCACCATTGTAGGCTGAGACAAAAAAAAAAAAACATAAGTCAAACATGTGACACAAGTCAAGAAGTACAAGAAGAAAAAAAAAAAGAAAATGTCGTACCTTTTCTTTGGCATGTATAAATGTTTCTAAGAAAAAGGTTGTGGAAAGTTGGGCTGCCATTTCTGTAATATCTGACTGCAGACTGATCAGAGTTTGAGGGATATAACCACAAATCTGCCACATAAAACTGAAAAAAAAATAATTCAACATTAAGTAGATGAGCAATTGAGTAAAATACGGTGGAAGTTGTCTAGTTACATGAGGCCTTGTCATTAACAGAACCAACGTACTTGAAGTAATTGTGCTCAAAAATGTTTTTATCTCTTAGGAAATGCATGTTATCTTGCCATATCCAGTCTTCTAGTTCTTTGTTGAGTTCAAATGATGCCATTGCATCACAAGAATTTGAAGCAGGAGGTGGACTTTGATTGGCTTGTGATGATGTTTCCGGAGCATCTACATCACTTTCTTTGGAGAAACGACGCTCCGCCTCAGGCAAACTACATCTCTCATAAAATAACATGTATGCACTGTTTGTCTTCTCAAAGCTGAAGTCCATGAATTTGTCTGTGACTGAATCATAGGTCTTGCTCTGAAATTTTAAAGATAATTTAGGATAGTGCACAACAAGTTTCAGAACAAAGCGGGAAAAGAAAGAAAATGATTGAAGAGGAAATTAAGAGAAGGAAGGTAAAGCAAAATTTATCCATACCGTCATTTCTCCTCCAAAACATTCTGAGGCAAGTTGGTTTGGATCAAATGGCTTCACTTCTGCATCATTGAAGAAGAACCACTTGTCCTTGTTAGGTGTTGTACGGTCTCTGATGAAACTGTAATAGTGGCCGCCATCTGCAGTTCCAGTGTGCACAGTAACTCCAATGAGATCATAATCATATCTGTGACAACAAAATAAAACAACGGGATAAAGCTTTTAGGAAAAAATGCTCCTTTAGAGATCTTGACAATAGAGCTATTTGGCATCACAAACCTTTCCCTGAATTCTTCATTCTCTGAATCACAGTTTTCAGCCTTATTGGTTTGGTCACAGTTCTCAGCCTGCTGGCCGTCACCAAGCGCCTGCTCCATTTTCTGCTGCTTGGCTTTCTTTTTTTCTTCTAAAATATATTTTTAAAAAAATGTATTAAGCATTTTGATTATAAGTACTTGGAGAAGTTCATGTCATAATGCTTAACTTCAGGCAAACCTTACCTTGGTAGCGGTGTGGCATTAATTTCTGTTCAACATAGCCAGACATATCTAATCTCATAGGAAAAGAGAAGTGGGTGTTTACTTTTTCTTTCAGCATTGTAACCATGTTAAATGTGTACCTCATGGTATTGAAACACATAATATGAGGAAGTTTCTTAAAGCACGCCCTGAGGATAAAATATACAGGAAAATTAGACCAACGACCACAGAGAATAATAATTTACTGGCAAGGCTTATAAATCAGTACCTTTTCTCAGCACGAACTTTCTTCCCACACTGAGAACAGGTGTACATATTGTCACCTTCTAAAGTGTCTTTCACAGTAACCTCATCAAGAGATTCATAAAGGTTGCGCATATCAGCAACCTGACACCTAACGGTGTAGAACTCCTCAACAGTGCGACTGACATGATCACAATCCTTGAAAAGACACAGCAGAATAACAAATAAAAGCTCAAAATATTAATTACAGTCACATTTACATGATAAGAAAACTTACCAAAGATACAACATTATTGCTGATTACACCACCAAAAAGAGATTTGACTAATTTTTTAAGTTCTGGTGTCATCTCTTCCAGTTTGGAAACTAGGTCAATGAAAAATTCTGCCATATCCTTTTGCTCTCCAGTATTAAGTGGTTGGTGGTCCATGGTATACACCTTACAGAAGCTGCGTGGATTGTAAGCTTTCCTTTCACTTTCCTGTGGATTAATTTAATATAGTAATCAACTTACATTATAATTATATGAAAAAGCCTGCACAAGATTAAAATTAACTTACCAACAAGTACGCAAACATTCTTTGTAGCTCACGAAGCGTTTGCTCATGCTTGCTATTAGTTGGCAAGGCTTCCAAGATGGATGTACGAGCTTGGGGCATCATATAGAGATGCTGCATGCATGAAGCCATATAACAAGTTGCTCCAAGATTAGTAAGACCTACATAGCCACAGTCTGACCGACCGTCTTCATGGGGCCAATAGTCCCAGGGATATGGTGAGTGAGGACCTAATATTGAGAAGTTGAAACAATTTTGTAAGTATGACAAAATTACACAAAATGATACAATTAAGGTTCATAAGAAAGTACCTGGTTTGTGCTGTTCAAGAAGTTTCTCATGAAGTATATGGTAGTTTTCTGGAGAGCCCCTAACAAGCTCAACTAAAAGGTCATAAGCTGCTGAGCGTGAAGTTTGGGATTTGCATTTCGGAAAGTGCCTCTTCTTTGGATTGGGTAGGGCAAAGAGAAATTCAAAGACCTGAAACAATTAAAAGGAATTAAAAAAAAATATATTAAGAAATTGTTTTATATTAAAAGAAGGTATTAGTGAAAGTGGCAGTTAATACTGATCTATTGAGTATTACCTCTGATAAAAACTCTTGTCCTTCCTTGCTGGAAGCCAAAGGAGGTCGGTGCTTGAATGTTACAGTTGCAAGGTTCAAAAGACCAACCAAGCCATCATCTTCTATTGTGTTATGTCGGGTTTCAAGGAAGTCTCTTCGAAGTACAGCCAGCACTAACTGTCTTGCAAGACCATCAATTCCAAAAATACAATTATTGGGATCGTCAATACTTTCTGAAATGTACAGCAAAGACAAAATAATGTCAGCTAGAATACTTGTAGTTATAACATTGTTTATATCATGCAATATACATAACCCTGAACAAACCTCGAACAAACTCTTCAGGAAGACTGTCCACAAGGCGGCACATAAGCCAAAAGTAATCCCTGCAAGCTGGTCCATAAGGCTCCTTCCCATCTTCTGGATGGTTCTAAAAAGAAAAGGGAGCCAACCAAACACATTATTAAAACTTTGTTGCCTCATGGTAGTATGAGTACCAGAAGCAATGTGAATTAATTTACCTCCATTCTTGGTGGGCGCATGCATTCAGCAATCGGTAGGAATTGCAACAGCTGGGCTAGCATTGGAGCACTGATAGTAGGCGCTGATGAACTGCTACTGTGACTCCCTGGAGATCCAAGGCAGAGTCTGTACAGAGCAGTGCACACTTCTCTTCTCACAGCAGGCTCTGGATCCTCCAGGACCAATCTCTGGAGCCAAGAAGCAAAGTAAGGCTGTTGAAAGAGTGCTTGCCTGGCTCCATCCTCCGAATGAACCCAAGATACCAGCAAAGCCATGGCATAATGCACAACTTGAGCTCGGCCCCAAAAACCAGTTTTGTAATGGTTTGGATCTCTTGGTAATGATGCCTCGTGCAAAATGGTGGTAAGTTGTGGCATAACCACATCAACCTTCATCATTTGAAGCATGGTATCATTTAGTTTGGGCACTACTAACTTTTCTGCACTGCTCTTCCTCATCCTTCGTTGCTTCTTTGTGCCTCTCACTGTTTCCTTCGAGTCTGATTGTGACTCAAAGGAACGCTCCCTCTCATTTTCCTCGGGGTGTGCCATTCCTAGATGGCACAATAACTTGAGAAGACATGCCAGACAGTCCTGCTGCCATTCACTACCGTCACCACCTGACCGCTGCAGAACACCGGACATAAAGATGTCAAAAAGGTGACGAAGTCCTCCATGCTTCACATACACCTGACTCCAGGAGCGACTCGAAGATCCTTTTCCATTGACACAAGTAGGTGCTTCATTCTCGCCTTCACTGAGTTTCACGTTGTTCTTAGCACTTGAAATGGAACCACTGGATCTGCTTAAGCTCTCAACAATATACAATGAATACATGAGTTTCTGTGGGCTGCTTGGATCAAGCAATGTTTCTAGTGATGGTCGCTCTCCTGACTCTCCATTCTTCCCATCATCAACAAGCTCCCCCAATGACTCAAAACCTCTCATGAGAGTTGGACTGGTTGGAAGCAGAGTGAGAATATCCCATACTCTTCTGGAAAGCACCTGAGCCTTAGTATGAGGAATCTGTTTCCCTCCTTTGTCAGACGTCTTCATGCTGCTTAATGTCTGCATGAGCGTGAAGAGGTGCTCAAAGTACTGAGGTTGAAGTAGTAACAATGTGGGTAAGCATTCCCTAGGTGGAGGTGGCAGAACTGATGGTGAATCAATAGAATCTCTCTTCTTCTGCGGCCTAGAGGCACCCATTGAGATGAAGACCATCTGCATGTCCTTGAAGCCCATTTCTTGAAGAGTCTTCTCATCAAAGTCCGTAATTAGTTCTTGACCTTGAGTGATCATGCGCAAAGGCCCTTCAGATAACAATGTACCCAATGCAGGGGATGGTTGAACAGATTCCCACCACTTGGCAACTTCTGCACGTAAATCTGCAATATAATCACTGGAGAGGAGTTCTAATGTCACTTTTTCAGCCACACCAGCCGGTTGTATGACCACTTTTATGGTCTGACAGCCGCGTTCACCACTCAAAAGTTGGACGTGACTGCCAACTCCTCTGCCTTCCAAAGCCCAGCGCCTCAAATGGTAAGCATACCGTTTTCTGAATGTCTCGAGATGTGTCTTTAAAAGCAACAGAGCTCTTTGAATGCAAAGAAGGCTTGCTTCCTCAGCAGTAGCCAAATCAGCTGTGGCTGCTACTAAGTGAGCCATGCATTGAGAAACAAATTCACATTCTTGTTCAAGTTGTCTTCCCATGTAATAACAATTTAAGTACTGGATGGCAGCCATGCTAACATCAGTGTTGTTGGCTCGAAGAGCTATCTTCCACAGGTACTCCATGCCAATTGGTTCAGAATCAAAATGTTGAGCGGCTACACGTGCCATGTTGCACAGTTGCTGGTATAAACTAAGAGCGGTCATACTTATCGTATCTGGTGGCAAAGAGGGAAGCTTATGCAAATACAAATGCTTGAGTGACTCCGTGCTTAGAGCATGTAAGTCTTTACTTTTTGATTGCCTCAATAGCCATGCAAAGAGCTCATCAGAGCAATGTTCATCAGTTGCCAAACATTTCCAGAGAACATCAAGCTGGTTGACAGTTAACCTGAAAATACAGAAGAAATAACAGTGGTTAATTACTCCATAGAAAATACAAGTAAATTTGTACATTTATCGGACACTTAACCAAAAATTTACCTAAATGCCATAGGTGAACCATGAGGTGAGAATAGGGAAGTGAGGAATTGGAGCCTAACTTGGATCTGAACTTGGTGCGAATAAAGTGACTCTGAGAGACCCTCCTTATTGCACTGATTTGTATAGTGTTCAAGGTTGGCAAAGAAATGTTCCATCATGCTGTGCTCTTGTTCAGCCCACATGGCGACTTGGTGTGTGTCCATGTTCCTCACATGTTGAAAGGATGTTAACAACTTAGGTAGCATCCGTAGAGAAACCACCACAGACCTAAAAAAAAAATTTACAAAAAAACAATTGTAAAGCACAGTTTGTGATATGGCTCCTCTATCTTTGATACTTCAGAATTCTTCAGATTCTTCAGAATCTCACCAGTTATTGGCTATATTCTGTAGACATCCTTCAATGAATTTCATGCGAATTAGCCTTTCAGTGTTAAAACACAAGAGGTTGGAGAGGGCTTTCTCTGCCTCAATGGCAAGACCTTCCCCTAGTTGACCAATTTTATCATCTTGAAGAAGATCCCACAGCAAAGTACTGCCAGGCTTGCAAACACATTCCATATCAAATTGAGAGCGGAGACGCTGGTCTCGTGCACCTTCACGGATTCCCAATCGGTTGCAAAGCTTAGGAGAATGTTGATTGAAGCACTGCATGCCCATCTGTGAAAGCTGTTCAAATCAGATTTAGCAGAACTTGTAAGATGCATACCACAGCAAAAAACTTGTTTAAGGAAACAACAACACTAACTTGATGGGCTCTTGCAGCTAGTTGAGCCAGCTCTTCATCACAGTTGGATTCTTCCCCTTCGAAGTCAGCCAGGTTTTTCTCCGACTTGGTGCTCATCCGGGACGAGTAGCTTCCCTCTGGTTCGCTAAGCAGATCATCCATCATGTCACTAAAAAATTATTATTAAATTAGACTTATAACAATTTTGGAACACAAGGAGACTGACAAATACATTAAAGATACAGTAAAAATTCTCCTTGAAATTGGCAGTTCAGTGGTAATATTTTTTATTAGGTGTTATTAGTTGAAAATTAGTGAAACACGGATTTTAAACACAAAATACAAAACAAGCTGTAAGTAGTCATTCAAGACATATGTTATTTTATTTTCCCAAATCTAGCGCAAATCTAGCCAACTCAGTTATTAGAACACCAACCACACATGACATTTCATACAGGCATCGTCATTATATTAGGTGCATCACTAAACCTTTACAGGGAAGAAACATACATGATAGATTCTAAAAGTAAGGGCAGATTCATGCAAAGTATGCTTCACTCAAGGTTGCTGCAGATACTTACAGTCTTCTAGCAGAAAAGTGCCAGGTGGGCAAGCATCCAGCCAGGCTGCGGTGCAAGGACACCAACACCAATAAGCATGAGCCCAATTACACTCGCAACAATTTAAAATGACAGCATGATCAAAGTAAGAAGAGAGGCCCATCACTTTGTTAATAGAAAGCAAGTTTTGAATTTCTGGTAGAAGACAGCAGAAAGCAGACATCTGCATCTTATCTTAACTCATGAATTCTACAATGTTTATCAAAATAACTTGAAGCAAACATTGACTTTTTGAGGGTTGTCCAAGCTTTAAAAGCATGTGGAGTGAGTGAGCCACAAGTACCTGTTTGTGATAAGTTATATTGATAAACATAATAGAATTCACCAGTCAGATAAGTTACAGTTGCCTGGCAGAAAGCTGTTTCAAGATAGACTAAACCAAAACCATCACCCTACAATTACTCTGCTACACAGCACCTCAGACAAAAACCAGTTTGTCAAACATACATAATGAAAACAAAGGAATAAACACTTGTTTTCAAGTGTTCATATTAATTTCATAGTTAGAAGCAGATGAATCTCCCAAATTTCATGCATCAGTATATCAATGATACTTACAGCCGCTGTGGAAATGATTTTATGAAAGGGCGACACTCATGGATTTCATGAGGAGATGTGTATTGACTTCCCTCTACAAGGCTTGCTAACTCAGTCATGACTGCACCCTGCGTCAGAGAAGCGTCTGGATGGTGGTCATGGCCCATGTGTTGTCTGGAATGCACAGATAATTTAAAATGTTATGACAAAATAAAACCACACTTAGTATTTCCTGCCAACCTATTCCACAGACTATTGAGAACTGTTCAAAAGTGGTTCAATCACCTTATTAAGTCAAGTGCTTTTGCACTCTTTTCAGGTGTGGTAGCTTCTGCAGGAGACTCTCTCATAGAAGTACTCATATTACTGCAGTCATCATCAGCATCGGTGCCAGTTTCTTCATCATCCTCTTCATCCAGCTCATCTTCATAGCACATCATCACTTCCATGCCTTTGTCAGATTTCATCTTTTCAACATTACGAGTTTTGCCTACATGATAATAAATTTTTAAAAATTAAATGAAATACTGAAGGTCTACAGTTTATATATGAACACTCTTTTACAGGGGTTAATCACCTGAAATTGCTTTTCGCGGGCGCTTCCTTCCAGGATAAACTATTCTTTTCCTCTTATTGGTTCCATGTGTGGTTCCAGGCACTACTTCATCTTCTACATCAGCATCCATGTCATTGTCGCTACATTTTCCTACTCTGTTAAGTTTATTGGTTAAAGTAGATTCTTCAGGATCTTTGTCCATTTTTGCTGATGTTCTGGAAAGAAAGGAAAAAGTGAGATGAGCAACTGATGAAAATGGCTTACTTTAGACTAATGACAACATAATCTCTGTACCTATCACTAATTTCAGCCCTTAATTCTTTCCCCTCAAGATCATTTTTCCCAATTAATTTTGTTTTTTCTGACAGATCAACAGGCTTTGGTGCATGGGACATTGCTTTGGGAGAAACCACAGCAGTGGAATGATCCTCATCCTCCTCCTCCTCTTCTTCTTCTTCATCCTCATCCAAATCTTCAATCTTTAGACTGTCTGCAATATATAATACAGTACATATTAGATCATGTTCCAAATGTTATGTTTACTAAATCTTCGTAGAGACTCATTTGAATGAGGTGAAAATCAGACTAAGCTATGGAAAAGAAAAAGGCCCACTTACCATCAGAAGAATCTTCACCATTGCCCGTGCTGTGACGGTGTCTCACATGCTTCCTATGCTTGCGTGGTTGTTTACAAGGTGATGGACCATCACTTGTTTCACTTTGACTTTTGTGTCCATCACTCTGTGCAGAACTTTCCCCCTAGACCAACAAATTAACGTAGGTACAAAATATACATGTCTGTCTAATAAAACTACTGATAAACCTAACTACCTGATCATCATCCGAATTTGAGGGTTCCATACTGGCACTATTGTCACAGCTACTGAAAGGTGATGACACAACACGGCAATCCAAACCAGGCATGGGCACTTTACTAAGGTCTGTGAGCCCACCAAGTCCAAGGAGTCCAGCTGCACTACCAACTACACCATCGGTTGACAGGAGCCCATGGACATGACCGTGATTATGACCATGTAAGTGGCCCACATGAGATGTGCCATGGAGTGGGTTTGTGCCAGTGCTACTGGACCAAATAAATTTTATAAGGGCAGATGCTAAGTACAGACTCTGAAACATAGGGAATACCAAACACATTAGCAAAGCAAACGAAAACACAGTTTAATATTTTAAAAACAATGCTTACCTGTTCACTGTGCTCTTTTGGCTCTAAACGACAGAGCAATGAGTACAGGTGCAACACTGGACCAACTTCCAAATGCTTGATGAGTGGTGGTAGAAGATCATGTACTTGACGGCTACAATGTTTTAACTGAGCAGCTTGCCAAATAATGTCAATGTGTTCATTCGTAATGCGACATTCCATTGCAAGAAAAGTTAAAATCATATGGCTCTGCTTAATCACCTAGAAAATTAGAATTAAGTTTAATAGTAAAGAATAGAAGAAAGCACACAAACAAACCACATAGTCAGACTTACTTCCACATGCAAATTGGGCCCAAAGATATGAGCAATTATTTGATTTTCTATCAACCACTCAGACAATTTCTGTCCCACATTTTCAATCTCAATTATATTTTCGTTGTTGCACACCTCATTAAATAAAGTTATATGACTATTTATTTGTGCAATACCTGACAGGCGCATGGTCAGGGTAGGGCTAGTGAAATACTTAAATGCTAAGTTGAGGCCATCAACATCAAATGTAACAGGAGAATCCATTGGATCCTTCACTGCACTCCACATAAAATCTGGAAAGCACATACAATAATAATATAATGCATATCCAAAACAGCTATTCACATTCAAGTTAAGGGTGCAGTAAATTAAGGTCCTACCTGCCATGGTGCGAATACTAGGCAGCCGCAGCTCCTTGTCAGATAGACTGCACATATATCGCATGACTTTTGCACGCAAAGGAACAAACAGTTGCACTACAGAGCGAAAATTGAGCCACAACTTTAAATTGCATACAATTGCAATCAGAGCATGAGAAATGGATACTGGAAGCAACTGCATGCCTTCAACTTGCTCAAAGAGCTGCGTCATGGCAAGCATGCCACCAGCTCGACAGAAGACACAAACATTGCGGAATAAATGGAGCGGGATTTCAGTGTCATGAAGGTCGCAGAAAACTGTTATTGAGTTCATTTCCTGAGTGCTGACCTCCTCCAGCTTGGCCTGCAAGCTGTGCTTGTAAACTACATAAAGAGGAAAATTTAACAAAAACACCTGCAACAACAAAATGTTTTAGAAACAATATTAAAGTCAATCATTAGGGGGATGATTGACTGAGGGCAAAGGAGTGAGTGAGAAGGGAAGTGTGGGATAAAAAGTGGAATTTCAATATTTTATTTTAATAAATAATAGTTACCTTTGAAACAAAGTTCAGCAGTTTTTCTATTTCTTCAAAACTCCATTTTTCTTGGACATTTAATTTGTTTTGGTCTTCATTTACTACAGGCTTCAAATTGTCAGTCTTACTAGAGGTGTCAGTCTTCTCTTGAGGATTAGATTGAGGGTTGCAGGAAGATGGTATCTTGTCTGAGCCAGAGTAATTTTGGTCTACCTGATCTTTCTTTACATCAGTAGTACCCTCTGCACTCTTTTCACCATTTACAACTGGTATGGACCGCTCTGAAGTTAAGAGAGAATTATCTTCTACTTTTTTATCTTCAGATTTCTCTGCAGCATCTGATACATCTGTGTTCAAATATGACAGACATTATACTCATGAAAAAGACATACAATTAAGGATAATTACTGTTTAGCAACAAGATTACCTTGCTTCTTTTCAGGTGTTTCAGAAGACTTATCAGCTTTCAGCTTTAGAGACAAATCATCTTTTAAGTCCCGCAGTTGTTTTATGGCCATAAGGACAATACTTTGAGTGATGGCACCAAACCTCTCGTAGTTTTTAGCTTCACGGAAGCAGCACATGCACTGCCTATAGGAAAATAAAACTTTTTTTTAAAGCTCTGACTGTTTTATTTGTTTTTCAACCCTGAATATTACTGGATGACAACAAACCTCTGAGTCCATGACTGTACATATTGTAGCACCACTTCCAGTTCACTCTTCTGTAAAAATGGCCTTTCTTCATTTTCATTTGCAATCTTTTCCTCATCTGGAACAAAAAAAGCCTTGTCAGTTGGTAATACACTTATTCTGTTCCCTCATGTCACTATTTCAACTGTAATACAAAAACAAAGAGAACAATAAAGAAGGGAATACAAACAGCATCTTGGCACAGATCACAACTTCGAGATGCATTCTACATTGAGGTACATTTTAATAACTGCACTCTGATTAAAAGTTCCATAAGGGGCAAAGGAATCCCGAGGACTGAGTCAGGAAAATAAAATATAGTGAAGTAATACATCAACACATGGTTTCAAACAGTAACACAGATTATAACTGCTGGCTACAGTGAACTCTTGAGTCACCACACTGGGAAATGTACGTTTATATCCAGTGCAGCACTACAGAACAATTCAAGCATACAAACATTTAACGGGTATTCAAAGGAGAATTGGCGTGTTACACTAATTTATAGTGCCAGAGAAAAATCTTGCGGAGTGAAATGAGAAGATTCCTTCCATGTACAATGGCATGCAGAGGGACAAAATGAATGTTAAGTTAATGGATAAAGAGAGGACTACCTAAAGTGATGCTAAAATAATGAACTAAATGACATCCTTTGCACTCCCACTATAGTATTTAGTTAAGTGACATTCCACAAACAACTGTCCGCAAGAACTGAAAGCCTTCTTGATTTCATTCACAGGAAATTAAATTAGGATTTTTAAGTAAATTCATAAAGAATTTTCAAGAGAATCCCGAAATTGAGGCATCACTTTGAATGAAACACATCATCACAATGTGGCCAAGTATTTATTGCAGCCAAGACAATCAAACTAATTTATGCTACGTCAGATACTCCTTAGGTTCTTAGTGCATACGACGAGTAACGCGTCGCAATGGAGTTTGGACCGAAGAGTGAAGAAAAACTCTCGATAAAAACCATTTATACAGAAGAATGTAGGTTATGAGTTTGATGTTCTTCAATTCCGAGCACACAGTTCCGGACCATAAACAAAGGCTTTGGCATGAAAGTGGTGAATGAAATTGGACATGTTATGAAGAAAGCCGTTGATTGCGGTTCACAACAACAAAATAACAGCCGCATTGCAAGCAAACAAATAATACTTCCAAAATTCTAGGCCTCGCTAATAAAGCAGCATACACCGAAACATTTAAAAGATCGCTTACAAGTTTGGAGAAGCTCCAAGAAATCCGCACAGATATCACACATTTTCATAATTCATCGACGGAGCGAATACATAACTCAGATGCATGTGTATTTTGCAAAATCATTGGCTTTGGTCATCTTTAAGGTGGAAACTTGTCGGCTACATGAAAGAAGGATAGGCAGCCATATTATTTCCTATTCATTCAATAAACTGCCTTCTCTACATCGTAAACAGCTGCTCAGAACGTTCCGTTATCACTTCCGGCAGCGAAAGCACATCGATCTCTATTTTCATGACGTCACGCAACAAACATTAAAGATTCGAGATTCGAGTGCAATAAAAACTGTTAGGGAATCAAAGGCATATGTTTTACGGTTTACATTTAAAGCGAATCATCAAGAATGAGCCTCGACCTCATCTCTGCCGTTGGCAGACATTCCCCTTTCGTGTTCCCTTTTCCGGTTCCCTCCCCCTCCCCCTTTCATATTTCCTGCCCCCGCCCCCTCCGCCCCGCCCCTTTCTCGGCGAACCTAACCTTACTTTAACCACAACAAACAAACAACATTCCACACCTGTACCTTAAGTCATCAATAGTTAATCACTCTCGGCATGGGTCTGCTTACTGTTCTCAAGAAGTTGAAGGAGAAGGAGAAAGAAATGCGTCTCTTAATGTTGTATCCTTAAAATACTTTAAATGTCTGCCTGTTCTGTAGTAGTGAAAGCCTGCTTTGTTAGAATTTCAACCCTTTCATCTTGAGTGTGTCTTGCCTTCTGTAGGATTCCTTAACTCAGCTTTTCAGAGGATTAGATAACGCTGGTAAAACCACAATTCTGAAGAGGTTCAATGGTGAAGACATTGATACTATTTCACCTACCTTAGGATTCAACATTAAAACTCTGGAGCATCGAGGGTATGGAAGAAATTTCCTTTACTGTTGAAGCTGCATTCATGACTTCAATTTATTTCATTGTTCTTTTATAGATATAAACTGAATGTATGGGATGTGGGAGGTCAGAAGTCCTTAAGGTCTTACTGGCGCAATTATTTCGAGTGCACTGATGGCCTTATTTGGGTCGTGGATAGCGCTGACAAACGTCGTCTTCTTGATTGCCGGAAGGAATTACACCAACTCCTAGAAGAAGAGGTTAGCCTATATTGTGTATATTGTGTGTACTTTTGCCCTTTAGCTCATTTCCTCAATTATTGTTCTCATTACATGTATGATTTCACAGAGGCTTTCTGGGGCAACATTGCTAGTTTTTGCAAACAAACAAGACTTAGCTGGTGCCTTATCATTTGAAGAAATTCGAGATGTAAGTGATTGTTTATTGAGTCAAAATTGTACTCTTGAATGTTCTTTTTCGAGTTTGTAATGTCTTCATTATAATTATTGCAGGTTTTAGATCTATCTAGTATCAAAACTCATCATTGGCAGATCATTGGATGCAGTGCAGTCACAGGTTCAAGTTTGCTGGAAGGCATCAACTGGCTTATTGATGACATTTCTGCTCGAATATTCTCCCTTGAATAATCAATCAAAATGTGTATCTATATCTGTGTGTATCCTACTTACTAAGAAATCATCTCCAAAATGTGATATCCTATTTTAGTTAAGTTTTTTTTTTTTTTAATTATTACAGATCCACTTTTAACAATAAGACATTTTTCACATTTAATCTAATTTATTATTACAAGAGTAAAATGTAAAATTTTAGTACATTTCTACTTTGTTTTCTTGGATTTCTTTTTCTTCTTTTTCCCTTTCCTCTTTTTCTTTTTCAGAACTGGGGGTGGTAGTACTGTGTCTGGGAATAATTTCATGTAGCACTCAAGCATTGAGGTCACATCCACCCATGATTTCTTTGCTTTGAATTCCTCATAAAGTGCTCGAAGCAGTTCTTCACGAATTTTGATTTTTTTCTTTTTCATGGCTGCCTCAGTGAACTGTTCTGGTAACATAGTTTCAATGCCATTTTCAGCCAGCTGGAGTAATAAGTGCCTGCAAGAAGAATTATAATTTAGCAGATGTTATTGTTGGAAGTTATTTGTGATCTCAGTTTAGCTCAATACTTACCCAAAGTCCTTCTTCCTCTTTTTTCTTTTAGGCTTGAAACCCTCAAAACGTGCCCTTTTAAGCATCATTTCCTTAAGATTTGGTCCCTTGATTTCATAATCACTTAATGTCCCTTCAATAGTTATTTCCATTCCCCGTGACTCTTCAAGCCGTTTCTGAACTTTGATGAAGTCAGTATGAACTCGAATACCATCAAGGTCCAATGTCTGCAAAGTGCTAGACGCTTGTGCAGCATGTAAGAGATTTAGAGCATTATGGGGCTCCATGGGGTTGAATCCTATTTTGAGGTGCTGCAATGTTTTGCTCTTGGCAACACCAACTTTAATTGTATCAATTGCTGGACCTGGAAATCTTGTTTAAAAAAACAAAGAACAAAAGGTCAGTCCTTTCTATACTAAATAGGTATTTATATGAATAAGTATCTTCAAAACTGCTTTCCATTGCCACCTGTTATTGTTTAGGAAGAGTTGTTGAACCGCGCTTCTGACAAGGAATACTCTGAGAGGCACTGCCGCTGGCACATTGAGTGCGTTCCAAGCCAGGTCGAGCACTTGGATGGGCTTCTCCCGCTTCTGGATCACTCTGAGCAGAGTCTGTAGACCTGTCACGAAGCAGTGCGTGTCACTGAACTGACTACTGTCCAAACTTAGAGAAAGTAGGCAAACGTGCGGCTGCTCAATGGGTTGGAGGAGGCCCGACGTCTCACCCTTGGCCGTGTCCTCGTAGAGGTTGTTGCCCGCCAGGCGCAGCACCTCGATCGTCTGGTTCTCCTGCAGCGCCTTGGCCAGGGACGAGGCCGCCACCGCGCCCAGGTGGTTGTTGCTCAAGTCCAGGATCTGCAGCTTGTCGTTGACCGCCAGCGCTTCCTGCAGCCCGCGCGGCACGCCCGGGCACGCCGCACCGACCACGTGAGATGCTGAGATGGGCCCCCAGACTCCAAACAGGTCAAACACCACGCACCTGGAGCGAGAGGACGCCGTCGTCGCCGAGGTGGTTGTCGGCCAGGACGAGGGTCTGCAGCGTGTGGTTGAGCTCCACGCCCTCGGCCAGCATAACGGCGGCGCGCGGGTTCAAGTTGCAGCCCTTCATGATGAGGTGCTGCAGCGCGATGTTCTCCCGCAACAGCAGCTCCGCCATGTAGTACGCCGCCTCGGGGCTCATCCAGTTCCCCGTGAGGTCGAGCGTGTGCACCGTGGGGTTGTACATGAGGGCCTGCGCGATGGCGCGCAGAGTCCGGGACCGCACGCCATAGAACTGTAACCACACTCTGGTGACGGTTTGGCCACGCCACGCATCACAGAGCCACCTGTTCGCAGACACATGGAACGGGCGGCCTGGCATTTATTGACATGACCGGTCTGATAGCAACGACCACGACAGTAACACGGAGCGAAGCGCGAGCGGAACACTCGCCCGGGGGAAGTCCCTCCCGCGCGAAAACTGGCGCGCGCTCGGATCAAGGCCCCCCCCCCCCTCCCTTTTCCCGCGAACACTTCGCCCCGGGGAAGTCCCTCTCGCCACGCGAGCTGTCAAGGAACGGGCGTAATACGCTCGCCTGAGCGCCTCCCTCCCCTCTCCCCCCGCCTCACACCTGCGTCACACCGGGACAAACCTTGAGGTCGACGACCCCCTCGTTGAGCTGACGCAGAAACCGGTGGATGGGCGTGAGCTTCATGGAGCGGCACAGCTCTTTGTACGCCGAGAGCCCCGTCTCGTCGAACTTGGGCGGCGGGACTGCGGGGGCGAGCCGACTTTATCATTTTACCTTTTGCACCAGAAATCTCCTTGCCCCTTCGCACCGACTCACGAACCTCGCAGGTTGAAGGCGCCCTCCAGGCCCGGGTCGCTCAGCACCAGGAAGCCGCACTCGTCGACCGCCACCACGGCGTCCTCCTCGGCCCCTGCAGCACTGCTGCACGCCGCGTGTTTAGGCAGCGAGCAAGTCATTTCGTACTTCAGCTACACACTCCAAGTTGTCGAAGCGGTTTGCTCAAATCGAGTGAAAGTTTACACTTATGAACAACATCGTGAAGTGGAGTCCCCCCGCCCCTTTCCCCCTCTTTTTTCGGGCCTGGAGTGCGTAGAGACGCCGCGCTGCTCGTCCGCCGTGTGGCCGCGCAGCGCACGCAGCGCGAGGTAGCTGCCCCGCGACACGTACGCCCCGTCCCGCCGTGCGTGCTGCATGCGTGCTGGGCGCAGCGGTGCAGCTGGGCGTTGGGCGGGGTGGCGGCCCGCGTGCTCGTGTTGCTGCTTTGCGGTGCAGGCTGCGCGTAGTGCGTCGCGCCCCGACCTACCTCCATCCCACCAAAGCCGCACGCATCGGTTAGGCGATCAGATGGATCAGATTTGGCGCGCAGTCTCGTCGCTCGCCAGTGAGTGAGTCACGGCGGTGCGTTCTGTGTTTGACTGTTGACGCGACACTCAGGACAGTCCGCCGGAGCTGGCTTTGTGTGCGCCTGGCCTAGGGCCTGGCCCTTAGACTCCCTTTGTCTTTGCCCTGCTGGCTCGGACTGGCGCCAGGGAAGTCCGGCTCTGCTTCACTCGCTTCACAGCTACACTTCGCCTTCGCACACACACAGACCTCTGCTCGAACACTGCCCCACTTCCCCCGTCTTCCTCCTCGGCCTCCTCTTCCCCCTCGTCCTCCTCGTCCCCCTCGTGGCCGTCGCCATCGCCGTCCTCCGGCGTGATGGCGCCGTAGGGAAGTCCCTCTTCGACGTAGTCCAGGCCCGGAGGCAGGTCCTCGACCTGCGCCGGAACGAGGCCATCTCGACATAGGGGCACGTGACCAGCAGACACAAAGCATTGTCCCGTGGTATTCCCTCCCCCTCTCCCTATCGAACGACGCGGGAAGCGCGGCGTCGATGTCGCGAAGTGCCGAGCTGTCACCTCTGATTCCCCCTCTTCTGCGGCATGCTCCGCCTGCTCCGTCTCGCCCAGGCACTCGATGAGGTTGTCGTAGAACACCGACAGGGACGAGCCCGGGTACGTGGGGATGGGCTGGGCCTGCGGGCAGGGCGAGGACGAGGGCGTGTGGCGCCTTAAGGTGGCGCGTGGCTTGTCAGGCCGTCGGCCGGCCATCGGTCATCGACGAGCACTGGGTACGTCCATGTGAGTCATTTGAATACGTGACAGTCGGACGTGTTTGGCTGTCTTTGTTTTCTTGCGCTCAATGACCCGTAGCAGGTACCCGCGCCTGCGAAGGGTCCGTAAGGCTGTAGGTTGGCAAAGTGTGTGGCAATTTCTACCCCCAAGGATGCGGCAGGCTGATTCCGAATTCTCGTTTCGTCGCTCTGCTTCTGACCTACTGTACTCCTGGGGTGTGAGAGAGACCACTGTTCGGAATCAGCCTGGTGGCGCTGTGTACCTACATTGGCACGTGCCGCCATCCGTGAGTTCCGATACGCACAGCGGCACAGCCCACGAGACACAATAGTAGACCGCTTATCTGGAGGTGGCTCGGGTGGGGGAGGACTCACCTCATACTCTTCCAGTGCCCAATCCATGTTCGGTAGTTGTTTTCATCAATTGAAGAGAAATTTGGCAAGGGGCGGCGAATGTCTTTCCCACGCTTTCGCTCTGTCTGGGTGTGGATGCTTCGTAAATTTTGTCTCTTTTCCTCGTTGAAGTGTGCTTGTCATTTTCTTTTGAGTCTGCGGTTACACAGTCAGACAGTTAATTTCGCTAATTTGGAATTTCAAGAGGGGGACATTCCGGTGGTGCCGCACCGGGTGCCATTGTTGGTGGCTCTACTGGCGGCATGCTGGCAGCAACCACCGGCGGTCGGTGACGACCAGTGACGACGAGGGCGACGAGTCCGCGGTCTGGGTTTGACTCCACTATTAGATAGTTTGTGGGGCTCCATGACCGGTGTGGCCTCCGTGGCCTTCCCCTGGCCTCGCCAGTGCCTTGCCTGGCCAGCCTGGCTCAGGCAGGGCCGCGCTTGACCTCTCAGTGGCGTAGCACCGTCAAGGCAGTTCATGAACCCATCCCAGCGGGGAAGGTTACACTAGAAGCAGGTCACGAGATGGGCTAAAATCGGTCACGTGGTTTGAGAACTTCCCCCTCTCTTGTGGGACTCGTCACACAGCCGCGCACGGTCCTTGGCCCGGATGCGGTCCTCGGCGTCGTCCGCCACCGACGGCGTCGCCGCAGCCCGCAGGGCCCGCAGCCGGCCATGGATCCGTGCGCCGCTATGCCGCTGTGCCGTCGGTCACGTATGCACTGAGTTTCCGCGCCCATGCCTGGCCGTGCGCCGTGCCTGGCCATGCCGCTATCGGACGCCGTGCTGCGCCATGCCACAATGCGGCCGCGCCGCCATGGTCCGCGGCGAGTAAGCGCGGCCGGCCACGCCAGAGACACTAGCGGATAAGGCGTCCGAGGCTACTCTGCCGCGACTGTCGCCGCCCCACTGCTGCTCCGCCCGCCTTGCCCGCCCACCCCTCACTACTCACTCACGGTGCGAACGGTGCGGCGCGAGCCCCTTTTCAAGCGCCTCGTCTGCATGGAGGTCTGTCCGTCCACAGTCTACCACACTCCACACTGTCCCTCGGCACGTCGACCAAGGCACATCGACGGCGATCGACGGAGCATCGGGGCAGGATCCGCGAGACTCAAGTCGTCGACTATCACCGAGTGACGTACCGACTGTACCGACGAGCCCAGACAGGACCAAGGAGCTCAGCTGTGCCTACGAACTTGAGCGTCTTCAGTGCTCACAGGGCTCACCACGCCGAGTCCTTGGCGAGAAGGAAAACCTGAGCGTCGGCGATAACTGTGATGAAACGCAGGAGAATCATTATGTTATAGGAAGACGCGCGAATTCGGTCGCTGAAACATAACAAGGAAAGGATAAGCAGCAGCGATGTTGGCTGTGAAGGGGGTTGCTTCCCCGCTAGTCGGAGCGCAACCGACCTGCAGGATTTATCAGGTAAGAAGGTGCATTTCAAACTCTGTCAGTTGGTGCAGTTCAGACGAGCATTTTTACCTACATGCAGTAGTCTCGTCAAATGCAACCTGTGGTGCAGTGGTGTTGTTTGGTGGGACGCATGCTTGCGAAAATGCACAACTGAACTGAATCACTTTTCAGCACACCTTGACCCCTACTCCTCGCATCGCACTAGTATCGCAATAAGGCCAGTTTTCATTTAAAAACTTGAGCTCTCTTCAGTTCTAACACTAGTTTCAACTTCGAGTGCCTTAAGTGTGGGTGGCTGTACAGAGTCGTTTGAATATGAAGCGCGAAATACTGTGCCATCAGACAGTGCTTTTCGGGCAGGCTGTGGCTCGTGACCTCGCTAGTCAAAGGTCATTTGTTTAAGAACTAAGTGTAGTGAACGTGCACGTAAGCCCCTGACGTGGGCTTTTGTTTAAACGACTGGAACTGGAAGGATGAGATGGGAACATTCTTTGCGTAGAGCTGGTTTTTGGTGCCCTCTAAGAGTATCCTGCGTCATGCAGACATTGTTATCGTCTTGACTCTAGCTGTTCTCCCTCCCTCCTCTTCATTCCCTCCCCCCCCCCCTCAGCAAATCGCAGGCCGAATGCCAAAGATGTTCGTTCCGACCAGTTCCAAGTTTTCTAGGAAAAAATGAATACCGCAGCATGTTGTGATTTTTGTGGAGCTGCTAATAATCTCTTGCGCTGTGCTAGATGTAAACTTGTGTACTACTGTTCGAAAGACCATCAGTTAAAACACTGGAAAAAACACAAAGTGGTGTGCAAGGAACACATCGCCGATGACAGACTTGACAAGGACATCAGTTCATCTGACCCAACAAGCTGTGCCGCTAGTCAAAGTGTTGGATCTGAAAGTGGAGCTCTAGTTAAATCTAAACAAACTGTTACCAGTGATGCGGAAACACTGAAATGGGCGCAGGAGTGGGGAGCTCAGGGTGCTAGCACCATAACCTATGAGGGCAGTTCAGAGAGTGAAATTCTGAACGCCCGAACCGAGACCCTTAGTCCTGCTCTGGAGTACAGTGATGCAGATCTTGACATGTCTTTGCAGAAGCCAACTCTGTACCCACCCGGCCACGGCTTTGGGCTCAAAGACTTTTCCGAGATAAGCCTGGCTGGTGACAGACCATTTCCGCCTTTCCTTCACCGAAGTAAAAGAGATGAAGAGGGTATCATTGAAGAGCCATGTGGAGAGCAGGAAGTGATTGATGAGATGTGCAGGATTGTCATTAGAGACATGGACCAGTTTGGTGTTTGTGTGGTAGATAATTTCCTTGGGTACAAGCGAGGAATGTCTGTGCTCCAAGAAGTCACTGGAATGTACACAAAGGGTGTCTTCAAAGATGGTCAACTAGTCAGCAAAAAGGTCAAAAATGATCTTAAAACTATTAGAGGTGATCAGATTACTTGGATTGATGGCAAAGATGAATCATGCAAGAATATAGGTCTGTTAATTAGCCAAGTAGATGCTATCATATTACGTGCAAACAAAATGGCTAATAATGGAAAAATAGGAAACTACACTATCAATGGGAGGACTAAGGTAAAATTTACTGAATTCAAAAATACTCTCTTCTTTTTCTTAATGGGGATCTGTTGTTCATATTAGTTCCTTGTTCATTACAAAACTGCCTGTCTGAATTCCCTATCTTGTTTTCTCTGCTGCAGGCAATGGTGGCATGTTATCCTGGCCATGGAACTCACTATGTTAAACATGTTGACAATCCCAATAAAGATGGACGCTGCATCACAGCTATTTACTACCTGAATAGAGATTGGAATATTCAGGTATTAATTGTTAATAGTGGTGTTTCCTTAAGTATGAACCCTGAATTGCTAATTAACTTTTGACCTTACAGCAAAATGGTGGATTATTGCGCATATTTCCTGAGGGCTGGCAAGACAAAGTGGCAGATATTGAGCCCTTCTTCGATCGAATTCTCTTCTTCTGGTCAGATCGACGAAACCCACATGAAGTGCAGCCAGCTTTTAAGACGAGGTACATTAGAATTTTTGAACTTACAGTTAAATGAATTGTACATGAACCCCTATCTAACAATATTCAAATCAGCACAAAACTACAATGTGCATAGCATTTAAAATTTTTGAATGGTTTTTTGTTGCAGATATGCCATTACTCTATGGTACTTTGATGCCTCAGAAAGACAAGAAGCCTGTAGAAGACACAAAACTGAAAGTATGCAAATCCTTGTTTAGTATGGAGAAGTTGTTACTCCAAAAACATAAGAAGCAACAACATTAATACTAAAATTGGGACAAATTTTTTAATGTGAGGTTTTTCTTTTCTTTTCCAGTGGAGGCCCAAGCATCTGAGTCAAATAATATAGTGAACAAAACTTCTTCTGGAGAAAGTTGACCACATTTCTGTGTTGACTTTTCATTTGAGATTCTTTGTTTTGTTTTGACTGTTGTAACTGTCAGGCTTGTTACCAATTATGTTGAGGACTCAGTTGCGTAGTGCAGCTCAACATTGGTAATTTTGAACATGTTCCATTTCCTTAAGGACTTTGATTTGTTTAAGAGAGTACCTTCATTCCTTCTCCTCAAAATGTTCCCATGCTTTGCTTTATTTCTGCAGTGCACCATGTGTCTTGAGCATCTTACTGTGATTTCTATTTTAATTAAGTTATAGCTCTGTTCAAGAGTTGTTTCTTGTTTCTTTCTTGTTTGTCTAGTTCATCTTAATGCTATGGTTGTAATTATCAGTGGCAAAAGAATGGATCTGTGAGTGAGACTCAAAACTGATTGCCTCATAGACAGACTACATGCATGGTCTATTGTTAAAGCCCTGCCTTTTGCTACTGATGGTAACAGTCTAACCCTTACCTGTCTGTGACCCATCTAACGTGAAGTTTCTCAAATTCCATGTTATTTTCGTGCTTACAGCAACTTTCCCCCAAGGTTTTAAGTGGTTCATACTGTATTTACTACCCTGTATTTACAAAATTTCTTAAAAAAAAAACCATTAAATTTTTATGTGGCGTGTGCTTTTGCTAGTTCTTATGGTTTCATGTAGGAACAACATTATTAAATGCACTATATTTCTGATTTTGATCTTTGGTAGGAATGCACATTCTTCCTAATATATTTTATGTCGTAAAGCCACTTATGATGAGTTTATGTGTTTATAAACATATAGAATGAAGTTTTTCCAAACCTCACCAGAAATAACATGTTTTTTTGTTTTTTTTTTTTTACATCATCTCTTTGTGATTTAACTGCTGTCGCTACATAATGTAATTGTGCCTTTGGTCTTTCATTTATGAGCACTTAGATGCTCTAACTTTCATCATGACTCTTTCATCATTGAAAAATTACACAGTTGATGTAAGCTATTGAAAGAGGACAGTGGTGTGCGACGAACTCTTGGTCGTTTAATTGACTTATTAAATTGTCTTTTTAATCCATTGTAACTTTATCAGTTGCAGAATGAATGTCTCCTAAATTTTAGTGCTGCTGCTGATTAAGTTGAACTTGTATCACACTTTTGGTGTTTATAGACATAACATTGTATTTACTTGACCAAGTGCTTGCTTTATGCCTTTTTTACAGGATCAGCCATACACTCATGAAAATTGTGCATAAACTGTCATGGGCTACATCGAGGGGTCCTATTCAAAGAATCTTATCTGGGCGTTCCCCCCAAGACAATCTTATCTTAAACGCAAGCGAATTTCACACATTTTGACCATTTGTGACGGATACGAGAGTAAGCGGAATGTATTTCTACACGCACCTTTGGTTTCTTTGATCATTCATCTTCACATTTCAGTGAATTAAATCACAAATTATTTTGATTTGTATCTGTATCAAATGGTCAAACTGAGTGGAATTTGCCTGCGTTTAAGATAAGATTCTCTTGGGGGGAACGCGCAGATAAGATTCTTTGAATAGGACCCCTCGACATAATGGATTGTTTGAATCAACATAGTTATGAAAGATTTCCTCTAGTCCAGTATTATCATTGATGGTCGTTTTAGATAAATGGTTATATTTTTGTCTTGTACATCTTTAAGAGACTGAATAAGACCAGAGACGGATTTATTTTAAATTTAATTTTTTTAAAAAATAAATGTATTACACATTATTTTATTATTAGTTTTAGATTTGCTGGAGTATGCATCCTGCAGGAACTTCATTACTTTGCTTAACAAGTTGACTTCAATCATGAATGTTCAGATTTGAAACTTTCCGTTTTCTTTTGGCATCTCCTGAAAGGTCTTTCTCTTCTGTATCTGATGTTATGGGAATTGTAATGAAATGTTTTAAGAGTGTTTCAGCTTAGTGCACTGTAATATTTCAACCAGTATTTGCTATGAATCATCAAGTGTCAGGATAATCTTGTACTTTTTAAGTCACTGCTTCTTTAGAAATTCTGACAACGTAGTATTATAAACACTTAGCAATGTGTTTCACTGTTATTTTTGTTGTATCCTGAAACATACCTTGTGGTTATGTGATCATATCTTCTAAATGATTCTCATTACTTTGTTGGAAGCAGAGGATGCTTCCTCATTCAACTATAAACTTAGTATCATGCCAGTGAAGGGGATGCCAGTTCCACCAGTCAAATCTTTGTAGCTGAAGTTTCATCAATTGTTATACTGCGTTATTGTACTCTCTGCGGTATTTTCTTTAATGTGTGAAATATTTCTGCCTAGGAAACTGATCAGGTATCATACTATCTGTACCTTTCAAGCTTATTTGATGTTAAACAATACAATGAATAAAGCAACAGGACACTCAACATACAAATTTAACATTAATGCAGTAAAAATAAATTAGTAGCGCTGCCCATTTTTGTACCTCAAGATTTTGTGTTAACAAAATAGGAAGTGTTTTGAAGTTTCATTATGAAGGGCTGTGATTTATTGTGAGCTCTGTTTAGTTCAAAGTTGTTTGAAAATAATGCTAAACCAAGGATGTCAGGGTGTCGTATTGGATTAAAAGAGTCTTACCAGAAATCTTAGAGCATTTTTTTTTGGGTCATAGGTACTAATTGTACACTTCTCACGACTGTTACGTAACATATGATCTGTGTAAAGTATATTAATTGTGTAAAGGAACTCGAATTTGTATTAAAAGAATGTGTAGGTATGGATTGGATGCATTGTAAGTTCTGTACAATTTTAATGTGTTGCAATGAAGTTCATTTTTGTTGGAATAAATATGTTGTATAACAAATTACCTATTCTGGTATTTTATTTTCCTACCCAACTAAAAACGTTGTTATATTTGGGAGAACGATTGTTAGACAGAGGGGGTGGGTGGAGGGGTGTGTATGTATGAAAGAGAGAGAAGGAGAGAGAGCGAAAGAGAGAGAAGGAGAGAGAGAGAGAGAGAGAGCTCACGCGAAGCGATCAGTAAACATGTCGGCGTTGGGTATGTGCCGGGAGTTGTCTTTGGCCTTTACAAAATGACATTAGTTTGAAGGTAAGGCGGAATTAAGATATTCACAAGCCCTGGAGCTTTTTTACTTGTATGAAATTGTGAGCTTTTCTCTTGTCAGCGGCAACCGTTGCTGAGGCCACTTTCCTATCTTTTTAGGTTATGGCTCTATTGTTTTTTGTTTTGTTTGTTCCCTGTGGTATTTCTAAGTGACTTATTTTGCATCGAAGCATTACGTCTCTCTTTCTTAATTATCCTGAATTTGCTTAGCGTCATTTCCCGTAATGTAAGAAAGCATTATATGACACAATTTATGAAACAACTATTCTTTGTGTAGGTGGATAGTGCCTCTCTCTTCAGATCAACAGCAATATTGCATTCTTAAACATGTCTTGCTTTTTCCTCAGATATCGGAGTAATCATGCTGAATAATCCATGGATTGTGGGAGGAAACCCTATGAACCAAATGAACAACCATATTGATGGTTTGGGTGGTTCTGGTCATATGGTGGTTCAGACACAAAGTGTCAGTATAGCCTCCAGTGATGGCTCTGTCATTCATCAAACCAACACTTACGAGTCCTGGGTAACCATGTCTGGTCCACAGCCCATGAGTCTGGACATAGTGCCTAGTGCAGGGCCTGGACAAAATTTGTTCCAGTCACTTGACATGGGCCGCTCACCCATTATGACTTCAAGACCTGCTGACACATACTTGGCTGTGCCTATGACCACGGATATCCTGTCTGCTGCTGCTGCTTCTCCTGTAGCTGTCAATATGCAAACTCCTTATGTGTCTCACAACCATGTGGAACCTGTCGTTGCTTTGCCAGCCCAGATGGCTGTTGCAGAAACCCCTATGGTGGCAGCAGTTCAAAACCCTGCTGAAACTTTCATTGCTGTACCTGTGCCTGCACCTTGTGATCCATTAGTTGCTGTGCCTGCAGTTCAAAATTTGTACAACCCCATTATAGGGCCAACAGAGTCAACAGTACCCATTATTCAAACCTCATCAGTAACGCAAACACCTCAGACAAATACACCTTCTTGGTACCTTGTGGTCCAAGACATGCCAGAAGCAGTGCCCGGAGCCAATGGCATCTCAGGATCTCCTTCTGTTGTTCGCACAGGTATGTTAATTAATCTCTATCGAACTTGAAGCATCACTTTAATTGAAGTTTCCAGTTTTAATTTGAAAATTTTCTTGCAGATGATGATTTGTATTTGTGTATAAGGTGCAATTCAACATTTGAAAAGGCTTCCTGTATTAATTGGCACTTGCGAGAATGTAAAGGGGATGGTGTCAAGACAAGTACTTTACCTACGACTAATATTTTATCCTCAACTGCCACCAATGTAAAGATGATGCAGTGCTCACGTTGTGCAAGATTGTTCAATGTCTTCCATGAGCATTCAAGCCATTTTATATGCTCAGATTGTAGCACTAGTACTGTGCCATTTACAATTCATTTTGGAACACAGCCTCTTAAACAGTTCAAATGTTCAGAATGTTCTGAGTGTTTTCAGTTTGAGTCTGACTTGGATGACCACCTGACATCACACAGATCATCAGTGACCATTTGTGAGTTGCCTGATAATTACATTGAGGAAAATGGAAATGATGATGATAATGGATCAGTTATAATTGAACCTATGGTAGAATCTCCAGAGGATAATGAATCAGTGTCCTGTGGTAGTGAAAGTAGCAATGATGTTGATGCAGAGCAGAGTAGTTCCGAGACCTGTGGTGAGTGTGGTGATGCATTCAGCTGCCAAGATTCTCTCAGTGAGCATTTGAAATCTCATGGGGATATTCGATCATATGGTTGCACTAAATGTGGCATTATTTGTGTTGGACGGCACTCTTTAAACAGACACGTTTGGGCACATTCACGTGAGTCAGAGGAGAAGGAAATATCCCTCAGTTGTTTTGAAGAAGAGAAAGATGAAACCAAAGATGTAATAGTTACTCAGCCCTTTGGATGCACCGAATGTGGTATGCAGTTTTCTGATAGTAATGAACTGAAAGAACATTGTGTCAGTCACCTTCGTTTCAAACCATTCCTGTGTACCCAATGCGGAGAGAAGTTTGAAACAACAAGTACCCTGGAGAGACATTGGGAAGCTCATGCTTTGGAAGTATAATAAATTTATGTCACAGGGTTCTATCGTTTTCACTGTTATAGAAATTTCTGAGGTCTGTTTTTTTAAGGTCGCAGGTATTGAAACTTACCATTTGTATGATCTTCAATAGTTTTCCATCTATTAGGTTTTGTCCTCTTTGATAAGTAAGAGTAGCAAAACTTCCTATTGACTGAACTATGCTTAAGTTTTGCTGAATTTTCTTTTAGTGTATCTTGATTTAGTTTCCTTCATCAAGCAGTTTGCATATTTTATTAATTTTTTGACCTTGAGACGACTTTGCCAGTGGGAAATGAGGAATTGATCCTGACCAGGATAAAATTTGATTGTTTATTTTATGTTACAGTATAGCTACTTGATCATTGAAGGGGTTAGTAATAGAAAGAATAAATAAAAAAAGATCATGATGACCCTTACTTGCCTTATATGTTTGTTTGCCTTAGCAAATGAATATGGTTAAACAGTGTATGAGAAAGACTTGGGAACTGTTACTCTCAAAACTCAATAGTCATATGAATGTACTTGATGGATTTGTGACAGGGTTAGAACCATTATTTTAATGCATTCTCATCAGGAATTCTGTGATTTTTCCATATCCTCAACCGCCTGTCATAAATGTTATCATATTGTATTTTTCTTACTTATTTTTGTAATAAGATATTTTTTGATGTTTAGTGATGCCTAAAAGTGTGTAATTCTTAAGTGTGAAGCTGTGCACGAAATTCTGCTGTACTTTGAAAGCCGATCTGTTCTTAATTTTTCCAATGATAAGTGAGCAAATTTCCTTGTGTGTTGATCTTTTGGAGATAACTGTGGTGCTTGATATTGTCTGGGGAAGGTGTCATTGTTTTGTCGGTCTTGAGGACATCTTGTAAGAATTGAGCAAAAATAGAAGCACATTGGACCAAACACAAAGGATCATATTTGTTTATATTATGATGTGGTTTTTAGAATGGCTACAACTGATGCAAATATGGGTTATTTTTCTCGTGTAATGGTTGTGTGATAGAATTTGATATGTGTACATGATGAACCTTTCAAAAAAATTAAAAAAATTATTATGTTGATAGTTTTCAGTTTACTCTGGTATAGAGGAAAGCACCACTGTGATTTGCCAAGTGAATATGTAACTTGTTCAATTGGCTCTCAGAGTTGTTAACTTATTCATTGTTTGCAATAATTTCAGGTAGCTCTAGTCAACATTAACAAATTCATTATTTTCTCCAAGCCGCCACTAGTTGCTTTGATGGAATGCCAAATACACTTTAAATTTGGAGTAAAACATATGTGTTCTGAATTTTCTTAACTGTATGCAAAAATGGAAATTTCTTGAATTAAAGTGAGAGAAAGTACTTAAAAATCTGTATAACCATAGTACTTCATCCCTTATCTCCCTACCTTGACAAACAACACCGGTGCCTCGCTGGTGCTACGGGTACTTCCCCTTTCACATCATACGTCGTCTGCTTGTCGTGCGAATAATAAGAACAGTGGTGGGGTGGGTGTTTGGGCTGAATGTTGGTCAACATTCCCTTCGAACTTCGACAGCCAGTGACAGTAAATTTTCTCTTTTCTCTTCTCATTGTTAAATATCCTGGTTCAAATTATTCTGTGTACTCGGGTTGATAAGTCTGTCAAAAAGAAAGCTGGTTGAGAACCTCTGAAATTGGGATGTTATTTCGAAGTTAGGTTATGTTCACGAAATCAACGTAATTATACCAATTAATACTTTAAATTGTAACTGTCTGACATGGATAAGCTCGAAGCAGAGGCTCGAGCTACTGCTACTAAACATGTCATCAATATGCTCCAGCGCGCTGGGCAGTTGGAGAAAGTGAGTTTTGCAATTTGCTTCACTCCAGTTCTTGGAAACTTTCTGTAGATTCTTTGTGAGGTGCGGTTTCGTTCCTGTTTGAAATAATTAATTTATTTCAGGTGGAGCAGTATAAGAGACGGGTATCCAGGAAAAAAGCATCAGTTGAAGCCATGCTGAAAACAGCAATGCAAAGCCAGTTGGATGGCGTGCGAGTAGGACTGGATCAACTACAGGTTTCTTTGAGTGAAATTAAGGAAATTAAAGACAGGTACATACCAGTGGCGTTCATTACATTTAAATATTGAAGGTGGACCAGAAGTTATAAAATAATGTATCATTCAACAATTTTCAGCTTAAAAACAATGGATCAATTGTTTTGCGAAGTACCAGCTCTCTGTGAGAACCTGCAAGACGTCAGAGAGGAAAACAGTCGCCATTCGCAATACGTGACTGCAATGGAAAACTTGAAACATATATTTACTGTTCCAGAGTGTGTTGAAAAAACAAAGCAATGGATAAGTGAAGGCGACCTCCTTCATGCTAGACAGGTGAACCTTAGCTGCCTCCTTCTATTAATGAAATCCAGAATCACAATTTCAAATATTTTGCTTGTTCTAATTTTGCTTTTTCAGAGCTTGACAGATCTGGAGAATTCGAGGGATGATCTATTGTGGGAACTACACAAATCACCAAACCAATCTGCGGCAGACTGTGTTCTACTGAATGCTTACTTTGAAGATGTTGAAGAATTGAGCAGCCTGCTGGAGAAACAAGTTCGCATAGTCTTAGGGAGAACATTGAATACAGTCCGGAAAGAGCCCACAATTATTGTTACTGCCCTTCGTATCGTAGAATGGCAAGAAATGCAGGATGAATTTGCAGCTCAGGTGACACTACTATTCTTTTATTGTTTTCATTGCATTATACCCATGTTGATTTGGTAATTTAATGTACCATATATGCATCTGTCTAGCGTGAAAGACAGAGCGGTTTCAAACCACCTGGCCGACCAAAGCACTGGAGAAAAATGGCTATGGATGTTCTGGAGCGATCTGTAGCCCAGCGTATAGAAGGTACTCATGTTGATGAAAGGGATGAAAAGATGTGGCTTGTTCGATACTTAGAGGTTAGTACCCTTTTTCCTATTCAATCTAAAAAGTGAAAAAAACTGAAACAAATATTCTTGCATGAGAGAAGGGCGCCCTTCTCTCACTTTGTTGTTACTTTCCCCCTGAGAGATTTTTCTTCAGTGGTCAATAGTGCTTCCCACAACATTTATATTCCTGATCATCTTCCTTTTTTGCAGCTGACACGTTTACTCATTCTTGAGGATTTGCGGGTAGTTAAAACACTTTGTGAGCCATGCTTTCCTCCATCTTGGAATATTGTTGAGAAATATGTAGAAATGTATCACAACTGCCTCTCTGGACATGTAGGTGTTTCTTTGTGATAAGAGAAGTGTCATATATTATATTCTGTTTGATCTAATTATTTCTTTATGCCAGCTGGAAGAGTTGGTGCAAAGTGGCTTGGAGGGAAATGAGCTTGTCTCTATGTTGGCATGGACCACAAACACATATACTGGTCCTGACCTGATGCATCATCCTGAGCTATCCTTTGACACATCACATCTTGGACCATTATTGTGTGAAGCAACAGTAAATGCCCTGCAGGACAAGTATCTACAGGTACTTTTACTTTCTTTTTAGAATAATTTGTCAACTGTACTGATAACTTGAAGCATATGGCAAACATTTTTTTCCTGAACCGTTCTAGGTGATGGAAAATAACTACCAGGAATGGATGAGGAAGACCCTGGAAGCGGAGCAAGCTGATTGGAGAGCTGGTGTGGCTCCTGAAGGTGGTGAAACTGATGGTTTCTTTCACACATCTGCCCCTGTCATTATTTTCCAAATGATAGATCAAAATCTTGTTGTGACAAAGACAATCAGGTATGATGATATGAGTTTTGTTAACTCAGCAGTAATTCAAGTCATATGATTGTTTCTGGTTGTGCTAATACATTTTGTGGGTGTGCATTTGTTAGTCAGGAGCTGACGCACCGTGCCCTCCTGCTATCCATGGACCAAGTGACACAATATGGTCGCCTGTACAGATCTGCAATCATCACCTTCAAAAGTCGTCATTTTGAAGATCGCAGTCAAGTCCCTTTCTTTACTCATTACATGATAACTATTGTAAATAATTGCTCTAGATTTGTGGAGTTGGCAAAACAGCTGAAAGCTCAATATTGGCGGCCCGGTGTGCATGACAGGGACTCAGCTGTAAAACTTGAGTTGCTTTTGAGTACATTCCAAGTAAGTCTGTTTTTGGCTTGTAAAACAAGAAATTTTTCCTATTTAACTTCTTTTCTTGTCATTTTGATAGAATCTGAGGAATGAAGCAGCACAATTTTTACTGGAGGAGGCTTTCCTTGACTTGGATCTTCATTTCAAAGACATTGCTACCCCAAAATGGCTCAGCAGCTCCATCCCAGTGGACACAATTTGTGTAACTCTTGAGGATTATTTTCAGGTGAGAGGATTTGATTGTACCTAAGTCAATTGATGTTATTTTAGATGTTCCATGAAATTTAGTGGCTACTTTGAGATAACCAGTGGCAATCTTACTTTGGTGCCAGTTTTCCCATGCAATGATATGTAGATTGTTAACATTGTAACATTTCCTGAATTGATGCTGTACCATTTGCATTTTCCTAGATAATGTCAGGTATTGCTTGCAACACAAGTACTGGTTTTTTTTTCAGGATTATGTGCACCTTTGTGAGAAGAATTTTGAATTGGTTATAACTGAAGCTCAGAATCACGTTGCACGGCGGTACCTTACTGCCCTGCTGCAACGTAAGCTATCACTGAAGGAGCTGGATCAGAGACGAAAGTTAGCTCAGAAAGTTACCCATGAAGCAGATCAACTAAAAGCTCTTTTCTTACGGGTTGCTCCTAATGTGAGTTCATCAAAAGTCCTATCTTATCATCTGGAATGGTAACCCTGTTTTGGAAATAATTAATGGTATTTACTTTTGCAAGCAGATACTAGCAACAGATTCACCATTGGATGCAGTCAAGGCCTTGACTGAAGTTATTCGTTCAGAAGATGCAGAAATGTTATCTTTGGACTTGTTACTAGTGATTGAGAAGTACCCTGACTTAACAGAGGAACAACTGCGTCGTCTTTTATCTTTGAGAGGTGACATCACTCGCCAAGACATCGAAGACAAGCTCAAAGTAATGAAAGATAGTAATGAAAACCAAAGCAGAAACAAACGACTCTCAAGTCCTCCAAGTATTTTTTCACAGATAAAACTTTCATGAAAATGTGAATGTGATTTCCTTCTGAATTATATTATTATTGTTGACTATAAATAATATATCTGTTAGATTTCTCATTTCAACATAATCCCAGGACAATCTGGAAAACATGATTAATAATTTATCTTCACTCACACAACAGATTTTAAATGCTAAAACACTGTGATCCAAGAAGCAGGACAGAGGCCAAGGTGCACAGCAAGTGCTACCCACAAGGTCGAGTAGTACTGGAATGGCTGGTGAAACAATGGAAGTGTAGAACTGAGACGATGAGCTAATTTATTCACACATTTTACACTTTGAAAGGAAACAAAGACAAATCAAATCTGGGGAACAAACAAAACAACTATTTTCATGGACTCTCAATTCAAATTTGTTTGTAATATCAACCTATAATTGTTACCTAAATCCTAAATATTGAAGGAACTAGCTATCAATCTTTGAGCTTTCAGACACTGATGTGCTTGCTTTATCTGGAACTTGGACAGCATTAATAGATGATACTTCCACCTTCACATTTTGACCCTTAGAACGAGCACTTGGTAACTCCGGACGTATCAGATCAGGAACTAAGTGCATGGCAACCAGCCCATTAATTTCTTTAAAATACGCTGCTCTCAACTTTCCTATGTCATACTCTTCAGACCGTTTATCCATCTCTTGCTTAAGTGCATGGTATGAAGCAGTTGCTTTATGATGTCTTTCCATTTCTTCATTAAAATTGCGTCTATACAGCCACCTGATAGAAAAAAAAAAAATATAAATGACGTTTGACATTCCCTTCACTACCTAACTACAACAGCTACAAATAAATATTTGTTTCTCTGGGGTTCATTTACTGAAAATGCTTCGCATAGGGTGCAAATCAAAATGTACCTCAAGAGGAAAGCTGGATTTGAATGACAGTGGGGATTGGGAACAGGGCAAGGGACAGGTTCATTATGCCTGTCATCCTGCCTGCAGATAGTAATGTATCACTTATTACAAATTGTGAGTAATGGACGCACGGCATTAGAGCACATCAAATAAGGACGGTCATGACAAAGGATCCACATGAAATGTAATGCAAGTAGTTTTAGTTTTTAGTTTTAGAACTCACCTTAGAAATATATACTGGAGGAAGGCCCCAACTGTTGTGAACGCTAGAAGGAGAACAGTAACTTTGAAAGCTCCAACCTGTGCTGGTGGGTTGGGGTCTGTATGTCGTTGGCTACAGAAAAGAGAGTTCACATTGAAATTAGATGAGTTTATTTGGACTCCAAAAAGTATCAGAAAAGTATACCTTCTATAATAGAATTCTTTAAATTCATCACTAAAATGATCGTGATAATATCTAGAGTCGTCGTCTGTAGGTTCCATTGGTCTTCGGCCAGGCCTCGACTGATATGGCGATCTCAGACCAACATCATAGTCATGCCGTTTGGAGGGTGCGCTGAGAATGGAATACGCCTTCTGGAGTTCTACAAACCGGGCATGACTTTTAGGATCATTTTGGTTTGCATCAGGATGGTGCTAGACAAAGAAAAAAACAACAACACAGAAATCATTTCAATGCCTAATGAGCGTGACATTGAAGATGATATACAACTTACCTTTTTTGCAAGGTCAATGAATGAATCCCTAATTTCTTTTGGACTGCAGTCACTTTTTACATTTAACACATCGTAATAATTTTTTTCATGGGAAGTTCTGAAAAAAGACAATGAGATATTACAACCAGAGAAGAGTTGAAAACAGCACTCACAGCACTCTTTGAAAGAGCTGCTTTAGAGCCGCCTACCTTGAAGTGTGAAAGCCTTCAAAAGAAATGGGTCGAAAACTACGAACCAAATTTACTAAGACATTTTTCTTTGAGCTGAAATTCATCTCCAATTATAACTAGCAGCCGAACATACTGATTAAGTTTAGTTAGAAATCAATGACCAGTTCTTGATGTGTGACAGTTACAGACCCTTGCCACCTGTCATCGCCTATGTACTTTAAGTTTCACAATTAATCATAACAACACAAAATTTGTCCAAACCAACAACGTCAACCTTGACCATCATCACAGTCTTTTGTTATGTTGTTCTGCTGCTGTCAGGCTGGCAATGGGACCAACGTGGCCAAAAGAAATGGAAACCTCCCTATTTGTCCCTCGTCTTTTTGTCATGCACCCAAGACGCGTTAGCTATAGTTATTTTAACGACGCATCAACCTGTTTTTAAGGCTAGTTATTACCTGTAGGGTTTAGATGATTTATCAGGTGTGTTCACGGATCGGTGGTGTGGTACCATTTCAAGAATGTGGCGGGAACGTTTAAATTTTGCAGCAGTACCTATGTAGCGGGAACGTTCACCCGTTTTGAATTTAGCTAGAGAGAACGAGAAAACACCAGTTGGTGGCTGTGAAGTGGCTTGTTATTATCTGCGTAGTTCCTGAGCAGCCGTTTCAAGCCGCAAGCGCGTTGGATTGAGCGTTGCAGCGGGCTTTCAACTTTCCACCCCCTCCGCCCCCTAAGCGGATGCGGATGCGGATGCGGACGCGGAAGCCGAGCGAGCGAAGAGCGAGCGAGAAGAGAGAGAGAGAGAGAGAGAGAGAAAGGAGAAGCGTCGAGGAAGAAAGTGGGAAAGCTGCGAGCTGGATTTTGATTGTCTTCTAAGGTTTTCAAAATTTCTGGAGTTCTGGAAGATTTTCTTGTCACGAACGCTGCTTAGTGGGTTGTTTTACTTTGGAGTCTATCTGGCTTCTCCCAAATTCGCGAGGATTGAGGGCTGGGGCTACATCCACCGGGAGGGTTAAGGTGAAGTGTGTGTGATAGGCCATCCGACAGGTTGATAGAACAACAACCGAAGTTTTCTCTGTCTGGTTGCAGATGGCTGGTATGTCCGATGATTTCGAAACAGCCGAGAACTGGAAGGAGGCGGGCAATGAGGCTATGCGGAAAGGGAAATACTCTGAGGCCATTCTTAACTATAAGAAGGGTAAGCTTGTGTTAGTGTATGTGCTTTGTTGTTGTTGGGTGAGCGGGGCCCCGGTGCTCTCCTTGCGTCAGTCTCTATGGGAATCGGTGAATAGGTATTAGCATGCTTCCACAAACTCGCGTTCGCGATCGTAGCAATCAACTGACTGTCTGTGCCCTGAAATCTGTTTGCTCTGCTGTAACTGACACATTCATGTTAAAATCTATTGCTTTGCTTTCAGGTTTGAAGATAGAACCCCGTAACGCTATATTGAATTGTAATATATCGCAGGCTTATCTGGCAAAAAAAGAATTTTGTGAAGCAGAAAAATATAGCAAATTTGCCATTGAGGAGCAGCCCTCCTATGTTAAGGTATGGAATGATGCGACAGTATTGTCATCATTCGTCTATTCGTTGAAAGCTTTTAAGTAATATTGTCACCCATGCATTTAAGTACAAGTTATCTAATTTTAACAGGGATACTATCGTGCTGCTAAGGCTGCCCTCGGCCGGCATTGCATCTATGATGCAATGCTCTACCTGGCTGAAGGAGCAGCCAACTGCAGTGGAACACCCCAATGCGAGGACTTATATGTCATGGCTCGGGACTTGAGTAAGTGCAATGCAAGCAATGCAGCTCGCATTTGAGGCATGTTAGTATTAATTTTTCTTCTCAATCTGACTTTGATTATTTTTTTTTTAAAATTAGGTCCAGAGTTTGAGAACTCGTTGCGACGATGTCAAGTTTGTATCTTTCAGCATTTAACATTTTAAGTTTAGTCTTGCAATGAACCATATAACAGTTAAATTTCTTGTTTTCTTTCCTTAGAAGGCACCCAGTGCAAAGCCTTCCCAACCTCAGACTTCCCAACAAAAAGTTGAAGAAGATTTTGACAGACAGCTGGACGAGAAGTCTAAGAGAAAAAGAGACCTGGAGAAGAAACGAGAACTTCTTAAAAAGCAGGACAAGGAAGTCACTGACGCTCTTGAAAGAGAATCAAGGGAGCTTGAGGAACTTGCAAAGAAGAAAAAGGAACAAGAACGGCTCAAGAAGGAGAAGGAACTGCAAGAAAAGAAAGAGCGAGAGGTGGAAGCAAAGAAGGCTCGCGAACTGGCAGATAAGAAGGCGCGGGAAATGGAAGAAGCCAAAGCTCGGGAGCTGAAGCTAAAGAAAGCGCGTGAGCTAGAAAATAGTAAAAAGAGAGCCGAAGAGGAGAAAATTCAAAAGGAACTGGAGAGAATCACATCTCTTAAAGATGTAAGTAATTAATGCATTTTTTTCATAATTAAATACTTTTGTCATGAATTTATGTGTGTTGTTTCCTAATACCTTTCATGGTTTACAGCAAATTCATAATGATAGTCGGGATGGCTCAGCGGCTCTTATGAAAGGCTTTGGCCGAAAGGCAGTTGATAAGTTGGAGAGAGCCTTGGACACAATAAGGTCTCATCCAGCTGATACTGAGGTTTGTGTCACTTGGCATTATAAATTCAATTAATTAACTCAACTGAATAAATAATGATGAATCTGTTTTGGCTTGCCTCCAGAATCTAGGGTTCAGTGATCCGATGGACATTGTTGTTCTTCAATACACATATTCACAGGCTCTCATTGAGTCTGGCGAGTACACAGATATTATGAAAGGCATTAAAGTTCTTGAGGGCCTCGAGTTAGATAAACAGCACCTAAAGTTTCCTGCTATCCTCCTTTTATTAGGAAAAGCTATGTTGAGACTCAACAGGTAACTCACTTGGTTTCATGGTTTTGGTGGTAAATGTAACACTGTAATAGCCTTGCTCTTTAAACTCCCAAATTATTCAAAGGTTTAAGGAGGCTCTGCTCCCTTTAAAGAGAGGATTGGCTTTTATTGAACGAGGAACCCCTTTTCCCCGTTTCCCATGGCCTGGCACTCATGATGTCATTGATGTCACGGAGCGCCAACATCTTAAGGTACTTTTGACCGCTTCTGTTCTTTGTTAATTTTTGCCGCAAGTTGATAGTTACTCAAATTTAAAGACCAAATAGACAAAACTGCTTGACACTACAGTATTTTCTTTGATTTTGTTGACTCCAGGCTGAATTGGAAAGTTCTGCAAAGGTTTGTGGCATTTATCATAAACCGGATGCAGTTTGCTTTCATCAGAAATGTAGTACGACTTCAAGTCAGCATATTATTCCTTCTCGAAACATATTCTTTAGGTGAGTTCTATTGAATGGAATGTATCAATTTAATTTTAAATGTTTCTATTTCCAGTTTTTATTTGAAAAAATGTCTAACAACTTACGTTTTCTTGGTTTAGTGATCCAGACTTTAATGGTTTTTTGACAATTGTGTGCTCAGAAAACTGTAACATCTTTTTCCACTTATCATGTTGGAAGGATTTTCGAGAGCATCTCTCTATAGAAAAATTGTCTGAGAAGGTAAGATGAGATCCTTGAGTGCAATTAAAATGTGGTCCGTTTTGTGGATACTGTTATTTTAGTTGCTCTGTGTCTTTTGTGGCAGGATTTTTTAACTAAAGATTGTTTCACTCCTGATTGTGGTGCAGTTGTTGTGAAGCTCGCCATCACAGGACCTGATGGCGAGGTTAAATCTCACTGTGAGCACACAATTAGCCGGGCCCAAGCTATTGAGGCAACTTCTCTTCCTAAAAGCCCTAACAAGAAGCGAAGGTAATCATTTTGTTATTGCTGTCATGAAGTCATTACTGAAGTTTCATGAAATCACACGCACTTTTTGCTCTACTTTTGCTATTTCAGGAAAAAAGAACTGGAGAAAGACAGCAAGCAGGATCACAGCAAAAAGAAGGTAGTTCTTATTTTACCATTGTCATTCTTTATATGTATTTTGAATGAGCACTTGTTACTCTACTTTTAATCAAAAATTTTTATTTTATGTTGTTGGTGTGTTTAGAGGACAAGATGTGATTCTAAGAGTCAAGATTTTAAGACTGACAATTTTACTCCCAAGAACAATTATTCTCAAGGGTAAGTTTTTTGTCTTATTTACTCCTGCCTTGGCCTTTCCTTTCTCGTCTTTCATTCAAGCTTTTTTTTTCTTTGTTTCTAGGGATAGCAATATACAATACAGTGATGCTATTGCTAAATTAATAGAAGCCAGGGCAAACAACTTTGGTTACCACTCTGTTGTGAGTTAAAATGCTTTTACTGTAACTGTTATCTTTTCTCATGTTTTCTTCTAATTTACCCTGTTTTTACAGCCTGACAGCCTGGAAGTTGGTGATAACCCTACAATTTCTATGCCATCTCATTTAAATCAAAATGAGGAATTCATTTACTCGTAGGTTTCTTTCTTTCTATGTGTGTGTGTGTGCGGCGCATTTCTGCAGTGTGACTAACAAATTTTTATTCCAGGTATTTTTATGAGATCTTTAAAAAAAATGGACATATGTCTGTATTTGCATTGCAAGAACATTGGGAGGCCAACAGAGAGCTACTGCCTGAACTTGAACCTGCTTTAGTTACTCATACAGGTAAGTGTGTGTTCAGTCCTCTTATATCATCTATTTGTTTTCATTTATTATTGTAAATTTTTTTGCCTTTGGTATAGATTTGGTTAAATTTTTATTGGATACCGATGGGTTTGCTGTAGTTCAAGATATGATAGGAATTGCAAGTGATCTGCCTAAAATTTCTGCTGTGGTGGAGTCTAAGACTGAGCCTCTGCCCGCGGTGGGTACTGATAGCTTACTTGTTCACATTAGGTTCTTAAACCAAATTTAATTTTAGTGAATTGTTAAAAAAATCTTGTTTCCAGGTCGATGGATGGCAATTTTCAGCAGCTACCATACAAGAGGCTAGTCAAACCTTATCCTTCAATTCAGCTCTACCAGAAAATTATGAAGAGGTAGATACAAGAGCTGAAGATCTTAGTAAACATGACTGCGACAAAAGCAGCAGTAGTTCATATCATTCTATTTCTGAAGATGGTAACAAAGAAGAAGAATCTTCATGCATTGATTTGGATGGATCTTCAAATGCTCTATTTTCATCTGACCATACTTTTAACCTTGGCAAAGCGGCATATGTCAATGGTTATAACTCAACTGATCATGTAAATAGTGAGGGCAGTTCAGATTCCTCAAATAATGCTAATGTCAAGCCTAGTTTGCCACCGGCTGTCGAATCATCAAAGGCTCAAAGTTCTAATGACCTCAAACCTGTCAATGGAAAGAATCGCCTGTCAAATTTGCCGGTAATAGGCATTGAGCTTTCAGATAAAATGACCAATTTAAAAGTTAATGAGGAGACAAACAATAATTGCAAAGTAAGCAATCCAGTGATTAATGACAAAACTATGCAGAATCACTCTTCAGAACAAAGCTCACCAAGGTAGGCATACTTAAGAATCTTTCTGGTCACATTTGCTTATCCTTCTCACCTTCTGACACTTTCTTTTTAAATTTTCTAGAGCCGCTCCCGCTCCCTGGAAGCCGCGGGCTAAATTATTAAAGTGGGCTTGTGAGGCGTTCCCAGGGGAACCTGAGTAAGTTATAATTTAACCCAATTTTTGACATTATTTAGTTGTGTGTGCTAATGAGGTTTTCACTTTTGATTCAAATTTTGTGAACTTGCAGAAGGAAATTGTGGGATGCTCTGACAAAAGTCAGAGCTGAAAACAACTTTACTCTATCAGGACTCTCTTTCGATGCTATTCGTGAAAAAGTGAGATCTGTTTTGCTGGTGAAAAGTAAGTACAGTATCAATTGTGCTCCTTACTCAATATGATCCAAGATATTAACCATATTTTGTTTTGTTTCTAGGTACTTAATTGTAAGCAGTTGGAAGCAAGCTTTTTTTTTCTGTTTCTTAGGCAAATGTTATTTTCATCAGCATCTTTTCCCTTAAACCTAAAATAATTGGACCATTTCTTCAATCTTGACCCCATATTTTCCTTGTGCCTGTTGGCTTGAAAATGGTGGTCAACTTGTGTCATTTCGTTCAAGTGAAAAAAATTGCTATATTTTTATTTTTTTTACATGGTTGTTGGACCAAAATGGTATGGAGTATTTTTGTTTTCATATCTGGACACGCCTAATATTTCATGTGGACCATATATACCTAATTTTTCTTCTGGTGCACAAAGACTAAAGATAATAAAGAGATTTTCCTCAAAAATATTGCTCTGTTTATTCTCCACTTCTACCCATGCATCATAATACACACACTTGAATTCTTAATATAAACTATTACTAGCTACTGAATATTCTCTTCATCATTTTGGAGTATTCATCCTTGTACTTTTTAATTTTGACTTGTACTTCACAATTGAGGCGTTTTGCTGACAAATTATTTGGGTCCAGTTGTAGGAGTCTTTGCAATAACAAATCAGCTTGGTCGGTGTCTCCCAGTGCCCAAGAGGCTGAGGCTTGGCGATACAATGCTTTCACATTAGAAGGGTCATGGTGAAGGGCCTTTGCACATAAGGATACAGCCATTGTGGGATTGTTCTCCTTAAGTTGGCACTCTGCCATGTTGCTACAAAGTGTGGAGAGTAGAGTTTGCAGGGACGGAGTTAGTTCTTGCATATCAACTGTCAACAGTATTTTCACACCCAATGCAAATCTGTGGAAGGCGTCTACATATCGTTCATTCTTGAACAAATCAACACCACATGACTTATCATTCAGAGCCATTTCAAGTTTTTCTTCAGTACTGGCATTCAAAATTGACAATAAATAGTTGTTTGAAGGGAGTGAAGATTTTTTATGCTTGGGAAGTTCAGTTACTTTCCCTAAATTTATGACACACTTTATACAAGGGACGGGTAGAATGAATTGGTCTCTAAGCTTTCCTTCTCTTTTGGTGGCAGACAATATCACTTCACTTCTCTCACCCTCGTTCATATCCAACAGAACTAACTCAAGAGCTTTATCTATTTCTGAATTACATGAGCCAAGTTCCAGATTATGATCAATGTTTGTACTAAACATAGAATTACTTTTAACAACCTGTGAGAAGTCTGTGTCGAGCAGCTCAAGACTCTCAACAACAAAAGTGCATGTGGAATGGACATGAGGTCTCAGTCCCTTGATGCCTGGAGATAAAATTGTCTTGGAAACATAGGTATCGTACAGAGTTGTTTGAGGAATAACTTTGGAGATCAATTCCTCTTCACGGAATGGTGACCCTTGGTTATAAATGACAGTTTCCGATAAAGGACTGTTTTCCATTTTGGCAACGGTACTCTTGTCATTGGATCTGAAAAGTATAAGCACACAGAAAAATGTTATGGCAGTGATGCAGTTTTGAAGAGACAATTTGAGCTACGGTATCTACCTACTAAAGACTCACCACAAAGACAGCAACTAATCTAACAGCACTGGAGAAGAAACGAGCAACCTGCTCTGACCTGCTGGACAATACAATCAGGGCCTGATCAGAGTGGCAACTTGGCAGGATACACTTCATAACAATGAGCCAATGTGCAAAGAACACACAACTTCATTCAATCAGACACATACAAGTAAAGAAATGTAGGCTGCTGCTCTCGCCATAAAGAATTTTGTTGTCGTTTGCTTAGTGTTTTTCCTGGCACAATTTCTCATACAGCAGTAGGTGGCGACGATCAGCGCGCGCTCTCTTGGCTGGCGAGGGAACTACTGGCCATTCATAGCGGGCCGGGCGCGTGCTGGGAGGGGAAAGGGGGGTTGGAGGGGAGAGGGGGAAGGGTGGCTCTCTGTTGCTTGTTTCGTTCGCGTTCGTTCGCGTTGTTCTGTCTCAACTCTCGGCGAGTCGAGGCTAGCCGAGGCGTTCCATTCTGTCCGTGCGCGCTGTGTGCGTCCCTGTGCATGAATCCGATTGTGAAAAGTGCGTCGCGAGTTCGCGTAGTTTCGTGCCTGTGTGTGGATTTACTGTGATTCAAGTTCCCTCCCTGTGTTGGATTACTTAAGGCAAATCACACGCAGCGGTAAGAAAGCACTGAGTCCGTCTCCTCGGCCCCTTGAGGAAGGACATGCCGGTCGCACCTGTGCGGTCCAGTCACCTCAGAAAAAAATGGTTACTTTCTACGAAACTCGCCGGGACTCTGCACCAAAGGTCGTCGTCTCGTTTAGGAAAAGTCCGTTTCAGCACGCGGTCGCGGCACGCCTTATGCTTTTCAGGTGCACTTGTTGGTGCTGGAGCTCCATGTCCGTCAGATAATTAGTGCGTCATGCAGGGCATGCAGGGCCACCAGCACCCCTTGCAGTGTGTAGCCCCGTGGAGTCGAGTCCTCCGCCACGAAGACAACGCAGTCCCACCCCGAGTGTTTAGCTTGCAGCTCGAGGCGGTCCAGACCAAGCAGAGTTGGGTGACGATGGTCCGCGGCCGTTCATACATTCACTCCTGTAGACTGATTCCGAGAGTCGTTTTCGTCGCTCTGTCTCTCACGCACCTTAACGAGCGGGGCGCCCCATGACTGCGAGAGAGAGACAGTGAATGAGTTTGCCGGTTATTGGATGCACTTGCACTGGTGCACGGCTGCAGCCCTGACGGTCCTTGCACGGTCCTTGCCAGCGCTTGTCTGGATGGCGCAGATATGTGCACGGCTTGTCATGAGCACGTCAAGGAAGGCTCTGGTTCCTTATCTCCGTCGTCCTGTGGGTCCTGTGTCGCCACGGCGTCACGCCTCGGCTGCAGCTCGCTTGTCGGCCAGCTACAGCCAGCCAGCCAGTCAGGGCTTCAGGTTCGGCGAACACGCACTCACTCACACTCCGTACTTCTGCTGGGCGCGGTGTCCAGTGTCTAGAGCGCACCACGTCCATTGTGCGATTGTGTGTGTGTGTGTCGGTCTTGTCGGCCGCCGTTGCCTGTTTTCGCGTTGGCATCCTGCGCTACGCGAGGCGAACTGCTTCTCAATTTTTCAAGGACTCGCTGCAAGTGTTGAAGGTAAAAGGCAGCGGGCGTCGTCGGTGGTCTTGCCGTTGCTATCGAAAGGGCATGCCGGACGGAGACCTTTCCTTCGTTGTCGTTCCGGTGGGGCCGTGCCGGCCGTGCCGGCCGTGCCAGGGGAGGGGCTGTCGGTCCCAAATCTCTGTGGTGCTGGTGCCCAGCCCTCGAGTGGCGGCTGTGCGGCGGGGCGGGGCGGGGCGGCGGTCTGGTCTGGGCAGGTCGCTGCGACGCTGCGAGTGGGGGTGGGCGAGGGGACGTGGGGGTGTTGGTCCGCACCTGTTGAGTGCTGGCTGGCTCTGGTGCGGCTCTGCTGTGGCTCCGCTCCCACCACCACCCACCCAGCCCAGCGGACCCAGCTGGGGCGGCTAAAGAGCCCCCTTTCATGTGGCTCTTGTTCACTTTTCACATCACACAAAAAGATCAAGGAGTGCCGTTTCGATAGCGATTCTTTCCCACACTGTGGCAACGCCAAACAAGGCCGAAATTTTCGGCCAAAATTTCGCCTCGATCTGCCCCTGCACTGCAAATTAGCAACGTTCTCCGAGATGCGCACTCTCCTTGCTCCTTTCTTTGTTCTGGGTGCCAGGAAGCCGGCTAGCCTGGGTGGCGGTGCGCGCCGCGCCGTCCGAACAGAGCTTCGTCGCTCTGTCTCTCTCGCGCCCCACGATACGCCCCGTGAGTGCGCGAGAGAGACAGAGCGCGCCCTGTTCTTCGAATGGCGCGCCGCTTTTCGAGGGGCAGGATGGACTCGTGTGGCGCCGAGCCCCGGCTGTCCACCTTTCAATTGTCGCGCCTCTCGCGTCATGCGGGCCGCGGGGAAGGTCATGAAGGTCACGGACGCCTGGAGGAGCTCGCGGCCGGTGACATGTCGGAGACCTCCTCCACTTCCACACGTCGAAAGCGCTGTGAGACAAAGTTCGAAATTCGATGTGTGCTCTGCACACTTGTGCCTGGCTGACTCTTCTTGGGGCTCCGACGACGGCCCGGCTTTGGCGCGACTGAGCAGTCTCATTCCGAGCAGTGCTTCCGTCGCTGTCTCTCTCGCACCCCTACTAGCCTCTCGGGCCGCCCCTAGAGTGCGAGAGAGACAGCGATCGCCGGGCCGGTGTGTTCATTAGTGCGGGAATCTTCCACGCCCGCCGTCACCGCCGTCATCAGATGGCCCTGGCGGTCCACCAGCCTCACCGCAAAAACATATTTTGTCCACGGCCGGAGAGAAAGCGGCTTGGCTCTGCGCGGCTCTGCGCGGGGTGGCTTGACGCCCTGCTTGACGCCCCTCACGTCCGGGATGGTCCGCGATGGTCCGGGACGGGGGAGGGCCGCGCCGCCATCCGCGGTCTGAGGTGGGGCGTCTCTGACCGAATCGGATCTGAATTGAAGCTTGCACGCTCCCGTGGAGCTGACTCCCCAAATGCGGCACTTGTCCGCCGGCGGCTTGTGGACGTCGTGGACCGTAGAGGACCGGCCGGCAGCACGACTTGGTCGGCGTGCCGTGGCGTGCGCGGGGCGTGCGCGGGGCGTGCGCGTCCACGGCACGGAGTGCGGCAGTGCTTGCCTGGCGGTGCGGCACGGATATAGCTCGCGTGACGTCACGCGCACTTGCACGTCGCTTTGCAGTGGCTTTGCCGTGGCTTTGCCGTGGCTTTGCAGTGGCTTTGCCGTGGCTTTGCCGTGGGCATGGAAAGGAGGCTGAGAAGGGGCGCCGCGCGCGACGTGCCGAATCGAACCGAGTCGCCCTGTCTCTCTCGCACCCCTGCGAGGCGCCCCGTGAGTGCGAGAGAGACAGCGTCGGAATGAGCCGACTGTGCCGCGGCCCAGCGGCCCAGCCCCCGGCGCACCACGCGACAAGTGCGGCTATAGATACACCGTTGCGAAAGCGAGTTTGGCATTGGCGGTAACGAGACCAAACTGGGACCGCGCCCACTGCGCTCTGTGCTGCTGGCCGCCTGGCTGCACGCCGCCGTGAACGTGCCGTGGACGCCCGACGCCCCGGCCGTCCCGGCGCCTCTGTGGCGCTGCCAAATGTCTGAACGTCTGCGGCCACGGGCCTTGTCGCGCTGTCTCTCTCGTATCCTTACGGCGCGCCCCGTGAGTGCGAGAGAGACAGCGCGCCGTGAATCACGCTCGGCTTATGAAACAAACGGGGCGGCAGGGGATTATTTTCATCGCCATGCCTTGTGCCTTCGCCACAGGCTCCCGCACCTGTGCACGTACCATGACATCGATGGCAGTGGCGTGCGCAGAAATTTTGAAAGGGGGGGTCGGGCCATGCTTTTTGCCTACTTACAGGGGGAAAGTACCGCAATTTGCCTACCTTCCAGGCGGCTGTCTAGTGGCCAAAGGGGGGGGGGGTCATGACCCCCCTGACCCCCCCCCCCTGCGCACGCCACTGATCGATGGTGCACATGCATTGGTGGCTCCCCGAAACGGAGGCGGAGTTTGAGCCCCTTGATCCTTGTGGTAGAGTCCTGGACTCTACCTTGTGGTACCCGTGGCCCCGACGCCCCGTCCAAGCCCGAGTGCGTTTTGTGTGTAATGACATGCAGAGCGTGGTGCACCACGGTGCACCTCGCCCCGGCCGCACCGCGTGCTGCAGTGCGCTGCACCGCGTATTGACAAGGTGTAAGTACAATGGGTGTGTGGGTGGAGCGGAGGGGGGGGGGGAATCCGAGACATGAATGAGCAGCCTGCAGCACTGGCTGGCGTGGCGAGCCGGCCGGCCGGTCGTACAACTGCGCCCCCTCCGCCCCCTGCTCCTTCCCCCTCCCCGCGGCCCCCGCAGGGTACCGCAGGCAGGGCCCAGCGAGGACCTGGCAGAGCGCTGCGCCGGGCTGCGTCTCGCCCAAGCAGCCAGCCAGCCAGCCAGCCAGCCGGGGCTTGGCCATGCTGTGCCCTGCCCTGCCCAGAGTGAGACGCGGCGTTGCCACATTTAGGGTAAACTTACCGTCTTGGGTTTCTGTCGGGGGAGTCGGGGGCTGCAGGCGGGGCCCCAGTGTGTCGGCACTGGAAGGAAGTCTGCGGCCCCGCGACACATCGGGGCTTCAGCCCGCTTCAGCCTGCCCCAGCTGTGGTGCAGGTGCCGGTACCAGAGTCCATTCAGTTCACCGGCCTTCGTCTGGAGGCCGGGAGGCTGGTCCGTCCTGCCCTGGGTTCGAATCACGGTGGCGCCGTCCCCGTTTGTCTCGTCCAGAAGTCTGCGGTGTGTTCGGCGTGCAACTCCTCAGTCTGAAGATGCACACTGCTGCATACAGTTTGCCGTCCTCCATGCAGAGTGGTCCTGAGAGTTGAGCGTGGTCCCCGGTGCGGTGTGCCAGGCCTGCCAGTGTGTCGCCCTGCTGCGGGGCTTGGACACGCTGGCGCTACGCTCGCTACGCTGCCGGGCTGCTTTCGAAGAGTCGTTTCGTCGCCCTGTCTCTGCCGCACGCGCTCTCGTGCCGCCGGGGTGCGAGAGAGACGGGACGGCGAAACGGGTCTCGCTCTGCCGGCGCGTGGGCCCGGAGTAGGACGCCTTGACCCAGGCAGGCGTCGCCAGGCGTCGCGGCGCAACCCGCTCGACGGCCAGTCCTCGCTGTCTCTGTCGCACTCTTCGGTAGTGTGCGAGAGAGACAGCGCGCCAACCAACTCTTCTGAGTCGCTCGGCATAGGGACCCTCTCTGTCAGAGATGCGCACGCTGGCCGCGAATCCGGCCTTCTGATTGGGCGAGAGTAAACTGGGGAAAAACCGCCCGGTGCGAGGCCAGAG